TGCTGTGATGATTCCTCGGGGGACCAAATTTGTGAAACTCACATCAAGTTTCTGAAAATGGGGGATCCCCAAGTCACCATGGGTTTCAATATTAAAATTGACTCATGACTGGATGATTTGAGGCTACCCACATGTTTGAGGAAACCTCCATGTGGGAGTCCAAACAAAGAGGATTTGCAAGGTTATTGTGTCCCCCTCAGACAATTCTTGGGATTCCACGTTTGTATTCAGGAAAACACATGAAACAAAAGCATGAACGAACAGTGTCGCACATGAGTGGAGCACCTCTCTCTTGAATGCTTGTCCATATCATATTTTGCTGACTATCTCGCCCACTTTTTCCCACTGTCTGCGACGTTTCCATCGCTATCCCAAGATCTGGTGAAATCTCCTTGCTGAGCATCCACATGTTCAAAGGGTTTTCCAAATGTCACGTTTCTGAATAGATTAACATAATTTACAATGTGTTTTAACATATTACTATAATTCTCAACCTCAATTTAGCCAGATCCCCATGAGGTATATGTATATATATATATATCCATTGATATCTACCACCATTATCCACCAGTCTGGTTGATGAAATGCCAGGGCGTTTTCGCGCCCGGACAAGGCGTCACGATTCGTAGGCGTCCCTCTAGGGCGTCCCGAGGCGTCCCGAAAGCATGGCTACAACAGGTGGTAAAATAAAAGTTTGTCTGAAAATGTTGGGTTAATCTTCCCAAACAAATAGCCATTTAATAGGGATAATGATCAGCAAAACCATTGGGTTTAGAGTTTAGGGGTACACTATTTTCAGACACACCCATAGAAGTTTCTAGCAGGATACAACCAATGGGAATTTATGGCTATGTTCCCTTACATAGGCCTGAAAAATAGGCCTTATATATGGTAGGTACCTCCAATGAATCGGATCCTGAAACTCCCATTGATACAATATCTCAGAAGTTACCTCAGAAAGTATATCATGATACAAGTCTGATAGTCTCTTGAAGTTATGGTAGAGTTTCCAGAAACTGGGACATGTTTTTTTCTAAAGAGACGAAGACCGCAGAAAAGAAGAGCACCGGGATGCTGGTGATCATTCCCCTGGTTGTACCAGATCTATTCCCAGGTGTATCAGGTAGCACCCAGCGTATCCTTCATGGGACGATAGAGGGATCGAAGTCGTTCAGGGTCAAATCATCATTTGTCAAATCTGTCATGGCAATAATACACATGATATTGACTACATATAGCTTGATTGGTATATCATTTAAGTCATCTTAATATAAAACAAATATGGTGTTGGCTACATGCATAAACTTCTGAATCATCTTTACGTTTTTTAATCATAATGTTCCACAAATCATAATAATATCTTGATGGCTATGGTACACAAATCTAGGTAACCATCGAGGAAACCTCATTGAACGATACACATCAAGCGAGTGACTTTGGGGTCCCCCATATTGAGAAACCACCAGATGAATACAAAGCAATTGAGATTCATTACTCACCTCCATTGGTGAGATTCCAGTGTAATGTTTCACACTATTATTACGCCAATTGCAAACCTTAATCGCCAAAGATTCTGATTTGGCATTAAACAAATATTGATAGATGTATATTATATATAATATATATATATTATCTATATTCATATTATATATATATCCCAATGATATTCCCATTAAACCACCCTTTCTTTAACCCCCATAAAACCCACCATAAAACCCCTTGCCTTGTCCGCGTACGCCCCGGCAGGGAGCTGCACTACGGCAGTCCCCAGTGGGTCAGCAATGGTCGGTTCACCACAGGGTGGGCTGGTGACATATGGGATATTGCTCGGATATAGAAAGATATATGGGTATGAGTCAAAACCCTTGTACCCCTAGTGAACCCTAAAATAGCTGGTAAATGGATGTTCATCACCCTAAGAATGGTACTTATAGGTATTGATCCATAGCCATATATACATGTGCTAAGTTCTTGGTCCAACAATCAAAGTCCCTATTTTGGATGGCTGAACTATTCAAAATCTCCATATTGGTGAATGCTAATCGGCGATTTCATGTTGAATCCACATTGTTCAATCCACCATGTTTGAAGGTACTATGGAAAATCACCATTCTTGATAGGTACCCTCTGGTTATTTAACATAGCCATGGGAAATGGCCCATTTATAGATGGTTTACCTATTAAAAATGGTGATTTTCCATGGCTATGTTAAATAACCAGATGGTAAATCATCTCTTAATGGGCCATTTTCCATACCAATGTTAAATTGCCAGATGAGCGGTCGCTTATGTGGGCTTGTGCACCAGGGTTTTGCCTAAAAAACGAGGACCTTACTAAAAAACAAATAAGGGGGGTTTGGACGTGGCTCAGATAGTAAATCATGCTGAATCCACATTCTGTTTTAATCCACCATCTTTGACGGTTGCCCTCTGGTAAACTAACATAACTATGGAAAATCACCATTTTCAATGGATAAATCCACTATAAATGGGCCATTTTCAATAGCTATGTTAAATAACCAGAGGGTAACTCATGAAAAATCCTCCATGTTTGGTTCAAATTCCCGGCACCGCGGTGAAGCGACCACGACGTCGTGGCAGCACCGGCAGTCCATCGGAGTGCCGAGCGCGAGCGCCCACGCGGTTTGGTCGTTGGGAGATGCGTCGACATGGAGACAAGAAAGTAACCAACAAAATGGTGGTTTAATACGGTTTAATGGAACATCAACTGGGATATTCATGGGATGTTAATGATTAATAGTGGGTAATATCGTTTAATGAGATATCAACTGGGATTATGGGATAATGGGATACCCTCTGGTAAACTAAGAGTTTGCTATTGAAAATCGCCATAGAAATAGTTGACTTGCCCATTATAGTTATGGTGATTTTCCAGTTCGTTATGCGGCTGTTTACCAGAGGGTATGATGGGGATATCATGGGAATATAGGATACAACTTAATACAACAAACAACAAACCAAGAATTTCATGGATATGATGGGAATATGATGGGAAGATGCTGGGGATATAAAAATGAAAGGGTGATGGCTCATGTTCATACGGATGATTGTTGGATATGATGATGATGGGTCAAAACCTATAATACCAGTATCTGCGGAGATGAACATCAGTTTACCAGCTATTTTGGATTTCACCATAGCCAAAAAATGTGGGGATATGATTGGGTATCGAATGCTGACAATTTCGGGCCACACCCACATGACTTTAATTCATTGGGCTTTTTTGTTGGCTGCATCAGATTCTGATGCAATTCAGAATTCATGGAGTTGGGAGAACTTATGAAGCATGAAAGATAAGGAAGGTCCTGAAAATTATCCTCTCAGTTTCATAGGATCTGTGACTTTGAATGGAACAAATCAACATGCTACAAACATAGACAATCATGTGAACATTGCTCTAGCCATGATTGCTCATGAGTTTGAATAGTTTCGATGTTACATAATCTAACAATATGTTATCAAATCATATATACATATGTATATTGTCAATCAAAGTTGGATTCTCACGGCCCACCCACTCGGACTCTTTTTCTCCAAAAAGGTGTTTGTGTTCCGAACAGGTGCATTGCTTGGATGAAACTGTAAATCTCCTCAATGAAATGATGACTGCCGTACCATGTGCTGCAATCGTTCAACTGTCAGGATATGGATTTCAGCAGTTGTCACCAGTCAAATTGAAACATCCCTTGTCGGGCGGTTTGTGGGTTTGGGAGACGAAAAAAGGGCTTGAGGATCAAGCAATCATGGGGCCTTGAAATGACTTCTGATAGCAAAGATCGCAAGCTGCACATTGTCAATCAAAGTTGGATTCTCACGGCCCACCCACTCGGACTCTTTTTCTCCAAAAAGGTGTTTGTGTTCCGAACGGGTGCATTGCTTGGATGAAACTGTAAATCTCCTCAATGAAATGATGACTGCCGTACCATGTGCTGCAATCGTTCAACTGTCAGGATATGGATTTCAGCAGTTGTCACCAGTCAAATTGAAACATCCCGTGCCCAAAGAAAACAAAGAATTGTTATGGGGCGAAGCCCCCATTATAGAGCAGAGCGGAGCTTCCGCATGAGCTTGGGTAGTGCTGCTTTTGCTTGGACCCAAATTTCATCACCAATTCGGTTCATGCTAGCAAGCATTTGCCCAGGCTTTTGATACCTCTGAATGGACTTCATAGAGCGCCATCTCCCACGTGCTAAAATTTCTTCCGGATGACGGGTCTTTTGTAGACTGTCAATGGAAGGACCTGAATGTCCGACCGTGTGAGGTGTCAAACTAAACTGCCCTAACTTTGCTTTTGACCGTGCTCGCTTCATGACATCCTCATATTCACTGAGCGTTGTTTGGCCAAAAAGAGAATCAGTAGACCGACGTGTACGGTTATACACCATCTGTAAAACTTGCTTGGCATATGGTCGATCAGTAGAATCAAAGAGGACTGTGTCATCTTGAGTACCAGTCTTTGTCTTTTCTTGTCTTGCAGAGTTTCCAAAAATGATGCCCCAGTATTTGCAGTGTTTGGTGGATGGTCGAATCACATCCTGCTTTTTGACTCGCAAAAGCTCGGATGGTCGTGCATATGTATCCAACTGAACAATGGCAGCCGCTGCTAACAAGGGTGAAAATTCACACATATGCAATGCAACAAGATGCCAAATAAGTGGATCCGCGCCTGTGCGAGATGATTGTGGATATCGTGTGCACCATCCCTTCAACGCTGCTCGACTCTGGGGGAGCAACATCTTATCTGGTAGATTCTCTGAACATCGAAGCATCAACCACCCAAATAAAACATATGTAGCATTATTGTAAGACGACCCCGCATCGCACAAGTCTGCAAAATAAGTAGCCATGTGTATATCTACTGAATGAACATCTTTGGGTTTCAGCCGTCTCCGCTTCAGATACTGCTCAAATTCCTGCACCCCATTGTGATACCGAATCAAAGTCACATCTTGGACCTTGAGGGCCTTCAGCACAGTGTGTCTAGGCAGTTTCTGTCGAATGCTGGCCGCCAAGGACGCTTTGGATGGGTTGCTCCTTGACTTTTCTCGATTGCCGTCTTTTCCGCCGGACTGCTTCTTCATTGGTGTGCTGGCCAAAGATGATGGCTTCCAACCCCTCCGGTTGGACTTTGGAGAACTGCTGGAAGAGGGACCTGAGGCTAGAACTGGGAGAAATCGACCCGCTTCGAGTCGTTGCCGTTTGGCAGACAACCCGGAGTTCATGTTCCAGCTGTGCTCCTAAAATGTCAGCGTCCCGTGTGTGGGGGTCCAAAAACTCCCCCACAACTTCAGTCCACTTCTCCACCAGCTTCAAAGGGTATGCCCCAGCTCGCTGGGTTTTTGGTTGTGATTTCTTCTGACCATTGCACCGGACCGATTCTGATCCACGGAGAACAACCGAGTGTTTTTGATGAATACAGCCAGCGGCAAGTTGACTCATAGTTGGGATATTTGTGAAGATAGATGTAGGTTTTCTATAGGCTTCGCCATACATACAGAAATCCATATTGACACGAAAAACGTCCTCTTGATGTAGAAGCCGGTGCAAAAAAGGCAAATCAAAAAGTCGTGAATTCCTTAGGTTCTCCAAACTCCAAAAGACATTGTACCTATTGCACGTCTCAATGATTTCTGCTGTAAATAACCCTAGCTCAACACCATCCCGTTCACGGTCTCGTGCTCGACGGTGATTTTTAACAAAGTGTCTAGCTCTACTAAAAACTGTGCATGGTGTGCCCAAATGTACATACCGAATCCTCCCAGACCTTATCATGCCCAAAATCACTAGTTGTGTCCCTCGTCTCCTGAGATCGTGGTGTTGCCCAAAACGGCAATCTATTGGTTGCAGTGTAGCCCGCCGTTGTCGCCGCATCTCGTCGCTTAGCCGGGCAGTTCCAGCAAAAATCTCCAGGAAGGCACCACCGCGGATCTTGCTTTGCCTGACAGGGGGTTTGGAAGGTCGGGATGGAGTACATTCGCTATCATGCGCGGAGACCCTCAAAGCCTCCTCACCATGTTCACCTCCCGGCACTTCAACACTGCCCCCAACTGTATTCACATGCTGAGTTTTGTTGTTCAAAATAAGTTTGCTAGGCTTCTGTTTGTTTTCATGAAAACGTGAATCCTCATCTGCTGGATTCCGCATTGTCTCCACATGACGCAACCGCCATCTAATGCCACAACTCAACTGGTAAGCACAGGCTGTCCTACAAATCTTGTTCAGTCCATAGGAACTCGCTCTGCCCCTCTCCAAAGCGCACAAACATGACAAGTGATCTGTCAGAGTCACCTTGACTTTGCCATGTAGTTTCTTCACGCGAGCTGTGCGTCGCAAGGAAGAGAGACACACCTGTGCTTCTTTCTCATTGATATGTCTGTGTGAATTGTTCCATCTCTTTCGCCACAACAAGCTATATCGCTCCCTACGACATAAAGTATCAGGTATAGGCATGACCATGGTTGGTGTCTCCATCTCCAGTTTCTTTCTAGGTTTCGCTTTCAGTTGTGTTCGGATTGAACTAGTCCGCAACCATGAGCTCTCATCCCTAGCAGCTTCAATCAACCAATCCGCATAACGGGTCTTCAAACCCGCGCCAAACGGCACCACCGCCCGGACCTCCTGTGGCCTCTGATGAATCTCAGACCAGTCGCTCTCCAGCTCATCCAAAGCTCGGATGACTTCTGCTCGACTACCTGACAGTGCCGCACGCTTGAGACGTTGGGGAAGGGGTTGGAATCGCCAGACTTCGCGAAATTTGCAAAGTTCAGAAACCTCATATGGAGTGGACCATGTAGTTAATAATGCATATGCCCCTGAAGATGAATCGCCCGCATCAACTTGTAAAACCGGATCAAATTGTAAGGTCGAACTAGTCAGCCACATCAATCCCATAGCTAGCTTCATCTCCTCCCGAACAGCCGCCCATAGAATAGTTCGATGGTGTCGATGTTGTTGGACAAATCTGTAAATATGAAAGAAGCAAGATAAAGCGCACGGAGTGATCATGAACAAAGATGTCATATGCCCCAGCCAGATCTCCACCAACTTGCCCGAAACTCGCCGTCTCTTCAACAACTCCCGCCCCGCAAGAAAAGCCTTCCATAGTCTTTTTGGTTTGTTCCTAATGGTTCGCTGTTTGAAATCCAAAATAAGACCAACAGTTTCAAAAACACTTTGGGGTTTCTCAGTCGTCCAAGTCAGGGGGATGTCCGCTGCCGCAAAGTGCGCTGCGACTCGGTCTGCCACTTCTTGAACTTGTTCTGCGTCGCACCCAATGATGCTGATATTGTCCACATAGACTCCTGTCACAGGGCCCAATGAAATGTCAGGCAGTGGGGTCTTATCTCGAATCTCGCGAAGAGGACGGTCCACCATACCATTGGCAATATAATTGACACTCTCATTGGCAAAATACAAAGACCAACTCCAGCCCATGCAAAGCCCTCTAAAAACAGGATATACCACCAAATCATCCTTGGGGTTGAAGAACTGTTGACTCGCATCATCAAAAATATCTGTATGCTGCCAACCCTGTGAACGCCAAAATTCAATTGTACCAGGTCTATCGATCCCAAACCATGATGCTAACTCTTCCATGTAGTAGTTGTAGAAACAATCATTCACGTCAGCCTCAATACCATAACCAATAGGAACATCTGTCGGGGTTTTGGGAAATTGAATGTCTAAATAACTGCGAGGTGTGGACAAGCGTGCGGTAGGTGGTGCATGGTGTCTTGCATTAACCCTCCGATTGTCGATAATCAGCCTGATCCAATCTGGTGTCTTTTTCTTCACGCAAAAGATGCCAATCCGTTCCTTGATAGCTGTGCGAAAAGTCACCAACCCTTGATTTGCTAGACCAACAATCAATCGAGTCAAGGCTGAGTCAGAGCTTCTAAGCTTTGGATCCCAGTACGGTTTGATCGAGCAAGGTTCCTCAGCACTGAGTTCACTAGCACTTTTCTCAATGAGGGTCTGGTACCTCTGCAAGGCACTTCTGGCATGTTGTGGCAACACCTCTGCAAGCCGACGCGGCTTCAAGGTGGTGTGGAGCACTTTCAGCTTGTCATAGTCATAGTTTGCTAAGTTGCTCGGCTCCTCATTGTAGAGGCACTTCCCATCCGACAAACTAGCAAGAGCAGCCGGCCCATCAAGGCCTGCCGGTGGCTCTTCCGCTTCCTCTAGACATTTCCAGATGCGGTCAGCCACTTGCTTCTGAGTTTCAGTCGGAGGTATATCACGGAGAATGGTATCAAAATTTGAATTTGAATCATGCAAAGCGAGGGTGTTCAAAGCTTGAGCTGTCCATGCACCTCGCTGTGGAAAAGGCACTTCCAGTTGTTCCGCACCAGAGGCAATCCAATCCGGCCCAAGTGGTAGTGGGTCACCATGCGCACGATATTGTGCCCACGGCTGCCTGCTTGTCAAAGGTCCTCTCATGTCACCGCAGGCTTGTGTGAGAGGAACTCAAAAATGGCCTAACTGTCCCCGGCGCCGGCTCCACTTGAGCTAGCGCCACTTTTGGCCTTTGCTTTGCCCTTGCCCTTCTTCTTCCACGACGATCCATCTTCATTGCCATAGCCCTTGTCTCTCTGGTGGTGGCTCATCTCCTCCCGGTACAGCCCCGACTGTTTCTGAATCTGCGCACGAGCTTTGAGCTGATCAGTGAGCCAGGTGTCCATAGCCTTCATAGAAGCCGCCCCAGACTCTTCGATGGGGTTCTCCATGAGAACATCCAGTCCCACAAACTCCGGATTTGATGGGGAACGACTCACGGCGATCTCGAGCTGAATCAATCGTCTTGTAACCAACTCGAAGCTCATGCAATTCATAGGATTCAACTGGTCACGGCAAATGGCCAATCGAAGGATCTCCACCAAGTTGCGATGTTCATGCACCAGAGATGTCTTTGGATTAACACCAGAGGTCTTAACCCATTGCAAATGATAAGATGGCAAATCAACTCCACTTTCCCGGATGGATGTGAGATATTCGGCAACAGATCGTGGCCCTTTGAACCCCCAGTCACTCAACTCCACCTGCGTCATGATAGTCATGGCATCAGCTAGAGTGATGAAGCGTTTGTTCTGCGCATCAACATGCTTGCCAATCACTCTGGAGTCTCCAAGGAATCCCTTGCGCTTTTCAGCGTAGTCTTTCAAGTCCACGTCTGGAACCTCTTCCATCCACTCTGTCTCACCATTCTACGACACCCTTACTGCCAAGAGTCACAGCGTCCTCCAGAAGCTCCAAAGGAACAGGGGTGCCAAGCCTGGGAGAGGATGTGTCAGAGTAAACCCAGGTCTGTGCTTGGATGTCTTCGGGGTCTCGATCACCAATCACTATGGCCATGGTACTGGCTTGACGCTTCAGCCTCTGCAAGTCTGCCCGAGAAATTGGATCAAAGGCATACACCGATGCCACCAAGTGTGCTGGGAACAAACTTCTTCTGCCTAGGATCACATGTTGTCGATTGTTCAAATCTAAAACTTCAAGTTCATAATCAGGACTTGCAGCAACCCACCTGCCGGGCCCCAGACGACACAGCAGTAACCTGTGATGTTCCGTGAACCCATTGGGGTCCAACGGAAAGTGGAGGAGGATTTGGGGATCCGATACATCTAAAGTATAGTCACCCATCCTCTACTTCCGCTTTCCTTTCCCCAGTGAAGATGGCCGGACTGGACCGGCTGTCCTGACCTCGACAGGCTTGGGATCCACAGGAGTGTCTGAGTCTGAACTTGAGCCGGCAGTGTCACCAAGGCTCAAAGTAACGCGGGGCTGAGGAGTAGGCAATGATTTCCGGACCCAAAAGTATACACCAATCCCAATCAAAAGAATCAAAAAGGCCAGGATAAATTGAAATGTATTCCAAATTCCAAAGGCCCCGGGCTCGTCCCGCACCAGCAATGAATTGTACCCTTCGATCAACCGATGGGCACGATGGAGCTCAGCCTGCAACACCTTCACTTCAGTGGACAGGCTATCGTACAATTGCTGATGATGATTCTGATCAAAGAGGGTCCTAATCAAATGGCTACCGATCCAACACACGTGAATCGCAAGATCCCGCATATGGTCTTGAGACGAAAAAAGGGCTTGAGGATCAAGCAATCATGGGGCCTTGAAATGACTTCTGATAGCAAAGATCGCAAGCTGCACAAGTTTACCAAATGTTATATACATAAGTACCACATTACTACATAATGTTGCATAGCGTTTCTGGTGAAGGACATGTCATCCACCTGGCACTAAGACTCAAGATGACTCAACGATGCCAACGATGCCAACGATGCCAGCGATCCGTCCATACGGAGAACTGCAGGGAGGTCCCACGGTTCCCACGGTTCCCGGGCTTCGAAAAAAGAAAAAGTGAAAATTTGTGAAAAGTTGGTGGCCCAGGTGGCTGAAGTCTTGCTGAATTTGGATCAAGTTTTGGATCAAGTATCAGAAATTTCATGAACTTCCTTCTTGTGCATTTCCTCTGATTTTCTGAACCATCTTAATCATTTCTGGTGGCATTGGCCGGGGTTGCTATGGTTCACCCAGTGGAACGTTGTGGCAGTGGTTGAGAGACCAAAAACCTGGCATGTCCATTGCCATAACTTCAGCCACCCACAGCTTTGGAAACGAGGCCAACCTTTGATACCCCTCTATATGCACAATCTGGAAATGATCTAATTGGTATACCTAAGAGCTTTGATTGGTATTGGACCATTAATTATCAAATTCCAAAATTGGTAAAAAGTGGTTCAGTATCAGTTTCCGCAATAGTTCAAATTCCAAAATTGGTAAAAAGTGGTTCAGTATCAGTTTCCGCAATAGTTCAGTTTCCATGGGGAAAAAACACATCAAGTTCAAGCTTAACTGGTTGGTGGTATACCTACCCCTCTGAAACATATTAGTCAGTTGGGGTAAATCTATCCCAATACATGGAAAGTCATAAAAGCCATGTTCCAAACCACCAACCAGTTAACTATATTGCTATTACCCAAACACCACAAGGTTGACCCAGTCTGGTGGAGCTCACATACATCTCATGAGTCTCTCGCATTCCCAGTTTCTTCGGCGACTCGGACGACCCTCAGATGGCGGCCAATGGGAATCGTTCTATTCTCTGGGGCTGACGGCTGACGCCCCACAATGAATGGGGCATCAAGCTATATAAAATGGGGGTGAAAACGTTTAATCTCTACACATTGAAATCATGAACTGCATGGGACTGTCAGTATAAGGATTCTAATGGTTCATGCTTGGTTTCACATCAATCTTCTCTAATGATAATTTCCAGTCTTTCGTCGTAGATCTCTATAGTCTATAGTCATAACTCTTCATAATTATCTGAGTATACCACATGGCTGGCGTACATACCCTCCTGCAATCAGACGTGGAAATAGAAAAATCGGAACATCTCCCATTTATAAATGATTTGTCCATGAACAAAAACCTCCAGTTATGGAAAAAAAGGAGTATCTCCAATTGGGTATTCCCATGGGTATTCTCCAATTGCCACGTTACCAGAGGGTATCTCCATTGATATGGCGGGTCTATGGCCGAGACACCTCCGTCCGCAGTGGCCGTTGCTGGTGCATCATCTCATCCTGAGATCAATTTATCGTTGGTGAAGAAATGTTAAGAACGGATTTCCCAGAAAACATGGTTTGTTTTCTAATCCCTCTCATCCCAGTTCATGGATTGGTTTCAACAAATCCCCAATCTATTGAACATGAAATTATCCAGGAAATTACATGAAATTACTAGATGGCTTATGAACATAGATCAGCAATCTATTGTAAAACCCCCGGGGTCTCGCAGCCGCGACAGTTGAAAGGATGGTTGGTTTGGATGGTCCAAGCTGGACCTGAATGACTTGACCGGTATACCATGGCCATCATGGCCATATCATTGGTTTAACTGGTTTACCATATAGGGATGTGTATGGGATATGTATAATATACAGAGTATATACAGGGTATCCATTAAGTTGAGATTCTTTTTCTAGAATTTCTCACACTTCTTCCCCGCGAGCCAGATTTTTTCATAGCATTGAATAGTTTTTTTCTCTGACATTCCGATGTAGCCCTTGATACCCTCTGGTAAACATACAAAAAACTATGGAAAGATCCACCATTTTTCATGGGAAAATCCACTATTTCTATGGCCATTTTCGCTATTTTGACATAACCAGAGGGTAGCCCTTGATATTTTGACCCGGTGTCGAGGTGAATGCAAAACTCAGACATCGCTTGAGTACTTTCGCTCACCTGGCATGTGGCGGCGCCGTCTGCTCGGGTGATGGTGGGCCAAACTTCGATGTTTTTCCAAAATGATTTCTTAACACCATGCAAATGGGCCAATACTGGACCACTAACCATCTTATTTGGATTTATTTGGATGATTGTTCCACATCTTGCCACCCTTGCCACCCGGCAAAACTGCACGATGTACTGCTTAAAAAAGGGTGAGATTTATCACATTGATCATCATTGATCAACATCCGGTGACCCCCGCACCTTCTTGGCTTGTTCCTCCACGGCTGTCTTGATACTCTGCAAGTTCAAGATCATCCTGACACCAGTGCTGAGCCGGGCCTCATCCCCACTTCGGGCAGTGGTGATTTTAGCCCAAAAACTAACCGTTTGACCCTGACAAAAAGGGGCTTGGAAGATGAGTTTCTACGAAAAATAAGATCTTTTTGATGCTCTAATTTGGGTGTGTGAAAATGGTGTATATAATCAGCCCCAAATCCATGGGATTTTTTTGATCGGAATAGCCGTTGGATCCTCATGTTTATCATGTTTCAATGGCCATAAATGGGGTTAGTCCCCCATGTTCAGAGCCCACGAACCTGACCGGAGCATGGTGGCATCATGTGGCATCCCATTCATGGCACCTCTCAAGGCCTTGCATCATCGCTTCCTGCTTCACCTGTTCCTCGTTCTGCAGTTTATCTGCACCTGCACGGTGGACATTGGGACTATCATATACCTGTTGGGGCCTGTCTCCATTAGATATCCCATGAATCCCAATTTTTGGATGATGTTCCCCATCCACCATTAGATATTCCATAGGAAAAAAAATAAAAAACTGGAAAATGCATCATGTTCCTATATTTAATGGTCGTTAATCGAGGGACCCAACACATTGATCTGTTGCTATCAACAGCTCAGTTCTTGCTTGACTGTGCTCACACTGCAGGCGCTGCCAAGATATAGCCCCAGTGACACTGCCTGCTGACTCGTGACACACTCAGAAATACAACAAAGATCAACAAAGAGTCATTTGATCTGATTTCAACTGCCGGAATCATGTTCCTCTCAAAGAATCCATCAGAGATTCAGCATCCATTGACGAGTTTCGAAAGTTTCAAACACAACTTTTCTCAACGCTTGACGTAGGCAGGGTTCAGAGTTGGAACAACAAATCGGATCAATCCAAAATCCAAACTGTTACAGATGTGGCATAGACACATTAAGTCATATGAGCAACAATCATACTTTCTCATACTTTCTTAGGTGTTCTCAGGTGTCTTTGCATCATGCAATACAAAATAATAACCAATAATACAAAATACGAGAGCTCAACAGCTTGGCACAACCAGACATCTACCAATCTGTGGTCGCCCAACATTTGGACTATGCTCTGGCACCTATGCTCTGGCACTCATTTTGGTGGCGTGCTGGAAAATCCCCCATTTTCAAACTATGAAGTTCACAGCTATAAACCTCCATTTATATCCATCTTTCCCATGGATTTCCATGGATTCCCCATGGATTTCCCATGGATTTCCCATGGATTTCCCATGGATTTTCCCATTGATTGACCCATTGTCGAGCTGCGGAGGATGTGGCTCAATCTCTTGGGCTTCTCCTGGTCCCATCGCTTGGAGATGCATAAAAACCATGGCCACTGGCCACTAGAAGGTACGGCTAACCCTCCAATTTTTCGTAGATTATAGCCCAGTCCCACTTCCTGAGAAGGTACAGTACGACTGGATCCATAGGGAAACTGGGTAGTTTTGTTTAGGGCACATGTTGTTTTTTTCATATTCCAGGGTTGCCTCCATGGGCTGGATGGTTGGTGACGGAACCCATCCAAGGTTTCTATAGGCTGTTACTACTGGGACAAAAAAGGGATGGGATTAGTGTGGTGATCATAAGTGCGCCTGAGAGTATCAAGTCATATCAAGTAGGATCGTGTTAGATGATGTTGGCCATCTTCCCTAGTCGCAACCTCGTTGGCCAGCTGGGATCAGCCAAGAGAATGACCCACCAGGGGTGTTTGGTTGACCATATAACAAAATGCGCAACAAAATGCGCAACAAAATGCGCAACATCATTGGGTTTACCACATGACAAACACGTTTTTTAGTTTCCTTCGGTCATTGTGTCATACACCTCAAATGACTGTTTTCTCTGCTCGCCTTGCTGTGTACCCCATGAAATATATGAAATCGGTGGTCAAAACCACAAGTCATGGCGGCCTCTCCATCTCTGAGTGGGTGTTGGAGCGTAAAAAAAACCGCCTGATGTTGGCATTTTTTTAAAATTCCAACCAAGCCATTTGTTCACAGCTAATCATGGATACCTTGCCCATCCTTGCCCCCCCCCAAAAATATATTCTGTGATATATGGATTTTCAGCAGGGTAGTCTACTCATGTCTACTCCCCCATGGCCAAACCTGGACAGGGCCCAAGGTTTTTCGCATGTGCCCCGCAGCCAACACCAGTCCTTGATGGCTTGACTTCCTTGCGAATGTTCCGAGCATCCGGTAGGAGAGCTGGGAAGCGCCGCCAGCAAGTTGCTGTCCTGAAGAATGCGGCGAAGGGGTGACGATCGCCCACGTTTAGCAGGACAACTTCTTGTAAATCATCGCAGAAGAATGGAATCCCTAAAAAAGGTGGCTTTTGAAGCTGGTTTCACTGTGGGAAAAATAGAATCAACTATCACTGCATGTCTAAATTTGGTCAGAGTATTGTGATCGGTATCCCCAACCGCTGCTTGTCCTGGAAATTGTGCACTGGGGGTTGAGCCACCAAGCCCTAGACATATTTGCAGCCGATTCCAGGGGTGGAAATGAATGGACACAGCGTATCTCAAAAACAGTGTTTTTTGTGAGGATAAGCGTTTGATGATATGAGAGTGTGTTGGTCAAGGATGGAGGTATTGAACTCTTAAGCACTACAATCCAAACCGTCCATTTTGATATCAGAAATATGATCCACACCCGGATGTCTAGCTTAGTCAATCGCATCACCAAAAGGTGATTATATTCCCAACGTACGTCCGGTTGAATGCCATTTTTTTTCTGCTTCAAAACTTGACTTTTGTTGCTTCAAAGCGTCATAGTGTCGTTTCCTTTTTTAGCCCCCCCATCATTATCATCATTGTTTGACAGCTTTAAAGTCCTTCATCTCTGTCAGTTTTTTTTTGGAACCGATCATGAACCGCCCAAAACGGGTCCTCCACTGGCGACTCATTTCCGATCGTGTCCAAGGACCTTGGCGCTGCGATGGACGCCAAACCCCATGGCCCAGGACATTTGGATTTGGGTTCATCGAAAAAACACCCTGAGAAGGTGCCCATCTCAAGCAATCCCTGAGGCTCGGTGTCTGCATCCATTTTGCTCGGTGTCATCCCTTGTTGATTCATTCACCGGGTATTTTGGAATGGTGAAATCCCTCAAAACATGGTTCACTGGTAGCTTGGGTCCGGTGTTTCGTAAGGAAAAAATCAAATATTCACAGGAATCTACAAGGTCCTAAAGCCGACAAATACATACCCAAAGACGCAAAATTTCTCATTGATGTGATGGTAAATCTCTGATTCATCTTTGTTGCATAATCCTCCTTCTCTATTCTTGGAAAAATCATCACAAATCCCAAGTAGTTCGGATTCAATCTCCTTGGTCAAATGTTCCGAATCCTCAATCGATCCAATTTCCATTCTTGGATCAAATCCCCAGCATCCAACAGATGATCAATTCCCAACGTGTTTTGCAAACAAATCATCATCAATTCATCATCTATATGTGTCTAAATCATTCTAAATCACAATTCATCATCTATGTCATCTATGTGTTAAATCACCATAAATCACCATTAAATCACCATAAATCACCATAAATCACCATTAAATCATCATGTTTGATCCCACAAAAACACCTTTCTTTGGGATTTTGATGGATTTTGGGGGTCCAAAACCCTCCACCCCAGGTGCGTCAACTTCGCCATGGCACGAGCCCCGTTCCAGGGTCGAGGACAACGTCCGTTTGGGCGGCCGCGGCTTGGGCGGTGGCAACGAGGTGGACCTGGCGGAGTCAAAAATGGAGGTGATAATCATGGGTTAACCATGTTTTTAACCATGGAAAATGTCGTAGAACTGCACTGGAAAACAGATTTATAGGAGCAATTTGAATTATATCATATTATATCTATGGATAATGTTTCATGGAGTTTGACGGATATTATAACCCATGATGGCCTATAGACCTATAGATAACATTTTACATACAATGTATAGTGGGTGATCTTATACATATCCTTACAGTGTGATTAATCTCCATGATATTACAGCTCGAACTTAGTGGAATCTGATTGACAACACCGTACATAATGATTACGTAATGATCATTGGATATGGGTATTTATAGGAAATGGTAACAAATGGAAGGAATTGTAGGATATGAAACAAAATGAAGGAATAAGTGGGGCCATGTGATATTGAGCCATTCTCCTATTGTTGATGATGAGGAATGGGGTGAAATATGGTGAAACATGGTGAAATAGTGACTGGTGGAAATGGCTACTACTGACTGATCCAATCATTGGTTGTTGGTGGATCTTAACAGACTCAGAACGGGGCACTCTTTACAAACAAAACGACCTGCCGTACAGAATCCTGCGTGTGGCTTTTGATCCATAGTCTGGGTATGGAATAACATCATATCAAAGATGTTTCCTGGGCCCTGGGGCCGATCATACGAAAAAGAAAACAGTCATGCACAATGCAAACATGATTTAAAGTATAGATATGAAATGATGTGAACGCGTCTCCAAGTAGCTTCGCATCTACATCGCTTTAGACTTGCGCTAGATTCTAGATCATACAAGTGATACATCTATTTCCACACATCTCATTCTTCAATGGATTGGTTTGTTGGGGAAAATCTTAACCGGAAACCATCGATTTTCCCATGAAGATCATGGGGGCTTTCCTCTAAATTTTAAACCAATCCATTGAAAATGGCCATTAATAGTGGATTTTCCCATTAAAAATGGTGATTTTCCATAGCTATGTTAGTTTACCAGAGGGTAAACCAATCCATTGAATTCGACTTCCCCACCCTCCCAAAATCGTCCGACCCGGTGGATTTAGGAGACGATGGTTTGCTGGGAAAGGAGGGGTCCTCAGACGGCAGCCAGAATCTGCAGTGGTATGACCACGAATCTGGGAGGATATCAATCAGAAAAAACATATATTATCTTGGAGAATTATACTACACATAGATCTATAATGATATATATAATATATATATATATATATATTTATTGTATATACAACTTATTATGTATATAAAATACCTTTGCGGATGATCCTGATTCATATGCATAGGATTTCGAGGAATCTCCCCTTCCTGGTTCGACATCAATTTGGCAAATTTCAAGGCTCCAGTTCTCTTTCCTCCATCATGATCTCTCGAATCTCCTCAGGCGCCAGCATCACATCTCCGGTGATGTGTTTGGCTGTAAATTGAAATGCTGTGTCGCAAGAGGTACTCTACTGTTACTCTACTGTTGGGAAAAGAAATGACCACAGAAATCACAGAAATCTCTGATCACCTAACTTCAGTGACGCTTTCCGCCGTTTCCGCCGTGCGGCATCCACATCGGTCATACATCTCAAGGCATCCACATCCGGCAACAAATCAGCACTGCTGTGGAGCAGCATGAGGAGACCTCAGCTGAGAGGCAGATCTTGGGTACAAAAAAAACAACTGGAACACAAAAAAACATGGGGAATATGTAACATTATGTAACTTATGAACGATAAGCTATGACCCAAACAAAATAAGCTATAGTTATCTTATTTGAACAAAGCCATTTGCGATTTAAGCGAGACATGAACCACAAGACTAAGGGATCTAAACCACTGAATATGGGAGATTTGGGTGAACAACTGGATTTATAGGTTGGAAAATAGTGGATTTAACCAACTGAAATCGGGGGTATGAAAGCACCAAAGCACACGGCATGTGGTGAATAATGGGATCCACACAAACATACAAATGGGGGCTGAACTGAGCACCACCGCTGATTTGACGAAGACAACCCTAGGAATCCCGCTGAAACCAGCAAACAGTGAGAATTTAACCAGTGGGGTTAGGAACAAACGAGACTGGTACTTCAAAAAAACTGGGAATTGTTGCTTATTTTCGCCGAGTAGGATCTGCTGGGTGTTTGAACCAGCCATTCAATCCCTTTATCGGCTTCTCTCTACCAAGGGCTAAGGAATGACAGGCCCCATGTGTTGAGGTGCCAATTGGACTGTACCGCGGGATTCCGAAATCCATAGCTTCTATTAGCTTCCCAGGTGGAATGCCTCATTGCCTCATCTCCCCCAGTGGTCCCAGTGACAATTGTTCATTTCGCCTTGGAAATGGTCCAGCGGCAGGTCATTGTCATCTTGGCCTCATCTGATCCAACGCCGCAACTTTCCCCCGATCTGATTCAGAGTTCAGAGACACTTCTTGTTAAGTTTTGTGGTGATAATGATCTGGTTCACATGTTTTTTTAATTGAACCCCTCTAGATTCTTGACCCGCATCGTCTAAAAATCAGGGATGGGCTAGTAGTCAAACATACTGCTATAGATCTACATACAGATCTACATAAACATCACCAGTGGTTCCAGGGTTCTCCAGCAATTTTCCAAGTGACCGAAAGGATTCTCCAACTCCACACCGATGAAGTTCAAGCAGGACATTCCTAAGTGGATGGAAAACATCCACAGTTAACCCTGGAGGGAAATCTGGGATCCAAGATTTTCCATGCCCATATGCGAACCATGGTGCTGGTATATTTACGAAACTGGGTAATTTTGTTTGGGCAAATGTTGGGATTCATATGGATTCATATTCCAGCACCATGGGTTGCATATGGGATGGATGTTTTCCATGGCTTATAAATGATATAAATATGATATAAATGTTCAGTATGTTTCACTATCATCCTTGATAGCTCACCTACATAATTTGCCGAAGGTCAAACATCAAAGGCATGGAGGCCATTCTTGGGAAGAACGAGGCTGTTGGTTATTGGGCATATATCTTTTGACCCTCTATGTATCCATTTTAAAAAAATGATGAGACATGGGACATCGATTTTACCGCCAAAAAAATCCATCATCTTAGTCTTAGCCAATCACAATTCCTGGTCCATTTCATTTTGACCTCATCCAGCCGGCTGTTCGACCATAGCGGACGCCCAGCGTCCGAAAATGGGAATGACGCTGAAGATGACGCACCTCGAAAGCGACTGGCACGATCGGCACTGGAAAATGAGTGGCTGCCCCATGGTTTTGGAAGTGGTATCTATGGTCACCTGATCTCACTGATCTCACTGAAATGTAGCTATACTACCTCAAAAGTTGGAATTAGATGGAATTATAGTTTTAGTATGAATTAGTTCAATGTGATAGATTTAAAAGAGTATGGAGTCTGTGTGGAACGACTCCCCCATGAAAAGTCTATCAATATCATCCCATACATAGCGTGTCTCAAGCAAACAGTGGCCCCATCCAGCTGGCAAACACCAGGACTGGGACCAGGGCACAGTGCGGGTTGAGTGAAGATGCTGGTCACCAAGATAGGTGTGAGAAAAATATTGGCGAAGAGCCTCAGTTGTCAGTCATCTGAGGGCGGTAGATGTTTGGCTACTGAATGGCAGGGAAAACAGAAATAGTAGACATCAACAAGACCTGAGACTGCTTTTGAGGATTCTCGATTCAAGCTCCCTGCAGGCACCGATATTTCACATATTTCTGACAGATCAGAATTTAAGGCTTTGGCACTAGAAAACCGCAGGCTTTCCACAGGTGTTGGCCATTTCTGCTGTTGTGCCATACCAGATCTGGCACCCACTTTACCCACACCCCAAGCTGGTGAGACTGTCCTTAACCAGCCACTGTCAGACTTCAAACATCGGCCCGACCGAACATGTTGAATTTGAATATCCCTCCATTCTTCCAACACTGGAGGTGATGGTAATCTCCTAAATCCATGGCATTTCGATTGGGGATTTTCCATGAACCATTCAGCTCTTGGAAATCCATGGCGTTTCGATCCCAACCGGATCCCAACCGGATCCCAACCATCCCAGCCACAGAAGAGAGATGAGCTGAGCAAAAGGAAAGGGAAAGCGTGTGTCCGCCTCGGGAGGGGGTTTTGGGCCTGGGATTCACCATGGACCCATGAAAAAAAGGGGTGATTTTTGGGAAAAATATGATTTTCGTAACCACTGAAAATGGAGATTTTAAGCAATTTATGGGTGTTTGATCAACCCAAAAGTGTGGACATCTGCGAGAACATGGGAAACACATAGCAGGAGAATGTTCCGGAACATGTTGGAATATCGAATGATGTGAATATCTTCTGAGAAAGCACCAATCCCAATTGAACTTGTTCAATCCCGGGGTAATCTACCCATCGGACTATATCTCCATTATATCCCTAAATATCAAGCATCAGAGATTGAATAAAAATACCAAGCCACCGCAATTTCGCCATGGTAATCAAGCTAACTCAACTCAAATTGAACCCATACTGTACTGAATAGATTTCGAGTTGTACTTAAAGCAACATATATCCTGCGTCTCCTGTACTATCAAAGCATGGTGATTTTTTTCAACTGGTCCAACGAACCAATGGCAGTATCACCCTGGAGGCTTTGCCGGGTCGCAATCTTCTTGGCATTCAGCAGATTGACAAAGCCTCTCGACAGGGTCTGGTACACGCGCGAGATGATAGGCGCAGGGACGCGGATGATGCCGTCGTCCAGGCTTTGCCTGAGTTAAGATTGACTTGTTTGGGAAAATGATGCGGATTTATGTGGGATTTAAGGAGATTGCAGGGATATGATGGGAAATTATAGGGAAATGAATGCGGTTTGATTAGAAATATGAGGGTCCGGTTGGACTATTGTGAAATAATTTCAAACGAATCAAACCAAAAATGGTTTGAGAGAAAGCTTGCGTGTAAAATCACAAACTTCCTATTATTGTTGTCCTTGAATTGACACGACCACATAAGAAGGTTTGCAGCCGTACAAGAAAAGATAGAACGAACATATCTTTTGGTAATAGTAACCTCTATATCCTCCAGTAAACTAAGATAATTATAGATTATAGATGTGGAAAACCCACCATTTGATACCATTTGCATCCATTTGCATAATATTTTCCTTGGGAAACCACCGGTTTTCCAGCTTGGTTGTCGTACTGCTTGGTGGAATCGCATGTGGCAAATCCCAGGTCTGTACCCTGCTTGAGGGGAAGAGTCCCATGGTACCCTCTGGTAATGACTCACATAGCTATTGAAAATGGCCATAGAAATAGTGGATTTTCCCATTAAAAATGGTGATTTTCCATTGCTATGTTGGGTAAATCCCAGGGTTTTTAGTCATTTGACCTCTGAATCTTGTCACATGATGGGCAATTATCTAAGATCTGTGCATGCGCCACAAAGGAAATGCGCAACACCTGTAGTGAACCTCCCTTTGACCGGAGAAGGTTCTTTTGTTGAATGTCTGTGCGTATTGATGTGCAACGAAATGGGGTATACCCCCAAATGGCAGTTTTCACAGGGACACATTATTTTTTTGCAAGGTTTTCCAATGTTTTCCATGATGTTCCGCTTCATGCTGCCATATATGTTTGGACAAACTTATCAGCTTCATTCAGCTTATGATTCGTTCCGATGGTCCAATGGTCATGGATACACCTCCTCCGGCCCGGCAGCGGCAGCCGGTCCGGCCAAGCGTCGTAATCAAGGACTGGATGAGATGAAGCAATACTTCCTAAGAACCCGGAAGGAGCAGCAGCATGTTGAAAAAAACTCAACCGCCATGCCAACTCAATAGATCTCAAGATACAACCGATGCTCATCAAGGTGGCAATGGACTATTCCCTGTTGAGTTCCATGATTTTCCCAACATCCATTGAGTTTGAGGATTTGTCCGTGGATTTTCCTCTAAAAAACCATGAGAAAAACCTCTATTCCTCGGTGATTTTCAGGCCCGATTTTCTGTGAAATCATGGCCCCGTCCAAGCCGTCCAAGCGACGACCCGATTAAAGCCATGCTCGCTGCAGGTTTGCAGGTGATGCAACGTCCCATTGTCCAATCCTTGAGGATCGATGGTTTCCTGAGGATCTGATGCTAGGATCGGATCTGATGGCAGGATCTGATGTGAACATGTCTGCTGATATACCGTCTGGTTATGACTAACATAGCATAACATAGCCATGGTATAGATGGCCCATTTATATAGGTTTACCGAACTTAAACATGGTGATTTTCCATGGCAATGTTAAATAACCAGATGGTAGAATTAAAACCTCTGGTCTTACATCATATGCCAGATGAATGGTAGATGCATAGAATGGAGACTCTGATTGCATCCATGAATGATGGAGGGGATAATGCACCCACGCCAAACTCATTTTTGTTCCTACGTTTTTTCATAAAGGGAAGGTGACTGAAGCTGAGCTTCTCTTATCAAGATCTTCAAGTTGACCAAATTACAACTAGACTCTAAACGCCTCTTTGAGCCGCCCCTGTAATAAAAGCGGCGCCTTTCTGAAACCAATGATAGGAAAGCAATCAAAATATTGCCCGTTGCCCCAGCTGTTAAAGCAACAACTTTCCAAAATCACATTGTTACCAGTAGGCCAAAGTGATTCTCCAACAATGTCAGTTTTTTTAAAAAAAATCTTGGGTGAGATCACCCATCAATATCATCATTATGTGATATTTTTTATCGTGGTTGATGATGATATCATGGCTGATGATGGTATCAATCACTTGAATCAATATCATCATATATCATCATATATTAATATATCATCCATCATCATCCATCATCATCCATCATCATCCATCATCATCCATCAATCATTGAATCAATATCATCATATATCATGGTTATAATCCATCCATCATGTGATTCTTTAAATCCTTAACCACTCAGCCTGCAATACACTGCCAGGCCGCACAGTCCGTGGCATCCTCCCCGCCGATCTCCTTGAGAGCCGTGCCGTGGCAGAGACTCATCAGGCGCACGATCCTGGTCATGGGCCATGGACCAAAACACAAAAGATGAAGATTTGGCATGTGTATGAAAGTTTACTTGATGTATGTGGTGTCTATATAGTCTATATAGATACATATGTATATATACATATAATTATAATGAATTATATATATATATACAATATGCTGTATGTTGTTCATAAAAGCAAGACAATATGAATCTTTGATTCAGTTGAACACAGAAAAAACAAAAAGTGGGAGTCCATAGACCTTGGAGCGGAGGGAAGAAGCTATTGAAGAAGCTTTGCTGAAAGGAAGTTCATCAGAAATGGAGCAACTCCATTCTACTGACCCCAAAGCCTGGTTCAAATTCGTTCTGACCAAGAAAACAACTAAAATTTGACATATCTTGGCCAATGTTGCTCTCTCTAAATGGAAACTGGGCAGAGAAACTTATCAAATCCGGTTAACATCAAATTGCCAAAAATCCCTTTCAGACCTGCCATGTTTCGGTGGTATCATTCCCCACTTCCTGGGTGTTTCATTTGGCTCACGAAAACAGCCAGTGGGACCCCAGGTCGGACCCCACAAAAAGCTTCGCATCAATGCCGTCAAAGTGCGTATGACGAAAGGCCATGGTGTCTTTCTCTCGATCTTTGATGCCTCAGAAACTTTGCCAAAGGGACAAATCCAACTGCCGTGGAGGTAAGCAGGAGAATCTAGAGGATTCCCCAACTTCAGAACCAAGCATCCGTTAGGCATCCGTAGGCCGCGTCAGTATTCTCTCAATGTGGTTGCACATGCCAAATGTATCCAAATGTGTATGCCATTGGTTGTAGGTGATATTCCCACATCTCTTGGATACTCTTCCAATAGTCGTTGGACATGCCAAATGTAAACGGATATCAATGAGAATTTTCCAGCCACATCTAGAGTTTTTTGCGGATTGGCGAAGGAACAAATTGCAGGAAACCCATCCTTTTGGCTGGTAAATCCCCAAAAAAAACCTGTAGAGGTTCCCTTATCCCACCAAAGATCCTGACCCATGACGGATCCATGGTGCTGCTAGATTAATGGTGCTCCATGGATCCCATCAATATCCCCCATTCATGTTCGCATTAATATACCAGCACCATGGATCCGTCATGGGTAATGGTGACATAATGTGATTCATTCGATTCAGAAACGTGACACCACCGGCAGCGCGAGCGAAAAAGGTGCCTGCTCGAGTGAAGGTGACACAACAACTCACGGAGTCAAACCATTCACCACCTTGGTGAGCTGAGCTGAAGCAGCAAATGGCTGATGGTGGTTAAGTTGGGGATGATGTCTTATTTCATCTTATTTTGTATAGATGATCATGACATTGACATGTTGCATCTGATGTTAGCAACTTTGACATGTGGCATCTTCGCTATGCTGATCTATCCTGTATGGATGTTCGCACTATACGTAATAATTACACAAAAACATAAAGGCGTTTGATCTAAGCCCAAATCCTGTCAATAGAAAGCGGATGGAAAAATATCATCGAAGCCATCCTTTTTGGACGTTCATCTGAGCCCGGTTTTGTCAACTTGATCTCTGCTCCAGTGACTCCAGTGCCCACAACATCCCACAACCATCACTTCTAGGGACAGACTGTTCAAGTTCATCCCACAATTGTTTGAAAAAAAAAACAATCTCATAGCCCAGTCAACAGTGCAATTATATATATATATATTTATATGTATGGACAAATTGGTAAAACATCAAGTAGCATAAGCATTTTATCTTGGTATGGCAATTTATCCCATATGTTTTCCACATTTTATGTCACCAACGATTTCATCCCTTAGATATCCTCTTTCCTAGGACCCAACAGCCAAGCTGCGCATCTGGTGCAACAGTCCAGTGCCTTCCCAGAAGCGCGCCATGGCGCGGTTAATCCGAAAGATCAAAAGGCTGAAGAGCACCCCAGTGGCTGCTTGCCACAGCCTGAAACGACTTGACATAGTTTGACATACCCTCCGGTAAACATACAAAAAACGATGTAAAATCACCATGTTTAATAGGTAAATCCACTATTTCGACTGGGCCATGTTCAATACTTTGACAAGCTGGTGATAGTTGGGTTTGAGACAAGTCATGAACAAACTGGGGAAAAAGCTGGTGAAAGATCGGGCTCAACTGATGGGAAATGGGCTGTTTTCACCAAGACACTGACTCTGTTGCGCTTCCAAGATCCCAGATTTTTCACGGAAGTCTGGGATCAATCTATCCGAATAGGCCAGGAATAAGGCCTTGGGTCGGGGCAAATGTGATGGGCACATCATGGCACATCCAAGTTGCATTGGAGACTTCTTTGATTGTCCCATTTTTCATGAGAAGATGTCTAAATCAATCTCAATTCATATCCCAAGTCGTCCATGTATAGTGTATACATTATGAAATATTATTACACAGTATTACATCCCAGATTATAATATTATAGATATGAAATACACTTATCATATGGATATTTTATTACAGATAATTACAGATTTATCAAAAACTATCATAGATTGACCTTAAGTTTTATATGGACCAATAGAAGTTTGAGACAGTCATAGTCAAAAACATTGATCCACCCACCCCATGCTATTTTCAAAAAGCAGATCTCGCGGCCATGGCACCACCAGCCCGGTGGGGATGGCGAAATAACAGGCCCTCGGGGCCACTGAGCCTGGCGAAGCCGCTCAAGATGTGAAAAATGCCTGTTAAATGATGAAGATCTATGGCGAATATTCGCGAATATATTGGCGAATTACATGTAAACATGGCTGGGATATGGAATTTTAAGATGGAATTTAAGGGGATGATGATGAAATCAGGGGAAATCAGCCCAGCGAGTTCATGCGGATGCAAGGGGAATTATGATCATCTCACAGAATCAGGGGTACCACATTTTCAGACAAACCATGCATTTGATGGGCAAACTAAATGGAGATATCGTGGGAGATCATCAACAAAACTGGGGATCATTAGTACAATATGTACAGTACCCTCTGGTAAATCACAATTTTTAATGGGTAAATCCACTATTTCTATGGGCATTTTCAATAGCTATGTTAGTTTACCAGAGGGTAACCAACGATAGAATTGCAGGATATTGCATGAGCCTATGTGGTCGGTCGGTGGTTGAAGGCACCCATCTCAAAAAAATCGGGTTGAGTCAAGTTTGGATCGTTTCATGTGTCAGAATGGGAAAAATGATTGACACCACCAACCAAATATTTTTACAAGAGGCAATAATGATACCTGGCCTGTATAGACACCGGTTGGTTAAAGTATGTTAATGTTTGACCAATGAAGCCTGGTCAATACATTCCTAACCATACTCAACCAACAAAGGCTTCTGCGTGGTTCCTATGGATTCATCCGGGTCGTATGCGGAGCTCATTTCAACCTGACAGGCTGTCCATCTACCCATGGTGATTTGTCCGCCCTCAACAACACTAACATCAGCCATATCACTTGGCATTGGCTTGATACACAAACTTCAAGCCTGATATCCACCGGATTTTCTGGGTGTAAGATGTTGTAAGTCCCGGAATGCTGTCACCCATCATTCTAGACATACAACTCATTACAAGTCCCACCTTGTAGTCGGAAGAGCGTGGTGATCAACCAATCTTCGCTGTACTCGATCATTGCCAGAACTCACTGCGCTCACGAAGCAACGACCCGTGTGGAAACAACGAGGCTCCCCAGCACAGTTCCACCGGCCATGGGCGGCACATGGCAGGCTGATGCTCTGAAGTTGAACATGGGTGATGAACTGCGATTTCGTATGCGTAAAATATCTCATTTACCATCTGGTTATTTAACATAGCCATGGAAAATCACCATTTTTAATAGGTAACAATCTATAAATGGGCCATTTTCCATGGCTATGTTAAATAAACCAGAGGGTACCGGTATATCATTATGTCTGGTTGGTGGTTGAGCCCTACCGTACCCCTCTGAAAAATGATGGAGTTCGTCAGTTGGGATGATGACATTCCCAATATATGGAAAAATAAAAGCCATGTTCCAAACCACCAACCAGTGATCTGTATAGTACTGGAGAACTGTTGACGAGTCCTCTGACCTGAGCAAGGCATTTTTTCTGAGCTGTGATTGGTGGGATTATGTGGGATTCAACTGGTGGGTGGAAATCTTGTCGATCTGAACCTGAGGCTGTTTTGGGCCCGTTCAGATTTACTGCCGTTCTAATATTCCGAAGCTGAAGCGAAAGCGGCCCAAGCCGGTGACTGTGGGTGTGGTTTGATATGCCAGACATTGCCAGACCTGGAACCCAACAAACAACACCAAAAGCCCAAACTCATTGGTACTTGTTATCTTGTTGGTGACACTGACGTTCTTCCCGGCATCGGCGAGGACACGTCCATATTGCAAATCACCAACACATCATTGCTCTTCTTGTTCAAATGCTACCAGTACAAGATGTACAAGTTATAAATGGTCGGCCCATGTCAGCCCATTCACTTGCCGCTATGATTTTTTTATATTAATCATAATCTTGGTTTAGTAAAATTGGATTAAATTGGCTATCCTAAAAATATCTAAGTCCCAGATTATCCCTTTAACTTATGGGGAACCTGTGGCCGGAGCGGTAAACGAAGCTGTGGCCGGAGCTGTGCTGGGCTCCATACATGTCAGTTCGTGCAGTTTCCCGGCGACGACAACCCTGCGAAGGACCCTAAACCCATCTGAAGCTGCTGCAAAGGTACTCCCAAATGTATGCAGAGCTCCATTTTACATGATTCTAGTATATCTGAAAAAAAGCCTTGTTGAGGTTTTGTTGATTTGTTTTACCTTTCTGGGAAGTTTTGTTGGACTCTTGGTTGTCCAAAGAGGTGTTTTTTTTTGTTATTTCACTTTTGAAAACAAGTTATTGACTTTAACAAAATTGATCCAAACATATCCAAACCGAGTCGTTTTTCACCATTTGTCGTCGAAAAATTGATCCAGCTTGCGGCACCGATGATTTTTGTCGCCTCCATCAGAGCTGCCATGGCCTCCTCTGGAGATCGAGCCTGCAGAAATCTTCAAAAGAACGAGATTTCACATAGAATCATATACTGTATATTGTAGGATCATTTAGATGATTAGATTGATTTAGGCAATATAATCTGGTCGACACTTTTGCGGTTTCACCATCTTTCATGGACGCTTAAGCGGCCAAAGTTGGAGATTCAATGCAGTTTGGAGTTTTTCCGAGTGTGAAAAATTGGAGTATGTTTCGTGTGGCTTTTCAATGTGGGCAGCCTGGGGGCCCCTCTATTCACGAACCAATGAGAATTTGTGACGACATCTACATGGCGGCTACATAGGTGCATAGTGCATCCAGTCAATTTCTCGGTATATGGGTTGTTTTAAAGCAAAACCATGATCCACCCATAGGCAAATAATCAATGCAAAGCATGGGCTTGTAATTTAACATGTTGAGAATTAACCTACCCATTCATTGATTAAAGAACACATGTGATGTGATGGTGTGATGGCTCCACACTAAACATTGCCAATCCATCTGCTGAGGGTTTGAGATTTTGATCGTTTTTGATCCATATCCAGATCCAACTGACCAACCCACCCCGATCTTAAATAGAACTGGGGATGTTTTTGTGCGCAAACTTCTGATACGTGGTCTACCTTGGAAGAAATGGCTGCTCCAACCATTGTCCAACCACGCCCCGAAGAAATGGCGAGGAGTCCGGGGTCTCTGGCGATCCACGTGATGGCTTCAGGACATCGGAAACTCAGCAATCCTGAAGAGCTGACTGGGGACTCGTTGTTGGAGTTAACTGAGTTGGTGCATGTTGGTGCCGGGTGTCAAACCTGCAACTTTTTCTAGACATAATATGATGATTCCATGATTATGTGTGTGGAAACTGAAGAATAACTTTTTGTTTTACAAACAAGCCATGCAATAATGATATTATGGTGAATATGGTGAAAGTTCTTCGTGTTGCCTGGCAAACGAATGGCTGGATTCACGACCTGCCAGGATAGGCAACACCTTGTGTGTTTCAAAATTGAGTTGCTGTTCCAAAAAAACTCTAACTTTAGCCCCAGACCGCGGAAAACCATCGATAGCAACGACATTTAAAAGAACCTCATGAATCCTTATGATTCATCAATGACAACAGGTGTGAAATTTTGGGGTGAATCGCGTTTTTACAAACACGTGAGCCCGTTGTGCCTCCGCCATTCTCACGAACTTCATGCACATCAACCTGAGCATCGCACCACTGCCATGTGATTTTCTGCACAACTATGGCCCTCCAAATATGTTTGTTTTTGTTGGCTTATACACCCCTTTAACACCCATTTAACTATACATTCACCATTAAACCCTTTGGTTCAATCACTTTATATCATAGTTATAGAATATTTATCATATAGTTGTACAATATTTATCATAGTGATACAATAAACATCATAGTTTTACAATAAATATCATAGTTATACCCATAGTTATATCACCCTATGGATCCATGGCCACTGTCTGAGAAGGTACGGCTAACCCTCCAAATTCTAGTAAATTATACCCCAGTCCCACTTCCTGAGAAGGTACGACTGGATCCATAGTTATATCATGTTATACCAAACATCATAGTGATACAATAAACATCATAGTTATACAATACATATCATAGTTATACCACAAATATCATGTTATACCCATAGTTATATAATATTATACCACCAATATACCAGTGCCACCAATTTGCCGATGATTTTGCCGTTTTGGCCCCCCCCTTCCTGATCATGGAATCCCATGGATCCCGGCGGTGGTCACCGTGCTTCCAGGTGCCAACAGGTCTCGCACCTGTCAGATCCGTTGAAATCGACCCTGGGGTCGTCGAAATGGTGATTTTTTACCTATGTTTAACCGTTGAACATGGTGAATTCATGGTGATTTCATGGTCTGAAAATGGGGATGTATATCTATATATATATATATATAATGATATATATATAAGAATCTGGTAATGGGATACAGCTATTGTAACTACCTCACTATGATTTGGGTGCCTTCAAATTTGAGTGTGACACCATTGCCGAAACTTGCGGAAATTGCCTGTATTTGCCTGCATCAATCCGTCCATGTGGACTTCATGGAAAGAAACCATGCTATTGCACTCTTGAGATTCTTGAGCACATGGTTGCCATTTCACATCAGTAATCTTATTAATTACCCAGCTGGATGAAGATCCAAGCAACCTTTGACTTCAAGTTTCCGATGTTTCAGAAGGTTTCACGATGCCATCATCTTGGCTAATCTGAGATTCCCCCACAAAAGAAATCAGCCATTTATTTCGGATTTAGGTAACAGTGAGGTATTAGATGGAATTAGTTAGACTTATCAATTTATAGATAAGGCATTTTTACCCTAAACTTCAACCGAACCCGAACCCCGTTCTCCCAGCCCAAACGCTTCCAGGTTCCTTGAAAATTGCAGGCCCCATGGCCCCATGCCACACCTTCTCGTTGTAAACTTCCAGCACAGACACCTCGATGGGAAATATATCGAAATATGGCAGAGAATCGGAGAATCCGACATGTTTTTGCGACTGAAGTTCCGGGTTTTGGAGATGAATCTCTGCTAAGAAACGTCCGTTAAGAAATAGACTTTCTGACGTTGCCAGAGGCACCATCTTTATATGAACAATTGGTTCCAGATCATCAAACACTCTCGATTGCTCGAAAAAAATCTGAACTGATGAGACTGTTGGATGATCAAAACATGTCATTCCCATTTACATTAAGAGATATGAGAGATGGGCATCTTGAAGATGGAGAAGGTTTGCATGCCGGCATGCCCTTTATATATTGTTTGATTTAAGATGAAAGAAACAGCCCCAAAAGTCCAGAAGGTAGAGAACAACTATATTTGTTCTCACACATCACGAAAAGATCACACAAAAAAACGTAGAGGGAACCATTTTGACATGGCTACCTTAGAGATCCATTTAAAAAAAACATTTGGCATCCAATGAGGAACCCAAATCCTCAAGCTCCACATGGTTCCTCGTGACAGATCAGTCCGGCAGATCGCCTCGATCCGCCATGCAGCCTTGCCTGGCGGAGCCACCATGGGTTTTCTGGTTTTCAAATTTCGATCATCTATGGGATCTATGGGATCTATGGGATCTATGGGATCTGTGATCTATGGGACTAGTGGGATCCACCATGGATCTATGGGATCCACCATGAAAGGTCATTGATGAAATGTCGGCAACTTCCGACATCATCGACAGAATCTCTTGTGATGAATAATGGATGTAGCCTCCATTAATAATTGGAGCATCTGCAAAAAAATCAAATGAAATGAAATGAATTGAAAATTAGGTCCTAAAATGCAGACCATCTTAAAACCTTAAATTGCCTTAAAACTTAAAACCATTTCTTGGGATAATTGTTGTCTATGACTGTCCGAACCATCTCTGGTGTTCACCTCTGGAAAGCTCCTGAAATCTATGCTGCCTTTTGGACTATGTGAAATTGTCTATGTTCTCCATGTGTATATACGCACCCTACAAATGTCTCACGTTTGTCTCTTGTTTGGAATTCCGGAGGCTAACATGTTTCCATCTTCACTCTTGAAACATGATCACCGGTTGAAACCTTCTGTGGAATACCAATATCCATATTGAATCCAAAGAAGAGGTTGTTGTCGGTCCAAAATAGAACATCTATAACTCAGGTATGGGCGCTAGTTCTTTCGGGGATAAGAACTCCTTCTTGGATGGTTCATTGTGAGTTTCTTTGAGTTGGTGTTTGATATATCATTGGGGATGGTCATACCGTCATACCTATCAACGAGTATATCAATATGAATCACTATGATGGATGGTGTATCCTCCGTTTTTGATACCCTCTGGTAATTTGTTACATGGCAGTGTGTCAAAACCTTGTACCCCTGGTGAACATCAAAATAGCTGGTAAATGGATGTTCATCCCCCTAAAAATGGTATTAATAGGTATTGATCCATACCCACATAGCTATTGAAAATGGTGATTTATAGTGGACTTACCCATTGAACATGGTGGATCTTTCCATAGCTTTTTGTATGTTTACCAGAGGGTAAATCATTCTGTAAACATGACCCTCTGGTTATGACTAACAGTTCGCCATGGAAAATCCCAACCATAAATGGAGGTTTAAATCGCTGGGAAAATAATCTATTTCTATGGGTCATCTATACCGTGGCTTGAAGATCATTGGCTTGCCCACCCCTGGCAGCCCCCTGGCAGCCCCCCCCCTAGGTGTCCAGACGCAGTCCCGCGAAGACCCCTGCGATGGCGCGTGGTGCCACACCACGGGCAGGGCCAGTCTCGCGGAAGAGAAGGGCGGTGCCCAGCATCGGGTGCAGTTGGAAGTGCAGTTCCATTTTTTTTGGTGGTTAATAGTGGTTAATAGTGATTAATAGTGACTAACACCTGATCTAGTGAATAATATAATCTGGTTGGTGGTTTCAACCTACCCCTCTGAAAAATATGAAAGTCAGTTGGGATGATTATTCCCAATATATGGAAAGTCATAAAAGCCATGTTCCAAACCACCAGCCAGATAACCAATTATGGATACATGTTTTTTCTAACTGAAGATATTTAACCACCGTAACCACATGTATAATATCGGATATCTTCAGTTACAAAATTGAATTACCATCTGGTTATTTAACACTTTGCCATGGAAAATCACCATGTTTAAGAACAGTGTTTACCATCTATTTCTATGGGCCATGGCTTAACCGTGGCAAACTGTTAGTCATAACCAGAGGGTAACTATTATTAACCATAGATTAGTAACCATGGATTAACCATATATTTACCATATATTACCAGAGGGTATAAAAAAAAAAAAACAGCCACTTACGATTGCTGGGATATACATCCAAGTGGTAGGAACGATGTGCTGGGTGCACGTAGCAATTGCTGGGTTGGAAGAGACTTAATGCAACCATTCGACATCAGCATTGAGGAAGTTCCTTTTCAATATCTCATGATATGAATGATCTGGGAAACGAATTTGGGAAGAACTCTGCTTTCAATGAAATTAGGGGGCTATTCTTGGACAAGTTTCCCAACATGTCCTAATGTATACAAGATAGGAACCATGTTCAGGCATTGGCCTAGACAAATTGGGGGTGTACTATCTGGAAGGTTACTAACTTCGCAAACCATTTTGGGTTCCTATCGTTGCAGTTCTGGTTGCAACGTTGCCAGATTTTGTTCAGCTGGAGCCATGTTGACGAAAGTTGGAGAACGATGTCGAACGGTATCCCAAACTCGGGTCATCGCCCGCAATGTGTTTTAGGGTGAAGACAAGGGGATCAGTGGCTTTGAGTCCCATTTTAAAGACCATGATTAATTATGGAGGATCTTTATCATATATATGTGTCCATATAATATAATCATATTATAATATCATATATAATCATATTATAATATAGTCAGACCACATATATTTATCATATAATATCATATATTTAATTATTTAATATGTGTGTCCAAGGTAGCTCTGACTTATGATCTGAAGATGGTGTTGAAATCTTATCAACTGATTGCACTGCGCATCCCGAACTCACGATGTGGTGAAGACATCATCTCTGTGATGATGGTAGTGATATGGCAACAGTGGTGGTAGCAGTTGCGAGAAAAGGGGGAATGGTAGGAAACCCCATGTACAACCTGTTCCAACTGCTATAGCCATCTCCTGCTACTTTATTTTCGCTTGTTGGCGGCATGGGAGAGATTAAACACATTAACATACACGAGCTAACAAGATCAGAAACTGGCACCGGTGGGCCATAAAAGTTCCAAAAAAGTTGCAACCATCTTTAAACAATATCTTGCCTGAATGTTTCACAATATGTTTCAACGCACGTATGTCGCATGGATTGCCACAATTCTCAGTTAACTGCCACTGCCGCCCCACCCCGGTCCTTCGAGCCGATCATGCCTCAAATAAACTGATTTTGTTGGTGCGCACAATCAACAAAAACATCACTGGTTGGTAGTTTCAACCCCTCTGAAAAATATGAAAGTCAATGGGAAGGATTATCCAGTGCGTATCGATCTACCCCAGAATATGACCAAGTTGGTTGATCTAAACGGTGCGTTCCAGGTCCAAAATTGACATGATTCATCATGATTCTCTAACGTATCAAGTGATCCCAAATTAACAAATGAGCAACATGCACAGCATGTTTTAACTGGAACCAGGTGCAGCTTGTGCTGAACCACGATCCCAGTGACTACATATCTCAAGTCATGTCGAAAAAGTTGTGTCTCAAAGGTCACTCTAGCAACCACGAGTGAGTGGATACTTTGATGTCATCTATATAATCTGGTTGGTGGTATACCTACCCTCTGAAAAATATGAAAGTCAGTTGGGATCATTATTCCCAATATATGGAAAGTCATAAAAGCCATGTTCCAAACCACCAACCAGTAATTGTTTGTTTGGACAGGACATCATGTTTCGACTAGGCTTTTGCGGCTACCATCCAGATGTGGGATGTCTTCCCCGAGAAAAATCTGGAAATATCAGGAATCAGGCCTGGAAATCCGTTGCAAAACGCCGAAGAACACGATTTCACAAATGACATCAATTTTTACCAAAGAAGCTAGTTGGTATGTGTACAATCTCATGAAACCGGCATCTAAGCCATAAGCCATCAGCTATAACCATCTCCAGTTCCAACCAGTGCTCGTCTCAAAATGCTGGATGCCAAACCGACATCCGACCAATCTATTCTGCTTCGCCCTGGCACGATGACCTGGATATATGGATGGTTCCGGTGGGTAACAACATCCCTATGAAACCAGATGGCTTTTGACGGTTTTTGACATGTTATTAACATGTTATACCCATTCATAACCCACTTAAAGCCACCAAGAAGGGCCCAAGTTGCTATAGGTCTTGCCAGATCCAGTCTGGCCATAGGCGATGACCGCCCCGTTGTATCCCTTGGACACGGCATCCACGATGGGTGCCACAGCGGTGTCGTAGAGCTGGCGAACACCGGATGCTGGGAAGGTGCTTGGAACGAGTCGCGTGTAGGGAAAAGATGGAAGAGAGTGATTTAAGGGAAAACTGTAGGCAAAATTTTAAATATATATATATATATCGGTATCTGTAATGGTTTAAGGGACATTGTGAAACTTTGAACATGTTTTTTTTTGTCACAACAACCATACTTTGCAACTCTTTCTGAGTCCGAAGAGATTGAACCGTCGAAGCAAGAAGGGTTTAGTCGAACCGTGGCATTGTTGGTGAGGATCACTAGAGTTGGAGTACATATCTGCTGTGGAAATGGCTGAAACACACACCCAAACGGTATCAATTGAAGTGAATTCTCAGAAGTGACCACCCCAATTTTCTCTTGGAATAGTTCCAAATCATGATGACACGATGAATGAAGTGTAATGAAGTGAGGACTTAGTCACTGCAACCGATGAATGAAGTGAGGACTTCTTTAAACAACAACCCAGCCGCCGAATCTTGTGGAATTGGCCGGCAAAAGCTGGAGACTCGCTGCTGTCAAAACAAAAAAAATCCAGGAAATTCATCTGGAGCGGTTTCAGTCACAGGAAAGTGAATGATTGCGACATCACGTATTGAATCCCGATGAGGGGTCATAGGATGTTATAGTTCATAGTATGTCATAGTATGTCATAGTTGGAACGTTGACAGTACATTTTTCAAAATCATTGGCTCAAACCGGGAGGCTTTGATGTTTCGCTATCCCAAACCGGGACGTTTTGTCAATACTAAAATGGTCTCAAAGCCTTGACTCTCTGGACTGTAATAACCAAAAAATAGCCCAAAAAAATCATTGACTGTGACGTCACGTATTGAATAGTTCGATAGAATGATAGAATAGCAAATAGTTGATGAAACTGGAGATGTTACAGTACTATATCTATTTCATTCTATGTCTATTGTATCTATTATTGTAACTATTCACTAAATGGATCATACCCTCATTCATTGACCATTTTACTACACAAATTTCTGGTCACCGACTCCCCTTGTAGTCGCCTCCTCCTGTGTGGCCTGCGTTCCAAAGGCGTGATCACAACACCTGCCGACAATTTTTTTGGACCCATGCCGTGAATGGAAAAGGCACAGAATGTGCAAAACCACAATGGTTTTTTAAGCATCTGGAATATCTAATTCATTGATATCATACATTGTTTTTTTCCCCACCTGCCAGGTGAGGGTTGTTAGATTTTATGTCAGTTGCCTCCTCCTCCTCCTCCTTCTCCTCCTTCTCCTCCTCCTGCTCCTCCTCCTCCTCCTCCGCCTCCTCCTGCCTCGTCCTCCTCCTCCTCGTCCTCCTTGTCATCCTTGTCGTCCTTGCTCAACTGCGACCCGCGATCCACAGTGTTCTCTGCCGGACCTCAACCACGACCACCCGCGCCCAGTGTTCCCTGCCGGACCTCAACCACGACCATCCACGCCCAGTGTTCCCTGCCGGACCTCAACCACGACCATCCACGCCCAGTGTTCCCTGCCGGACCTCAACCACGACCATCCGCGCCCAGTGTTCCCTGCCGGACCTCAACCGCGACCATCCGCGCCCAGTGTTCCCTGCCGGACCTCAACCGCGACCATCCGCGCCCAGTGTTCCCTGCCGGACCTCATGTAGGAAGATATGGGACAAAGAATGTGCAGAAGAAAGTCAGAAAGAATGTCAGAAAGAATGTCAGAAGATATGCCAGAAGATATGCCAGAAGATATGCCAGATAATATGCCAGAAGATATGCCAGATAGAATGCCAGAAGATATGCCAGAACATATGCCAGAAGATATGCCAGATAGAATCCCAGAAGATTTGCCAGATAATATGCCAGAAGATATGCCAAAAGATATGCCAGATAGAATGCCAGAAGATATGCCAGAAGATATGCCAGAAGATATACCAGAAGATATGCCAGATAGAATGCCAGAAGATATGTCAGAATATATGCCAGAAGATATGCCAGATAGAATGCCAGATTGAATGCCAGAAGATATGTCAGATATAATGCCAGAAGATATGCCAGATAGAATGCCAGAAGATTTGCCAGATAGAATGCCAGAAGATATGCCAGAAGATATGCCAGATCATTTGCCAGAAGATATGCCAGATAGAATGCCAAATAGAATGTCAGAAGATATGTCAGATAGAATGCCAGAAGATTTGCCAGTAAGAAAATGTATAAATGACATGGTGGGGATCACACGAAGTAAAGTATTTTTTTTGGGACGAACAAAAATGACGATCATCCCCAATTCACACAACTTTTGGATTGTCCAGTATTGTAAACCATACCCCGAAACGGGATTACAGATTATATATATATATATTACATATATATATAATATATATATATATCACATAGATTCATATAGTATTAGGCTTACCACAGTAGCAAATGGGAGCACTTCAATAGATCACGACAACACATGGGGGTAGAATCAAGCAAATAAGGAAGATCAACCAAAGGTTTTGTACAGTTGCTGAGCACTCATCCCCTCTGGTAAACATACAAAAAGCTATGGAAAATCAACATTTTTAATGGGTAAATCCACTATTTCTATGGTCATTTTCAATAGCTATGCAACAAATTACCAGAGGGTACCTGCCATACCTCTCAGCCCATCTTCCAACTTCTTCAGAGGCACACACTCCACTCACCGTCGCCATCGGAGCGTTTGTTCGGCGTGTCCCCCAGGAAACTCAGCAAACCCTTGTCCACCTGGTTCGGAACAAAAAGTGGTCTGGAAATGGGATGTCTTATTTTGTTCTCAGAAAATCATAGTAGTGTACCTGGTGGTGTTGAATCCATTTAAACTATTTAAAACTGTCAACCATACCTTGCTTTGCACAGTTACTATAACCAACAACCAACAGGCTCTGGGGCCCTGGGGTATGTTTGCCGTCAGCTGTGATCGCGTCGTTCCCACACTGAGTTTGGCGCCAGCGGCTTCAATCGAACTGTCTCACCATCGACGAAGGCTGTCTCCTGGTGCCGTCTCTGTGGACCACCCCCCGTTGCAACCGCCACGTCTAGCGTTAGCATGTCCTCTTCATAGCCCGGCTTCAGGCGCACGCAGAGCGATACATCACCTGAAGCAGCGAAGTCAATTAGCGTCCAGGTCAACTAGCGAAGTCAGTGTCCAATTAGAATCTGGGTTAAAAATGTTAAAATTACCATAATCAACCCAGAACATTTGTAACATTAATTACCATAACTGATAATTAACCCAGTATCATGATGCTTATCTGCACTTGGAACAGATGAACAACCAACCGCAATCAACCCCATTCATGTGGGGATACCCATATATGAAGTGACCCAAAGCCAGCATCAACAACCTGTCTCATGGCTGCAAGATGTGGGCTGTTCAACCCAAAGAGCCAGACCAGTTAAGACAGAAACAGCTGTGATCACGATGAAAAACTACATCAATTCTTTGGGATGAAACCATCACACACAAATCATATTGTATATCGATTCTTTGAGATGAATAGTGCGTGTACATTCTGTATCAATATATATTAAATTATATATAATTATAATATATATAATTAATATACATATAAACTTATATTTATATATGTATATATAATATATCAGAGTTGTGTTGTTTCAGTAATCATTTAAGCAGTAAATCTAACAGGGAACCGCCTCGGCCACCATCTGAGCAGCGCCGAGAAGCCGAGGGCGAGAGCCTCATGCGAGAGACTCAATACTGATATATGATATACATTTATGTACCAAATAGAAATGACATATCAATATCTATCAATATCTATCTATATCTATCAATATCTATCTATATCTATCTATATCTATCTATATCTATCAATATCTATCTATATCTATCTATATCTATCAATATCTATCTATATCTATCAATATCTATCTATATCTATCTATATCTATCTATATCTATCAATATCTATCAATATCTATCTATATGTATCTATATCAATATCTAGATATAGTATATTTCGTCCAAAAAAAATGAAAGTTTAGGCCTCTTATGAACCAAAACAAGATTGAGAAGTCTAACGGAGATGTAGCATGTTTTAGAGAATGCCACATTTGGGATCCATGTTTTCGAAAATGAAGCGGATAAGCCGTTGCCATGTTAACCCTTGGACGCTACAGCGACATCAGGCTAGTGTGATCTAGTGTGGCTCAAGATTTCACACACAAAGCGCACAAATCCAGAAATGGACTCTAGACTAGTTATGAAACCAATATCTAGACGGGTCATGTTGGTATTGAAGTAAATTAACCGATATTAAACCATATTGTACCACATTGAAAAACATTACTCAGATATGAGGGATGCCTTAAGGGTATAACCCCCGTCAACATACCTCAGAATAATAAAATATTATTCCGGCATAATTTGACTTCAAAAAAACAAGTATTCCAAGAAGTCAATGAGATATATGGGAATTTGGAATAATATCCATCAAAATGATACCCCTATAGTTTTTCGTTTTCAAGGTAGACAATCAAAACCATCCTGATATCCTGGTAGCCAATTTCAAGCCACATATCTGGCACATGTGTGCCCTGACTTGCCTGGTGCCTCTCGAAGAACGAGGATGGGCCCGGGGCGTGCCCTGGCAGAGGATGGGAAGTCGTTGTGCAACAGATCCAATGTTGATTCAGATATATTCAGACATAGCCAATTCTTGGGAAATAGGTGATTTCCAATAAAGCAAATGAATAATAATAAATAAAGAGCAATGACCGCAAGTAAGGTAAAGTCCATGAGGGCTGAACAACTTTTTTCGGGGAAAGTAGTGAACAAATCAATGTCTAGTCTAACTGGGATATGATGTTGTGACGTTGTGTGGCAATGAGGCCTCTCAAATTATCGAGCATTTCAACCTGCCGGAAACTCAGTTCTTGAACAAATCACGCAGCAAGCATCATTCAACTACCTGGAAGATTGAAATAAAACAAGAAAACACATGGCTGCCATGGCTAAAAACTAAAAAACACTTTCTTCAGGTCATGAGTCACACCAATCAAAAACCAGAAGAAATAAGAAATGGGCTCAAACTGGCAGAACCCATTCGGATTGTTTCCTAAACTACAGTCTTGAATAATGTGCATCACCATTCCCTATAGGAAACCATACACCTGGACCTTTGATATCCTTATCTCCTGGCCGGCATGGTCCCCATCCTTGGATAAACTCCAAGTGGGTGGTGTGGAGGGACACGTCAAGCTCTTGGACTCGGCGGCACCCACGGAGTCCTCAGCTGATTTCGATGGAAATAGTGGGTTTAATGGAAAATTTGTCTATAATGGAGGCTTTAGGGGTAGCCCATGACTTGGGAAATCTACACAGATTGCGAGACCTTGGCTGGTAATGACAGAATGGCAGCTCTCTTTTACAAGTGGCGGATGGGAAAAGGTACAGGCAATCCAAAATGATTTGCACTGGATCATCTTATCCCAGTGCTTTCGGTCATCGACTCTGTCATGTTTTATTGTGTTGTGTCATATCATCATGTTTCTTGGATCAATGCACTTGTTACCATTAATGCTATAAATTAGCAGTAATTAGCATGTGTTCAACTCCCAGGTTTGCTTGTCAGAATCATTGAAAGAACACAGCTCGAATGTCCATCTTCTGTTGGTTGCGCTCCGCTATTTGCACGCTGTATTGACTGCATCCTCATCAGGGTTTGCCCAAAAACCAAGCATGCCTCCCTCAAATGACACTTTCGCAAACAAAAATCATGACCAAATGCGACAAAGCATGGGATTCTTTTTGGGGCTATCCGAGCTATCTCATTTTAGTGGTGCTTTTAGCTGGTTGATTCCCTTGATAGCCCATGTTTGCTACGCCAATGTACCAGTCAGACTCGATCCCTTGGCATCCCTGCCATTAATCGAGGGCCTGGACTCGACATGGTGCTCCAACATTCATCGGCCTCGGAGGTTGGACCAGAAACAGCAGAAACAGCAGAAACAGCGGCTGTTTTTCATGGGGATTTCCTGGATATAAACAAATGATAGGTTGTTTACCACTATGAAAATAAATTATACCATCTTTGGGGGGATGATGTTTGGACCGGTCACCAGGATACGAAAAAAGTTTGGACCGGTACCGGTACCTGGGTCAAAAGTTGGGGACAAAAGTTTGGGATGTTTGGCATCTATCTAACAACCAATTCAATTTTTACTACTGCTATCAGCGCCAGTCTTGAAAGTTCGCTGTTCTTGGGACCCTTTGAACGTTCTTTCGCTCACTATGATGTCAATAAGGAAAAACAATGTTCACATATATCCACTATTGGAATGTCATTTTGAAACTCAAATCATAGTCAGAATGGATTACACCAAAGATGTTTAGTCATGATGCAAATCATCCACTACTGATGTTCCAGTTCAATCTGGCTTAATCACAGAATAAGCCACTCAGCACCTTTGACTTAGTTTGGGTCATCCCAACTGCCCTTTCTTCATTGCTTATCAGCCCGGTGATTATGTGTTAAATCTCATTACATTAACTTTACCTGGTCAGAAATGCAACGTTTATCCTAGTTGATCTAGTTGTATACGTCATTCGCCGTGTTTTCTGAAGTCCACTTCGAAATCCATAAACAGTATATTGAACTAAAAACATAGTGAATCCCCGTTTTGACGTATACAACTGTTGTAACTATAGTTCACTAAAGTTGTATGATTCACTGATGGAAAAAACATCGTGAATCCCCAGTTTGATAGGTAACCAATGCCCATTGTGGTACACAGTCAAATCCCATGATTCACAATGAGATCACAGAGAGTCCCCGGCTTTTGGGCTGCAGGTCCCTTCGGCCCCGTCTCCATCTCCAGCACCACCTAGGCGAAGATGGGGCAAAGATGGCTTTCCTGGAAATTCAGAGAATTTTCGTGTTCAACTTGGGGGTGTAGTGCCTGCACAAGCTTGTCATGTACTTGCATCCCATAAGTGAGCGGACATTCTTGCTGTCTAAACCTTCCAAAATGTTTAACAAGTTTTAGCTAAAAGGCTGGTGAGGAACTTGGTTAATCACCACAAAGATACCTACAGGATCTATTTGGGCATTTATGCGGAGCGGCTGAAATGATATGTTTGAGTTTTAGATATACTGGAATGAATTCCATACAAATGGGAGGTCGGATTCTGAAATGTTCAAAACATGTTCCATCCCATGGCGTTCCATCCCATGGTTTACGAGTATGATCATGTTTCCTACTAACGATAAGATGGGGTATCCCACTATCCCACGGAAAATCAGTCAAACTCATGTCCAGCTTCAGGCATAAAACTATCCCTATCCCATTGAAACTAGCATGCATTAGAATGGGTAAGCCTATTGGTTGTATAATATGGTATAATCCCAATGGGATCCCAACTGGCCTAACCAACCATAACGGCCATAACGAGGTCATTTTCTGAAACAGACGACCCGCTGGCCCGGATGAGGAACCCAGACTTTCCTCACACGCCTGATGCCAGAGGATCCCCATGGGGATTCACCACTGACCCAGGGACCCAGAGAATTTTTGGGTAACAAAATTTGAGTATCCAATAATAATAATAGTAATAATAGTAATAATAATAATAATGATCAATAATAATAGTAATAATAGTAATAGTGATCCATAATAATAGTATCCAAGAATAATAATAGTGATCCATAATAATAGTAAGAGTATCTCAAGCTTTTTTGTATAGTGATCCATAATTTAGATTGTTGAGATACAACTTGCCCAGTGATGTGGTGATGGTGAATTTGCATCAAAATAAGAACACTTTGAATGGGATTCCAATTGGTGAAACCAGGCAAATCATGTGATTGTGCAACAAACCACAGATATATTGCAACCAGAAGTATTAATTAATTGGTTCTGTATCAATGGTTTCGGGCACAGCACGATTCCATCCTTTGCCTCATCATTGAAATCTAAAGTGGACAGAAACCATCGACCCTGCAACACCTGAATAACTTACCCCCAAGAAAACAAACATGGGATCCCAAATGGATATGTCCAATTGGAACATAGTTTGCAAATCCCTCTCTAAGGTTGCATGTTTGTTTTGCACAATTTCAAATATAAAAGATGCAATAGATGCAATATTGGAACACATACAGCAATGTTAAACCCCACATTATAGAAGAAAGGACTTGATAAATACGCAGGTGGAACCATCACATCTATCACCTGAATCGCCTTTTTCACAACGGATCTCTAGCAAAAGACACTGATTTTGTTACGCCAAGTTTGATATGACCTCCATCCTCCCAAAAATCCACGGTACCTCAGGTGACCACTGTGGCTCCTGAGCTGACATCTGGGCAGTGACATGATTGAAGTCTTGAATGGTTTTACGGTGCAAAATGAGCAGAACCAAACAAAAATCATTGCGAAAAATGTGTTATATTGTACAATTATTAAGATTTATTAAGCCACACTGACCAAATACCCTCTATAGTAAACTAACATAACTATGGAAAATCACCATTTTTAATGGGTACATCAACAATAAATGGCTATTTTCAACAGCTATGTTTGTTTACCAGAGGGTATACCTTCTGTTGATGCTGGCCGCATCATCCTTTGCCTTTTGGGTGACAAAGACTTGCAACACGCCTCTGACTGCATCTACAGCTGACCTTGCAACCGTACAAACTCATTGCCGGTCGCTGTGTTTCGAACCTGACTGTAGCTGAAAAAGGGTTTCTCTATTCCCAAATGGTAATATCCTTATGGTTAAAATTCAAGTTGTCCATGAAATATAACCCATTCATGTCCATTCATCAATGATGCTCTCATCAAAAATGAGGGTCGGCATGGCCATGCTTAATTTCCCCGTTCTACAACCAGATAAATCCGAATATGATTCATAACCATATTTCCTGTGCTTTCAAGACCTTTCAAGCACAATTTCGTTGATTTCCCAAAGACCACTCTGGTTTTGACGACCTGCGGCTACCGCACCTGAGGCGCCTCCATGTGCGAAATTGGCGCACGAAATTGGCGTCGGAAGCCCAGCAGAAAACACAACTCGTCGCCGTGGAGCATTGTGACTTTTGTGATTTTCGATGTTTCTGAAAACTTGGGGGTTCAGATTCAGGTTTGAGATAGTCATTATAGGAGAGATAATCATTAGGACAGTATGTGGTAAACAAATATTACATCACCTCCTGATGTGATGTTGCCATCTGACACTTTGATCTCAATGATGTTCCCATAACTTGGCTAATGCCGCTGCAGTGAGAGCCAGTATGGTTGGCAATATCGATTGGAAGAGAACCATCTGTGATGATGTCTGGTTTGAAGTCCACGTTCAAATGAAGAACGGCTGTAATTGGGAAACAAGCCAACCTCAGTGTAAAGAGGGTGGAGTACCAGCTTTAGCATCCCATGGAAACTGAGGCAAGAACCAAATCCATCTTTGAACCATGCAAAACATTCTTGGCCAAGGACAAGCTTGTTCCGTATGCACTTCAAAAAAATCTTGATTCAGCGCTCCAAAACTGACCCTTTGCAGTCTTCTATTGGGGTCAAGACACGTTCCGGGTCTGAAGTGTCAGTTGATGGCATGTCACCTCCGCTATGTTGCAGAACAACTAAATATATGACTCAGTAAAACAAACCTTTTGGACTCCCAGGCAACAATATAGTTCTGATCTTGCCCGACACCTATGTCATACTTTTATGATGATATGATGTGGATTCGTCCAAACATGGGGAAATCCAAAAGAATGCTGTTTTAGAACAAAAACATGTGGGCACCATCTTTGCCCAGAAACGTCACTATATCAGACTATATCTACACATATATATAATATATATCTACATATATTTATATATAATATATATATACTGTGTATATATATATATATATATTTGAGACATGCTGTATCTCAATCTCATACTTCTGGGAAGGACATGATCAAACCCACAGCTGCTTCACAGCAAATGAAGAAAGAACACCTTAGCCCGGGAGCCCTTTTCTGCTCGATGCCAAGCACATCGCGCAAATCAGACCTCTGTGGGTCAAGAGGTACCAGCCGGACAAATCGCTGGTCACTTGTAGGATTATTTAGTTGTCTTTCATGGGTATACCCTCTAGTAAACTAACATAGCTATGGAAAATCACCATTTTCAATGGGAAAATCCACTATAAATGGCCCATGTTCAATAGCTATGTTAGTTTACCAGAGGGTAATCATGGTGATTTTTACAAGCCACATGTTTCTTGTGATATTTATGGGCCCCCAAGTCACTATGGTGAACTCTATCCACTTATAACTGCGCTGATGGATGGTTTTGAGCCACACCGCCATACGGTACCTGTCGTTACCTGTACTTGTTGCAAACAACTTCTGACACTCCAAGTAGGAGAATCCCTGAAGTCTTAGATGCCAACCTCTGGTAAACTAACATAGCTATAGAAAAATACAATGTTCAATAGCTACATCAACTATAAATGGCCATGTTCAATAGCTATGTTGGTTTACCAGAGGGTATGCCATGAATATCCACTTACTACAACATCTATGGATTCGATGCCGGTCATTTCCGTCCTGTTTCAAGGGGAACCCAACGTGACTCAGCACGGATCCCTGGGCCACCGACGGTCAACCCTTGAGGCGCAGCGCTCAAACAGCGGAGCTTCCTGCAAGAAACTGATGTATAAACTACCAATATCAATTTAACATTAATTGGACTGTATATACATCAGGTTATATTGGTAGTGTTTAAACTGATGTATATTATGGCTGAGAGTCAAAATGTAAAGCCCCGATCCATACCAAAACGCAGGTGATCCAGACCGATCCATACGTCTGGATCACCGCGGGCCGATCCATACTTGAATTTTGACGCAACCCCACATAATATATATATACATAAATTATGAATAATATTAGATTAAGTCACGTCCAAGAAAAAAACACTTTATCCATATACACTATTCAATCTGCACCACTGAATAGATGCTGTGGTAGATAATGGAATCGTCAATTATACTAAATTATTAACATATCCCTATCCAACACCACAAAACCGAAACATGTTTGTTTCCTCAGTTTGTGTTACGTATGAATTCTCCAAACATAATCGTTAACTGAAATGATCATTTCCAAGATCAGCAGGGTTGTGAACCCCTCATGTCTTTTCCAGGAGCTTGCACAGTTATCGAATATGTTGACGACTGTCAGCAATGAAAAGCCATCTATCCTGAACCTTCCAGATTCCAACCGGTCATTCCTTTCTTTCCAACCGGGTTATCCAAGAAAGAACACGACTGTGTTCTGGTCCCCTTGGAGGATGCCCTCGGGAAATGAACCAATGGTTTGAACCTGTGAAAAACCTATGTCCGATGGTCTTGTGCATCTGGTTTGATCATGTATTGCTTAAAAAAAACCTGACTTTATTATCAAAGTCACATGTTTGAGTGAACAACAGCATGTTATTATAAATATGTTTCAACATCCACATGTTTAACCAACGCGCACACACACACATTTGTTTATTTCTCCAATCAATCAGAACTTATAGTGGTGATTCCCAATTACTCATACTATGGATTCAAAATAATGTGGATTCAGGTCACTGAATCCGACAATCATTTATTTATTGATCAAATCCTCCACTTTTGTTGCGTGGCCATCCCCCACTTTTAGTCATTGTCAATGATTTCATTCCATCCTCATTTCATGAATTCCCGTTGGCTTTGATGTTTAACCCTGTTTAACCCCATCTACAACACTGCCTTTCTATTGGTTCCATCACCGTTCTCTCATCGGATTGGTTTTGTTGGGAAAAAACTACAGTGAAACACCAAAGATTTCTGGTTGGTGGTTTGAAGCCCTCTGAAAAATATGAAAGTCAGTTGGGATTGTTATTCCCAATATATGGAAAGTCATAAAGGCCATGTTCCAAACCACCAACCAGATTTGGATAGGGAAATTCGGAACACCGGACAAACCATGGAAAACCATGGAAAACCCTGATTTCCACTGTAGATTTTCCCAACATTTCACCAATCCATTGAGAACATCGGGACCCTTCGGGACCCTTCGGCGGCCGAACTCCACCTGCATCACCAGAGCCATTGGCCTCACCCGCCTCGAATCGCCTCAGGAGTTGCCGCAACTGTGGCAATTTCGTTGGCAAAATGGGAGTTGCATGGGAGTTACCCTAGAAATTTATTGGCAAAATATGTCTGCAAATGTGCTATATACCACCAAAATGGCTATTCGATAGAATTTGATGCTTTTGCCAAGTTGGAAAATTACAACTTGTAAACGTACTGGATTTGGAGGTGTCGCATGTTCAATCCCCATTTCATTGGTTTGCTTGTCAAGGAAAGATAAGGACAAAGGGGCAATTATTTAAGGTGTTCATGAATATGTCTTGGACATATTCGGAACACACATGTATACAGTATACACATACGTATATATATATGTATTATATATACTGTATATCTATATATATATATATATATGTTATCGGGTTGGCTTTCTGGAAAAGAATTGCAGGAAACCTACAGCAGGTCAAATGACAATCAAGTACGCATTACTGGTTTCCTGCAATGCAGAAATACAAGACTACCACGCCTGCACCAAAAACAAATCATGGTTATACATCCAGACTAAACTGTGCACACATCGCTATACATTTATATACATATATATTATATGTGAAGGACTGTAGTATGAACATCAACAAAAAATCAAATATAAGATATATATAAGTGCCAATGTAGAGACAAATTCAATACATCACACATTTTCACACACTCCACTCATTCTATGCATCCGCCGCGTCGCGGAGTCTCTTTCTCCACGGACGAGGAGGCGGCCTTAGCCGCTGGATCCGTGGTTCAACTCAGCTCATTTTCGCGAAGGAAACATATTTTTATATAACGTATGTATATATATATATATATGTATGTATGTATGTATATATATATATACATATATATATACATATATATATACATATATATATATACATATATATATATATATTTATCATTATTATGATTATTATCATGATTATTATTATTATCATTATTATTATATATATATATAACCATCATATATGTAAACTGGTACACGATCCCCAACTTGAGTTTTCCATAGCTTGTCACCATTGTCCATTTCTTCCAACAGCTTTCCATGTTTTGTTCCCCAGTGTTTTCCATGTTTTTTGGTCATGGGATCTGCACCTGTGTTGCAGCCTCCTCTGGTCCTTCCTCCACCTCACCAGGGGAAATCCACCACGGGGAAATGGGAAGATGTGCATGATGCATATGCACCAGTTATTGTGAAATAGGAAACAACATTTGACATAGTGTGAATACATGGGAATCAGTGATCAAATGTATAAACATAAGGAAGATCCACATCATTCTAAAATGTCCGTTGAAGGAATATGGTATGTAAACGCACATGTTCAAGCACAAGTTCCATACTTAGTTGTTGTATCACTATGTGTTTCCTTTTAATTGTACACTTACGTACAACATGGCAAATCATACATCTACAAATATGTCAAAGAGACTTCTATACGGTATGTCAAATATTTCTACAATTTTCCACACATCAATGATCATTTGGTTGGTGGTTTCAACCCAAACTATGGAAATTCATAAAATTCATGTTCCAAACCACCAACCAGTCATTTTTGGAACATGTTTTTTCCATATATTGGGATTGAACATATATTTCCATATATTTTGAAATATATGTTACAAAGTGCTAAGAATGGTAAGCACATATTTTCCCATTTTCCGACACCTGATCCTTGGCGAATTGGATGAAGAGCTGCTCCAGGGTGGTCTCTGAGACCGAATACTCAGAGATACCTCAGACGAGGCGCTACATGGGTGGGAGCGAGCTGATCCCATCCTGGTGAAATTGAAGCTGGTTCATATTGACTGGATTATATGACTATATGAGCCATTGATAATGGCACTTATATATTAAGTCAATTGATTAAATGGATATATGACTGGATAATATCATATTCAGCCCATTGATTGAGAAGAAACAGATGGGCTGAATGAAGTAGGTGTACTTGGATTGCAACAATTCACCAAGCTGAAATAACGTCATTTGGGGATAGTTACCCCAATCCTATATCCATTATTCCAGTGGCGTCACGACATCCAGGGTCGTTTGGAGTCAACTGATCCAGCCTTGCTGGTGAGCATTGCTGGGAGCAATGATTGAAATCCACGGGAACAATTGATGCTTGGGAAGCCGTTGGGAAGGCAGAAATTGAAAAAAAAAAAGGTGGAGTTGAAATGTTGAAAACTGGGGGATGGGGAAAAGGAGGGCTATTAAACCAAGGATTCTAGTGAAAGGAATGGATCATCCTATTCATATATGGGGTCTTTAACATGCTTTAACCAACCAAAATGGGCAAGTATATAAGCAGCAACAAATTGGCAGAATATATGACTATATAGTGAAGGCCCCAGCATGATAGACGCGCGATGTTTCGCTTCTACTTTTCTACCTTTTGGGCTTGATATAAACCCGGTTATGTTGAAATTTTACCCAGGTACGCAGCGAAGATTTGCGCTCCTGCGAATTCAGACGAGAGCAACAGGACTATGCGGGGAATTATGGGCATGGTCAACATCAACCACAACAATCAGTGATGAATAGCGCAAATTGTCAAAAAGTCAACTCAGTAATTCTGTAAAAGATTGACAATGAGATTCACATGGTCAACATGTTCTTTCCACCTGCCAATTGATGACCAATTCAGCATCAGGTGGGCATGGACATTTCTGACCTGTAAGCACCCACATTTGCCAGTCATCGGACACAGAAACAATGGAGTTATGGAAAAATCCAACATGCCGCCAATTGTATGGTTCCAAAAAGGACAGAATACAATACAGGGTATGAGTCAATGAGCTTTAGTGGAATACCAGCTATGGCACGTCTCAAGAAGATAGAATCGATGGAAAAGGAAATTCCCACTCAAACAGTGCTAAGTCGACATCGTCTAATTCTAGTATACACCCATTCAAAAAAACAGAACAACATATATATATAACAACCATAAAAACCCGATATTCTTCTGGTAAGTCGCACCATTTCGCTGTTGAACGGAAATGGCTTTTCCCAGATCTGACCGCCTCCATGAGCCGGAAAATTGCACTGATGGGCTTCTGTCCCTTCGGCAGGCGATACCTGGCCCGGTGGCCCAAGATGAGGGCCCCCTAAAAAGGCTGCATAGTCCTCAGGTGGATGGACACCAACTACGGATTATCATGGAAATATGATGGAAATATGATGAAAATATGATGGAAATATGATGGAAATATGGATTTCAAGATAGTTCGAGTCTATTTTTGAGGCCTCAGAGCCTCGACATCATTTTGGAACACATGGATTTGGGGTGACACAACTGTCACTACTCATTGTGATCATCTAAGCATATCGTGCTGCTTGGTTGATCCTCTGGAAAGGTGGAAACAGTCTTGGTGGTTTCCGGGATCCATCCATCAAACCCCCAAAACACTCAAACATCAAAGTGTGTGGCTATGATCCATCCACGGAAAAATTCTATACTAATGTTGAGCAGATCCAATCATGGGATATTCCATTGCTTGTTGTGTTTCTTAGATGTGCTTAAGGGGTCTCCCCAAAAAAACATATTCCCGATATATTTTCCAAATAATGGATCTTCCGTTGGAAAAAAAAACATTACAATCACCTTAAACAAATTCATGGGATATTCACCAAGAAACATATTATATATGATTGGGATATTCTATTGTAATAGTGGTTCTTGGGATTCAAACATCTCATGTTGCTTGGATCTTTGAAGCCACCCATCAGCTGTTCCCAAGTTCCCCATTAAGGCACCTGGCCCGTGGGCGTGTGGGCAAACTTTCCTCCACACGTACCCCAGTAAACCTTGGGAGGGAGCGTTGAAGGATCTTGGGACGTGCAGCATGTACCATAAATGGCTATACCCTCTGGTAAACATACAAAAAACAATGGAAAGATCCACCATTTTTAATAGGTAAATCCACTATACATAGCCATTTTCAATAGCTTTTTGTTAGTCGGTTGGTCATTACCATTATTGTTAAATGACGGGCCTCAACCCAGACATAGTTCAACATCTTATAATTCAATTGAGGGATCCGTGAAAAACATGTTTGCTGCCCGACCCGTGTAGATCTCATGCAGTGATCCATGGTTTCTTCGCAACACGTCAATCCATGCACCTCCAACATGGATTCCAGCTGTAACATATGTAACATGGCTAACCAAAGATATCCAAAAACCTTATGGTAATGTCATAAACCTAGCATTTCTCATAGGATCCATGGTGCTGCTATATGGTGCTCCATGGATCCCACCAATGGTCAACCGCCGAGCGCGCGGCTGTTTCTCCAGGAAGGCGCCCAGCGCCTGATGCGCCACCGCCAGATCTGCGGAAGCATCGAAGGTGACTTCGAATTGGTAGCCTTCGACACCGCTGGATCCACAATGGTCCAATGGGGGATGGGGATAAGGAACATGGCAACAAACAAAACAGGGCTAATTATTCGTAAACTACAAGATATGCCACAGGGGAAGTCAATTCACAAATCGACAAAAATATGGAGGTTTCCATAGTCTTGGGGGTATGCCCAAATGGATGGTTTATTTAGTTTATTTCATGGAAAATCCCAGCTATAAATGGATGATATGGGGGGCACAACCCCTCCTGTTTGTACAAAAAAATCCTGGCTGGCAATCTGTACTGTAGCCCAAGTCCTCCCCATTTCGTAGCTGAAATTTGAAGGTGGATCCAAATAGACCATCATGATAACCTATTAAGGGCAAGTCAACCATCAACGACTGTCAACGCAGTTCCAGCAGTGCGAGGCGCCATATCCATGAGTGGCTTTCAGTTGGGAGGCTGACCCCAAGCAGACCAGCCGGCCATTCACCATGATGCCAATTCCTAGTGAGGGAACTGCTGGATGGATGGTTTACTATGATTTACCATGGTTTAATGTGGTTTAATTAAAATAAGGTTCACTATGGTTTAATCTGGTTTAATATGACTTAGTAGACCGAGAACGGTTTAATTCTCCACAGGCACCAGTTCCTTAATACATGTTGGATGATGGTGAGGGATTTCAGACTTACTTGACAAAGGCCAACAAAAAGGCGAAGATTTGGGTCTACTGAGAATAGTCAAGATCTGTGATGCCATATTTCGATATATTTCGGACCATAATCCGGATATTGTGTTGTTTTTTCTTGAGCTCAGTGCTGACACGCTGTTTGGAAAGTCTAATTGCCAGCAATGATGTAGGCACTTCACAGGTCCGGTAGACTGGCTAGACTCTGGAGTCGACCAAGCATCTACTGCACAAAGCTTCGCACTCTTCCATAGAGTGCGTAGTCAAGATGACTGCACGCCCCAGCATTGTGCTGGAAATCCTCGAATCTTCGGAATCAGAAAAGAATTGCAGTGTCCAGCATGCAATTAGTTAGTGGATGTTTTTATGGCCGCAGCAAATTAGTGAACCATTGGTGCATTGAAGTTGATGCATTCAATGGATCCAAGTACCTCAAAATTGCGCCTTCACCCTCTCAAGTTCAGAATCATGTCAAGGAACCACTGAACCAATCCATGGTTGGAATATGTTCACTTAACTTTCAGTCTACAAAGATGATTATCATCCTCCAGTGCTGAAATATTTAAATCCTAATTGTGACAATCTATATCTTTTATGGCTTGAACATGGTTGAACCATCTTAACATACCCCATTTTCATCCATTTTCGCCTTCAAAAAATCCCAATCCATTTCCCCACCATTTCACCATCATGGTTTTTTCCAGGGCGCAACTTCCACATGAAGCGCCGTGACTCGGGATCCACCCCCGTGGTCGGCTCATCCAAAAAGATGCAGCGGGGATCGCCTACCAAGGACAGGCCCAAGGACAGCTTGCGACGGGTGCCGCCCGAGAAGCTGAAGGCTTGCTTGTCCTGGATGCTGAAGGGCCATGAAATTTAGGGATTTCATGGGATTTCACTGCTTAAAGCATGAAAAAAAAACTGGGATGTTATAAGTGAACTGACGATGAAAAACTGAAAATTCATCATGAAAACGATGAAAACTGAGATTTAATCCTGAAAAACTATAGGATTTTTAGACAATGAAGGTAGGGATTTGAGCCAGTCTGTCCGACAGACTGTGCCATGAAAAATACACATGTTGATTGGTTGAGATGGTTGTACTACCTGGCTTATTGGGGAGAATTAGGAATGAGTGGGCCATTTTGATCAGTTACTGCAGTGAACCAGCAAGTTTACGTACCATCCCATTTTAGCTGGTGAATAGTTAAAAGGTATGTCCCTACTAGATATGGATTATGCTTATCACACATAAACAATAAACCAGGTACCATCTGGTTATTTAACATAGCCATGGAAAATCACCATTTGTAATAGGTAAACCATCTATAAATGGGTCATTTTCCATGGCTATGTTAAATAACCAGAGGGTATATAGTATAACACCCATTTGCTAACCAATCAACAGGCACATTGTTACATGGCTCAGATGGCTCAGATCAAGGCTTTGGAGTGACGATATTTTGGGTCGGGATGGGTTGACAGGATTGAAGTCTTCCTTGCATCTCGTGCGCGCAGCTTTTACTACATTCTCTTCAACATAATTCACATGGGGGGACCATCAAATTAAAAAAAACAAAAACTGTTTGTTGCTGAAAAAAACCAACTAATTCGCAGAAAAACAACACCTATCATCCAATCATCCCCTCATCCCAGGGGTTGGCTCCAAGGCTCCGCATAGGGCCGCAAGGTGAGCTGATCCAACAACGAATCTACCTGACACGTGGTTGATGTACTATAGCCATAATCTAAAAATCTACCATATCAAGGTACTAACATCTACCATATCAATGTACTAAGTCACGAAATGTGTCAATGTACCAGTGTCTAGATCAAACCACTTAAACATTGACATGGCAAATCTATCGTAGAAGTTAAGTTGCAGGTCTGTTTGGTATGCTATATACTTGTAATAGGGATACACATCCACCAATCTGTGGCTTGCTAAATAGTTCCATTCATGTGGGATGAGTGTTCCAATCCACCTTTCCCAAACATGATTTGTCCAAAACTTATAGTTTGGTGTAAATATGTGTAAATCCCGTTTCTGGATAAAACCATTTCCATCAGTCACTGGTTCAATGACTCTATATATATATCTCTTGCTGGTTAAAACCCATAAATTAAATCCCAAGCCTGTCACTATATTGCTTCACTAATTAGCTCCTGAAACTCCAAAAACTGGAAGTTATTCAACCTGCAAAAAACACAGAAAATGCGCAGACCATTGCAAAAACATGCATGTCCAATGTTATATCCACCACCCCATTCCATCATTCCATCGCATCGCCACAGCACGTACTCGTGCAATCGGCTCTCCGGCATCCCTTTGATCCGCGCGAAGAGCGTCAGGTGCTCGCGCGCCGTCAGGGTGCCAATGAGCGCGTCGAACTGGGGGCAGTAGCCGATCAAACGGCGCACCTGACGTCTGACGTGGCGGAACGCCGCGGAAATGGTCCACATTCCACACGCAGAACACAAAAATCTCCAGGTGAAACATGACGAATGGAACATCACAGACCCCTAAATGACTTTTTTTGGTGCACAAATATGATGTAAAAAAAACAACAAAATATCAAAATGTAAAAATAGTACCCTCTGGTAAACTAACATAGCTATGGAAAGATCCACCATGTTCAATGGGAAAATCCACGTTTTCAATGGCCATTTTCAATAGCTATGTGACATCCCCAGCCCCATCCATTGCCTAAGCACCGCACCTGGTTTTGCTGCGTCTTGATGTCGAAACCTCCCAGAGTCGCCTCGCCTGACGTGCAGAGTTCCTCACCCGTGAGCATCTTCCTGGGCCACTGCGGCTGGGCGCGAAAAATGTCATAACTATACATACCATAGGGTTGGTGAATACCATATGGTGCTATATTAATATGGTGATTTAATAGTAATGTGAATAGTACTAATATGTACTAATGATGATATAGTAACTGATTATCATAATTACTCTTAGAATCTCTTAGATAATAGATGATAATAGTAATGTTAATATAGTACTAATGGTGATCGTGAGGATCCAATAGCAACTTTTTTCTTTTTGTTCTGGAGCTTTGAGAATTGGGCTAGCCGCTACTGTAACAGGTGAAACGTTGAGGATGTCTTGCATGGCCATCATGGTGTCCTGCGAAGTCACCCCAAATTACCACCAAATCCAATGGTCATTTCCTCACTTTCCCTATAAAAAATGGCCATATAACTGGTATAGAAGCCATTTTCAGACACCCAGCCGGATCTCACCAGGCGTCATGGTGGTGGTCTTCCCCGCACCGTTGAGGCCCAGGTAGCCGAAACATTCGCCTTCCGGGATGCCGAAGTACATGTCCTCGGAAGAGTCACTTAGCTGTGTTTGAAGTGGTGATAATATATGATATACAAATAATATCATCCCAAAAAAAAATGGAAAAGGTTAATAGTTATTTGTGGTCAGTGTGTACATGTTTTTTTTTAAATATGATTTTACGCACTGGCAAAAGAACATTATTCAGAAAAAAAAAAACATGTATGGAGATATGAAGGTCAGTCTTGTCATGTCACGAATCTGCTTAGATCAGAATCTCAGGTTTGACCCAAAGCCCTCTTAAGGACTTGCAATCACAATCTCGATCTTCCATGTTTCTATGCTCTCCGAATGACAACGATTGCTTGTTCTAAATATTACATCTCCAAATATCTCCAAAAATTGATTGTACCTATATGTTGTACTATTACTATCACTTCTATTATTCATTAGGTTATCATTATTATCAGTTATGTACTATCATGATTACAATGGCTGTTGTACCATTAATATATATATATATATATTACTATCACTCCTATTAATTATTCATAATAGTTATAGCCATTTCAAGCCACATTTTAAAGTTCGGATTGCTGGGCAAAGTTCGCCAAGACACGTCCACCGCCACTTTGGGCGGAGCGCCTTGCCGTCCCGGGAACCTCATGGCGCAACGGCGGGTGATCAAATTAAGGTGTTCAAAAAGGTCTTGGAGGGGGAAAATGAGAGAATGTAGTTACAATGTAGTTATGATATGTTCTGGAAATCAAAGAATTCAATGTTATTAAAAATCAGAATGTAGTTATAATGTACATATATGTTATAATAGTTTTAGTTATGATATGATATGTTATAATGACATTCAGAATTCAAATCAAAGATTCAAAGTGTAGAATGGAAATCAAATGGCTCCATATGAGCAACATCCAAACAGACTGTGAGTAAAGTGGAGGATTCCGTCGTATACATGGGTCATTAAATGTCCCCATTGAACATCACCCAACCATTAGGTATATGGTCTATAATGGCTACTATAAGGTGATATGTCCAATATACCCAAAATGGGACAATTACCAACCCCCATATAGATCTTCACTAATTCTTTACTGCATTCATGCAATGTGAGAGCTGAAACGCTTTTAAAGTTGCATCGCAGAATACCGCTACTAAAGTGTGCCTGATGGGTTTGAATGCCCAAAGCCACATCAAAACTTACATGGCTGACATTCTTGAAAAGTCAGCTGGACTCTCAATTCAGCCATTTTGAAAAGCTGGCGCCCAACTTTGAAAAAGGGGCATCAGTGCTTGTAGATTTCGTCAAAGAGTGGGCCGTTGAGTATCACTGAGTTAGCTTTGATAAGCTACTAACCCATTAACAAGCCATGATCATTCGGGTAGGGAATATACATTGTGGATATCGAATGATATCGATGTATCCCATCCATCAGATCCCATCCACCAAATCCCAGCAACACTTTCCGGAGCCCTTTCAGCACGACCATCTCATCATCTGCTGCGCCACTTTCTACCCTCTCCTGCGTGGATGGTCCCAACGAGCTGGGATTTAGCGAAGGCTCAACAGGGTGATTTGGCTTGGAATTCATGTGATGTGATTTGAAGGCAATGCTACAAGTATAAAACATTATAAAACCATCTCAGAATTGAGAACACCACCAATTTGAAGGTTGGATGCCCAATTTTCGATATGCAACACCGGCATCACGCACAAATATTCTGCTAATGACATGTCCAAACAAACCGCTTTTGGGGAGTTGACTCCACACTGTCTGGGTTCAGTAAAAACGCTGCCCACTGATGTTGAAGAGGTAATTCCTGATGACCATGGGGTATTTCCACTTAGCCATTCTTTGTGTCTATTTAAGCTCCCCCAATCTTATACCGATCACCAAATGTTGTTGGTCATATGAGCCATATGTGTTAACATGTCCATTTTTATCAGATATCCTTCAATCTTGTTGATTGGAATATCAAATACCTCCAAGATGTCGGGAATATTACTTCTTACAGTACGATTTATGTTGATATTATGTTGGGATAGGAATTCCATGGAATTCCTATCCCAACCTCCCGGCTTGTGGAAAGCCATTTTTGTTCAGTCCTCCCAAAAGGACATCCTGGGACGGGGACCCTGGGGACCCTGAGATCCGTGTCCTTCTCCAGCTGTACATGTCGATCCAAAGGAACTTCATCTGCGGCGCCACTGTGGATGACATCCCAAAATCCAAATTGGAGCATTGAAATGTCCAAAACAAACATTCCAAACCATGTTTATTCCAGGATTGAATTCATCTATCATTGTTGGTCATATCCATTCTCTATGTTGTTGATCGTTTCCGGTCCATACATCTTGCTTGATTTTCAGGTAAATCTACTCAAATCCCTCACTCAAACAGACTCAAACACCATGAATTGACAAAAATAAAAGCAACACTATTTCAACTTTATAAATCTTTATAACTGTTCCATCTTCAGCCAACTTCAACCCCTAACCAACCACCTATCCCTAACCAACCACTCGAAAAATCCGCCTCCCCGCGGCACATCCACCCGGCGGATCTGCAGCCAGGCGCGCAGCTTGGGGGTGGCGAAGGCCAGTTCCAAGAGCAGAGTGGCCAGGAACCACAGCAAACTGCCCACGCCCATGTACAGCAAATCATAACCTGAAGGATATGGCTGGAGGACAGGTTTTTTTAATGTGGTTTTCCGATGGTAATGAACGGTAATGATATATGATGTATAGTAATGTATAGTATGTACATCAAATCAAAGTCTTTCTTAGAAGTGAACGTCTTGGCCCAGGTCTTGACCGAGCAACCTGAACTATCAATCGATTTTTTTCCAAAACCCAGCGATGTCATCAGATTTAAGCATGGTAAAAAAAAAAAAACACATATGAACATAATTTCAGTCTAATAAAAACATCAACAACACCATGGTTATTTGCTTGGTTAAACCAATAAAAAAACATCAACAACCTCACCAACGTTTGCCGTTTCAGCATCCCCTGGACCTCCATATCTCCATATTTGTCCAGCAAGATACCGGTGATCACCAAATCGTAGGGAGCACAGCCCTCGAAGGGACAGCCCTTGTCCAGCCAGAGCCCAGGGTTTTGCCGGGTGATGAGATTCGTCAGGGAATCCGCCAAACAAAAGTTGGGCAAAATCCTGGCTGGTTGAGATGGTAGCTGGTTGGAAACCTTAGAACAAAAAACATGAAACGAATGGAATGAAACCACCAACTATTGATGTGATTAGATATGATTAGATCACTATGAGCGGTTGGTTCCAAAAAACAAGCAACTAAACTCAGTCATTGACAGCACATGCATTGATATGCATTGATCATCCTGTTTTGGTTTCGATCTCTGGCGTGGCTGCAGTTGAGAAATACGGAGCCCCCAGGTCCCCCAGTCCGGAAGAGGTAGATCAGCACATTTTGTGCCAGATCCTGCGTTGAAACCGATTGAAACCACTCAACTGCGCAAAAATAGAGATCACCAGGCCAGTTCAACAAGTATTCAACAAGTACTTGGAGACCTAAAATGCTTCCAATATCTTCCAATGTCCAACATCAAATGTTGAGACCATCTTCCAAGTCTGTTTTTTGCGAAAACACGTGAATGACTCTTCAAGGTTTTGCATCCAGATCATCCAGCTTTTCAGATCAGGTCCACGAGTCCACGATATTTTTGGTCGCGATCGTTCGGTCATATCAGGTCCTTGGTGGATGGCAGGATGGCCAAGATGATGGTCACGATCATGAGAATTCCACCGGTGAAGAGGTACACAATCAACAGCAAATTCTGCGCCGCAGTGTGGGAGTTGAAGAGGAAGGACAACCTCGGCCATGATGCCATGACCGGGATGGGAAGGGTTTGGAGGTCAATGTTGTCCTCAGCAGAAAGTGCTAATAAGTATAGAGAAAAGTGCTACCCAAACAGCTGAATTTTGTGTTGAAAGGAATTATTAAATGGTGTCAAACATGACCCAACCAACTAAAAGTAAACTATAGATTCTGAAAAGTTTAGCTGTCTTGCATTGAGCACCCCCAAGTGGTCAGCGTTTTCTTGCTGCCATGCAACATGTAGGTGAAAGATGTGCAGCTGACTCCGTACATCAGCACCTGCAAGAAATGGCCGACATTCCCCGCAACGAGTGAAACTAGCAGTTCCCACCGTGCAGTCTGAAAGAAACGCCCAACCGAGTGGTCTATGTCCAGCGAAAATAGGATCACCAAGAGGTGAATAGGTAGATTTAAAAAATCTACAATGATGTAATTGGCAAGTTTCAACTCATTAAAACCGCATTGGAAACCTGAGATGCTGAAAACCACCCCGGTGCCCTGGTGCCCACCGACAAACAGGTCCAGGGCAAAGTCTCAGCACTGATCAAAGAGTCGACGCCAAAGGCAGCGATGAGGAGCACGGAAAGGGAGGCGGCCACCAGGTAATTCAGGATGTCCTACAGTGACATGCTGTGACCATCCAACTCTGGAAGATGGGTCGTTAATTCATGTTAATTCACTCCACAATTTTGTGGATGGGTCAGCAGTCAAGACTAAGCACAGATAGTCACAGCGCTCAGGTTGAGAGGTTGAGAAGTACGCCTTCCAATGTTGAATCATTACCCAAATTTGACCCAAACAGAAATAGCATGACATCAGCCCCCCATGCTTTCACCATAGTCAATCATCGCGGATCATCCCAGCCCAAGATGGCGTTCTTTTATCTCAGAGTCGTGGCAAGTTCAGCCAATTTGCGGGACTTCTACGGCCTGATTCCTCATGGAAGGGCCGTACACCGCTCCTATGGCAATACCTCCACCTTTGAAAGGGACAATTATGATTGTATAATATATTGATTATATATATAATCATATATATATATTTGTGTATTGTATTTATGTACATATTATCTCATGATATCTCTTGCAAACAAAGGATCCGGAAGGGATATTCAAAGTACAGACGCGGTACATGTTACCCTGAAGGTCAGGTTTGGTGAAACATCGGATATTAATTTGTAATGTGGGCTCTAAACCCGAGAGCTGCCACGATCAAAACAGCTTCAGTGTTTTGCGCAATACAGGTAGGCAATGATGTCCACAGCAAGATACGTTTCTGTCTATATTTACAGATACACTAAATGATCTCAATGAAACAAGTCTAGATTCACAGACTTCATCGGTTTCATTCAGGACGGATAGTGGCAAGTCTGCTACTGTCACATGCCGCAAAGGACGCAGCTTCCTACATAGTCCTACATAGTCCTACAAAGAAAAGACGATACTCACATTGTGGGAGGAGATGTACGACATGTTTAGGTAGCCCTCAATGAGAGTCCGGACATAGGGATGGCTGCGAGCTTTTCTTTGCAGTTCCTGCTGCATCTCCGTCAAATCCTTGGCAGTGACCATCTGTAGCAAGATCGCGTGTTTGATCTTCGCACGTCTCAGTTTGTTGGGACGTGTGCAGAAATGCTCTTCGATCTGACCTTGAAATGCGTGGTGGATGTGACAGAATGCACACTGATCTCCTTCGGCACAACCATATCTTGAAAAGAAGAAAACACAAGGGTCACAAGAGTGTGACACCCGTGAGGCTTCAGTCTGGCCCAGAGACTCAGTCTCAAGACCGTCGCGGACTCGAAGTTCAACCAGTTCACTGTCGTGGTACGCCATGGGAAAGAAACTTTGGATTCTGCCTCCTTGGCTCTGCCTTGGCTCCTCAAAGAGAACCGATCTTTGGAAACCGGAGAGCAGATCTAATTGCTCTTAAGGCGGAGCCAAAATGTCAAGGCGGCGGAATGTTGGCACTCAACAGGATCCAATTCTGCATCAATCAGCAATGCATCTCTTACCAAATGGACACCCAACAGTACGAACAGCACCAACACAGAAAAAGAAACCCAGTTCACTAGCCAAACATCTTGGACATGGAGAAGCCCACGATGCATTTATGCATTTGAAGTTTATGATAGTTTATAACAATTAGTTTATGTCATTCTTAACAAAAAACACCCAAAAATTTTCGCTGGAAAACTCGCAACTTAAGTACGGTCAAGGCGAGGTTTCTCGGCCAAGGGGCCCAAATCCAGGTGGAAAACCAGTAGCTCACGAAGTTCACTCCGCTGATGACCTGAAAATGTGAAGCTTTGCTGATTTTAAGCAATGTGGGAAAATTCAGTCACCAATAGAATTCACAGAATACTCTGGATAATATATTATATATAAATATCTTATGATTATAATGTTATAACATAAAGTTGATCATAAATGGTTGCATCAGGCATCAAAAACCACCCAAAAAGATCATTCAGAAAAAAAACATCAACAGTTTGGAAAGATAAATTCCAGGTGATCATACCACAACAAAAGCACCATCCCAAGGCGTCATCCCCAAGGCGTCATCCCCAAGGCGTCATCCCACATGTGGTCCACACCTGCAGATGTTTGCTGCCCGTCTCCCGTTCCAAGACCACAAAGGCGCCCACGGAGGCGGGGATGAAGGCGAAGCCCAAGGCTAAGTTCCTGGCTCCGGGATGGGATGATGGTGACATATGCTGACGCTTGGTGAGTTGATTTTCCCATGAAAAATTGGCGGATCTTTCCACAGTTATGTTGGTATGTTTACCAGAGGGTATGGCCATTCATAACTGGTTGGTGGTTGAGCCCTACCCCTCTGAAAAATGATGGAGCGAGTTCGTCAGTTGGGATGATGAAATTCCCGATGGAAATTCAGAAAAGCCATGTTCCAAACCACCAACCAGATGGTAATGTCAACCCCGGATTAATCAACCCCAAACGGCTAGGCTGTTTAATTGGGAGGATACCAGGTTACTTACCATAAAAAAGTATCAGATAATGACTATTGGAGGAGTACCCCCGTAATCAGTAAACATCAATAAACCATGGTACTGGGCATCTAAGTCATCTAAGCCACAAAAACTCTCAAAAACTGGGAGGATCGATGGTTAAATTGGCAAAACCCTTGGGAAAAGTTTGGGAACACTGGCAAAAAAAAAGGGGCCATGGTGATCTTGACTATATTGGGAGAACAAGCAGAACAAACATGCTGGGAAGTTGAAATTTGTGGAGGACTTGTGATGGCGAGGATGGAGATATTCACTGAGATCTTCTCATCATTTGGCCCAAACCTATATACTATATAGGCTTACATGCATTGGAAATTGGACAGAAATTACTGTAAGCGATTTCTGTTCATAGGCCCGCCATGGCCCACAAAAAACCATCCGTCTCCAGTCAAAGAGTCAAAGAGGTCTGAGTGTTCGTCAGATCTTTCTGTGCACTGGTCAGTGGGAAAGGTTGGTTGCTCATCAAGATCTTGGAATCCTGCGGCCGTTGGACAAAAACATTCACTGACCATGGGGTGTTGGTTGTCTTGTTTTAATCAATGGGAATTTCAGGATCCTAATAAAATGGAGGTACTGTACCATATAAGGCCATATTTTGGGGGGATATCCCCTTAAGTGTCCAACTTCATTTGAAGAAGGGCAAAAGAAGGAACACAATCTCTCTCCCTCTCACTCTCTGTTCTTTTTTTGCATTCCAAAAGGAGTTTTTGCCAGCCCTGGGGAAAGCCAAAATCTCCACATCAGCCAACCAAGGTCTTTGTCTACTTGGTTCCGATCCGCTGTTTGTTCCTTGGGGATCTGGCTACCGGATATTGCCGGTTTAATCTGCCATGAAAATCAAGATTCACATCTATCACTCTTAGTCAACCACCATTTTTTCATGGTAAAAACATGGTAACAACTTGCCATTTCCCTGGTTTTTGTTGGGTTTAACCATGTTTAACCGTAGAAAACCCCACATTTTTCCCCGTAAAACATCGCAACCTCCCAGCATCCAACCCTCCCCCGGTGGAACCGGGATCTCCTTCAGCACGTCCTCCCCGAGGGCTCGGCGCAGCGCCGCTTCGTTCAGCGTCTGATAAAACATGGGCAGCGCGTCGCGCGCCGAGGAGTTCCAGAAGAGGTCCACCTGCAGTCGGTTGTTCCTCGGTGCAGTCGGAATATGTCGGAATGGGGGATGCACATCTCTGGTTGGTGGTTGAGCCCTACTCCTCTGAAAAATATGAGTTCGTCAATCGGGATGATGACATTCCCAATATATGGAAAACATGTTCCAAACCACCAACCAGATCTAACATGTTGATTTTTAAATGGTTGTGTCTAACGGAAAAAAAAAACTTTTCAGGTGATTGTGTTTTCTTGATTGTTTTTGGTTGTTATTGGAAAATATGGAGCTTTGTCAAACGCAAAAGACTTGGGTTTCTACTCAAACCCCCGCCGGGTGTGAGGCAAAATAAAATCAAGTTCCGGGTTTGAAACCTGTGATGTGGACATACCACAACAAAACATCAAGCACTACCGTGGTATCTGCAAGCAAGTCTCAGTTGGCTCAAAGGCACTGACGCACCGCCCAGCGTTGTGGCCTACATCTGGATCAATTTCATCATAAATTCACCAAGCTGTAGCATTTTTGGAATAGCTACCCCCAATCCAATTTCCATCATTCCATCATTCCAGATACTTTTCTTTTTAGAACACTTAAGTATATTCATATATATTCATATATATATATATATCTATTATGATATATTTATAGTATGTTGTTTTTTTTTGTATATATAAATATAACCGTATATATAGCCTACATAAATCATTCACCAGCTTCTGAGGTCCCCCCTGACCCGCTTCCAACGGCGCCTTCTCCTCCCACAGGGTCCCCACCGGCACGGTGAAGTTCAAGTTCTTCGAGAGCACCTTCCCGGGCGATGCGAAGCCGGCCACCTCAAAGCGCCCCACCTGCTGCCATAGCTGCCATAGCTGCCATAGCTGCCACTGTTGCACGAATGAAAGGTATTCGGAATATATTGGAATATTATGAATAACATGGAATATCAAGTAGTGTTTTTGGGACTTATGGAATATGAATTAATGGAATATCAAGTCCTTAAGTTTATGAGATTTTCTGCGGGCCAGGTATCGGAAAATGCAAAAAAAGAATCCTCATTTTATCATCATTTTATCCTCATTCTGGAACCTCATTAAATTTGCATCAGATTTTGCCTTGGATTTTTATCCTCATTTTATCCTCATTTCCTCATCAAATCCTCATTTTATCTTCATTTTATCCTCATGTTATCTTCATTTCTTCATCAAATCCTCATTTTATCCTCATTTTATCCTCATTTCCTCATCAAATCCTCATTTTATCCTCATTTCCTCATCAAATCCTCATGTTATCCTCATTTTATCCTCAATTTATCCCCAGTTCCTTATCAAATCCTCTTTTTATCCTCATTTCCTCATCAAATCCTCATTTTATCCTCATTCTCGATCCTCATTTTATCCTCATTTCCTCATCAAATCCTCATTTTATCTTCATTTTATCCTCATGTTATCTTCATTTCTTCATCAAATCCTCATTTTATCCTCATTTTATCCCCATTTCCTCATCAAATCTTCATTTTATCCGCATTTCCTCATCAAATCCTCATTTTATCCTCATTTTGTCCTCATTTTATCTTCATTTTATCCTCATTTCAGGATTAAATGAGGTTCATGAAACAGGATGCAAATTAAATGAGGTTAGACAATGAGGATTAAATGAGGATAAAATGCAAATTTCAATGATTTTGGTCTTCCCAGTGTGTGGCTCACAAAATTTCATAACCTTAAGTGGGACTTTGGGACTTTGGGGGATTGATTGTGAAATAAATGGAATGTTCTTGTGAATTTCTTGTGGGAGTATGGTTTGGATCTTATTAAGAGTGCTCCAAAAATGGCGAGTGTTTAAAAAGCATCCGCGGCACCGCCACCCGCCGCCCCAGAGGCAGCGACCTGGTGCGACGTATTGGGAAGCGACCAGTCCTGAGCTGGTTGGTGGTAAACCTACCCCTCCGAAAACTATGAAAGTCAATGGGAAGGATGACATCCCATATATGATGGAACAGTAAAAAATGTTTGAAACCAGCAACCAGCAGTGTATTTTACACATCCTCTTGGCATTTGTTACATGTGGAGTATTCTGAATCCTTTTTTCCCCCACATTGACGTGTGGGGTTTTTGTTTTTAGTTCTGTATCCGCTCCTCTTCCTCCTCCTCCCGCCGCCTCGCCTCCCGCCTCACTCACTCACTCACTCACTCACTCACTCACTCATCACTCACTCACTCACTCACTCACTCACTCACTCACCTCCTCACTCATCTCACTCACTCACTCACTCACCTCCTCACTCATCTCATCTCATCACTCACTCACTCACTCACTCACTCACTCACTCACTGCCAAGGGGTCGGATGTACTGTACGCCCTGGCTTGGTCTCCGCCGCTTTTGCGTGGCAGGCGTGGGACAATGTGCACTGCCAAGGGGTCGGATGTACGCCCTGGCGTCCCTCCGGTGTCCCTTGGTCTCCGCCGCTTTTGCGTGGCAGGCGGGGGACAATGTGCACTGCCAAGGGGTCGGATGTACGCCCTGGCGTCCCTCCGGTGTCCCTTGGTCTCCGCCGCTTTTGCGTGGCAGGCGTGGGACAATGTGCACTGCCAAGGGGTCGGATATACGCCCTGGCGTCCCTCCGGTGTCCCTTGGTCTCCGCCGCTTTTGCGTGGCAGGCGTGGGACAATGTGCACTGCCAAGGGGTCAGATGTACGCCCTGGCGTCCCTCCGGTGTCCCTTGGTCTCCGCCGCTTTTGCGTGGCAGGCGTGGGACAATGTGCACTGCCAAGGGGTCGGATGTACGCCCTGGCTTCCCCACATTGACGTGTGGGGTTTTTGTTTTTAGTTCTGTATCCGCTCCTCCTCCTCCTTCCTTCCCGTCCTCCCTCCCTCCCTCCCTCCATCACTCACTCTCACACTCACTCACTCACACTCACACACACACACACGCACTCACTCTCACTCACTCACTCACTCACTCACACTCACTCACTCACTCACTCACTCACACACACTCACTCACTCACTCACTCACTCACTCACACACACACACTCACTCTCACTCACTCACTCACACTCACTCCCTCACTCTCTCACTCACTCACTCACACTCACTCCCTCACTCACACTCACTCACTCACTCACTCACTCACACAACTCACACAACTCACACAACTCACACAACTCACACAATCCATCTACTCACTCCCTCACTCACTCCCTCCCTCCCTCACTCACTGTACTTGAACATACATACACACACACACAAACTCACCTACCTACATACATACCTACATACATACCACCATCGTCCCTCCATCACTCTCATACTTCCTCTTCCCTTCTCGCTTTCTCTGCTCAGTCTAAGTCTAAAGAAGTTGGTAACATGTGGGGTTATCCGGTCCTTTAATTTGTGTAAAAAAACACATTGATTTTCACACAACGCAAAAGAATGGATGATGGACAACCTAGACTGACAGTCACCGGGATACCCAGAAGACCCATCAAATCATCAACCACCTAAGCATGTGTCGGAAGTACATCTCGAACCATCCCTCAGACCCAACAAAATCAGGAAATTTCTTGGAATGATTCCTCAAACAGCACCAGCAAACCCAAGAACTCCAGGACATCTTTTGTTCATTTCAATCTTCCCCTGCTACTAATAATTAACTGAGTTTACACCCCATTGCTGTAGGACTGAATTGGATTTGTTTTCATAGTTCCCAAACCATTAAACCATCAGGCCATTTTAGGAATAGTTCTGGAATACCTAACATTCATCAACCACATATAGTTACCATAAATGAAGGTAAGTTAGCCCTTAAACTAAACTGGTTGGTGGTTTCAACCATCTTGAAAAATGATGGACTTCGTCAATGGGAAGGATCAATTATCCCATGGAACATAATCCAGCCATGTTCCAGTCACCCCCAAGCAGTAAACCATCAACGTTCAGATCATTCCAAGGCTCCGGAATGGACACCACTCGCACCGCGCCCCAGCGTTCCGTGCCATCGCTGCGGTAGTAACCCTGCTCCAAGTAGTTGCTGAAGGCGGTGGCGTTCATGGAATCCGCCACCTAGGCAAACCAACCTATAGTTGCTGGATGATAAACATATATATAGTTACTATAAATATATATATATAAATAAAAAAATATATATATATAATGTACATATAATAATAAAAAAAACATATTCAATATAGTTACTGGATTATACGTATAGTTTAAACTGATGAATATTGTTTGACCATTTTTGTGGTTTTGAACTATGATTGAGGTTGACATGAATCATGAAGTTTTGAATTATATAACCAGGGTGTTTTTGGGAGTACTGCGGAGTCTGCATATTTGTTTCATAAGTCTGTACAATCCAACTCCTCCTGGTATTAAACACCTCCATTCTATGGTTCTAAGTAAGTGTTTTTATTCCAAACAGCCCTATTCAATTCATTACACCATATGGATCCATATGGTTTCTAGTGTATATACATTGTATATACATTATATATACATTGTATATACATTATATATACATTGTATATACATTGTATATACATAGTATACTTATATATATATCCCATTCAACAGTGATTCCACCCTGGTTTCTGTTTTTTTTTTTGTGGCTTTTCTTAAAACCACCGGGGGGAATCCCTTCCCGGGCGGCATCATGGCCTCCTCCACCGGCACGCTGCACTGCTGCAGCAAGGCCGCAGCCTCGCTTTGCGCCACGCCGTGGCCGGCGGCCACCAGCAGCTGTTGGGGACCCGGCAGCTGCAGAGGACTCAAGGAGGCCGCCTGGGATTGGATGGGATGGGATTTTGACTGGCGAATGAATGGCAAATTGATGGATAATTCATGGTTAATTCATAGGATTTTTACTGGATAATGAATGGTTAATGAATGGTTAATACATGTTGATAATGCTTAATCATTGATAATCATAGGGGTTCATATTATCGCCTGGGTGTAAACTAGCACATATCGACATTATATCAACAGCATCTTGGGGACGCTTTACATGCATTAAGTATCAGACATATCCTCCTGTGCCCATGGCGCTCCACCTGGTAGTTGCCGATGCCCGCAAAGCGCATAGTCAGCAGGGCGGCCAGCAGAAAGATCAACGGCAGAATGATCTGACAGCACCACGCCTCAGATGGGATTTCAGCTGGATCCTGAAACATGGCCGGAAGGCAAAATAGGAATACAATGGAATACATGTCATCTTCCAAATTCCGAACCCTATACTATCTTCTTTTTGTTGACTAAACTTTGCGGAGCTACTTCTGTGGATAATTTTGAAGTTTCGAGATCCTACAATCCTACAACATTTTTTGGATTCCCGTGGGTCCCATGATATCCCATGATGTCCCATGTATAGTTCAAGAACCGGGCTCCGGGACTACCCCCCCGTTTCGTGCCATGCCTTCCGATCGCGCCGCGCGTTGTGGTAGCGCTTGGTCAACAGGGCGTGCACGTGCTTTCCGAAGCTCGCTGTCATGTCGATCCTGGGCGCATCAGCTGTTTTTTGTGCTGCGATTTTGAGGGCGTATTAAGCCAACCACTATAAAAAAAGGTCGGTTCTTTGAAACCATATCCTAGATGAGTCAAGTGGGATCATCTAAGGATGAACATGTAAAATCAGAATGGGCGAAAACATCAAATAGAAGCAGTATAGTGTGGAATGTCTAACACGTTTTCTTTAGACCTCTGTGTTACCTTAACTTTCGGTTGACACAGAGGGAGAAGTAGTCTCTAAAGAGACCCCTCCAAAACCTGGTAGAGCTACACCCTAAAGGTTGCAGCCCCTGAACCCCAGCAAAACTGCAACGCAGTAACGAATTTCGCACTCTTTGCACAAAAAGTCGATTTGGTACTCAACATAGATTCAAAGGGAATATCCTGTCTTCTAACAGTTGAGGTGCTAGGTATGTATCAGATATTGTTAACACTTATTAACTATATAGGTGCAATATCTGGTTGAAATCAATCCCGTTGAAACCCAAAACCCACGGTAAATCTGCCCCACCTGTTGACATTCAAGGGCTCAGCAGCAGATACATCGCGGGAAGAGCCCTGCGAGTGGCTTGGCGTAGGAGTGGAATGATGTGGCTGTTTTCAGAGTTTTCTTACCATCAAAGAGAGAAAGGTTTTGGTCAACATAAACCTTCATTTTGTTAACAGTGTTTAGCAGAATTGCGTGTAAACCGTTTGCATTGTTGTTAAATTCAATTATATTTTGTTGGTATGGCCACCATCTTTGTTGCTTCCAAGATGACAAATTCATCGGAGTCCTATTGTGTATGCTGTATGCTTATTTGCCATTCTACCATGATGTTTGCTATTCAATTACACTATAGTGCTGATGCGTCCTCATCTTATTTTCGAAATTGACTGATCTCCATTTACTCTAGTTTACTCAGTCATCATCTCCTATGTTTGATGGTAGCCTCGTCAAAAACTGGATACAGGTGGCAATGTCACCGTCACAATTCCGTAAACATCATATACATCCCGGCGATTAACCATTTGCTATATGGAACATGATTGATTTATATTGATTTATATTGTTTTATATTGATTTATATAGGTTATATTATTAGCTATAGGTTATATCATTAAATATCAAAAAACAGTGATGTTCCATATGCAAAATCACCATATAGGCTAAGTATCAAAATGATGAAATCATCCACCGGTGGCCCTTGCGTCATCCGTTGCCCCGTTGCCCTCCGTTGCCTCCGTGGAGATCTGGCGTGCCCGAAACTCCCGTTCCTCGGAGATCTGGCGCACGAAACTGGCCTCGGTTTCAACAGCAAATCTGCGTCAGATCCGCACGAAGGTTCCAGCAAGAAACCGCTGGTTACCCATAGGATCCATGTATGCTATATATGCTATTTATGCTAACATGACTGGGGTATATTGATGGTATATTGATGGTATATTGATGGTATATTGATGGTATATTGATGGGATCCATGTTACCATATATAGCAGCACCATGGATCCTATGGGTTAGTTTTCATCTGTATCTGCATGAATGATAGAATAGGTTGATATAGGTTGATATAGGCTGATATAGGTTGATATAGGTTGATATAGGTTGATACAACCCATGTTTGATTTGTTTCAGGTGAAATGCTCAAAAGTTCTGATTAGTCCTCCAACCATTGGAGCTGTCAATGTCTTTCGAAGGTGTGTTTCTTGTGATTGCTTACTGCGTTTTGCATTAGCTATGGCCTGTTTGCACTTAACCATTGACTCTGCAATTCTATGTGTTGCCTGGGCGACATTTGCAATTTTACGTGTCGCCTGAACGATATTTGCAATAATGTTTACACTACAAGTCACACCATTCTCTGTTTATTGAATTGATCTTCCATACAACCACCATAAATATGGCCCAAGTATATTCACAATAGATTTCATCCACAAAAAATGGTGACATTCCATAACCTACATCAACATTATAATATGTTTTAGATTCTTTTATGTTATATAATGTTAGAATATGTTATATAAATCCATTAATGTTCCCATTCTCATATTCTTCAACAGCCATTTCCCTACGTTTGCCCCTGATTCCCTCCGTTATGGCATCCCCAGTCGCCTGCTGCAGACGCTCGTCCGCCGCCACGTCAGCCTCGGTGTGGTCGCGGCCCACGCGGAGGAAGACTTCCTCGAGCGTCGTCACCGAGACGCCGAACAACTCCACGCCGTAGCCTGACACGACGGGGATGGGATGCGGGGATGGGGGGATGGGCCAAAGATGGCCCTTAAATGGCTTGAATCCCAGTTAATCAGAATCCGCAATCATTGTTGCACTAAAAACGTTGCTGGTTTACATCCTGATGGCCCATCACTTTCCACATCCAGCTACTCAGTCTCTGCACATCCAAGGCTCGTTGCGGCTGCTGCTCCAGGTACTCAAAGAGCTCTGGGAAGCCGCTGCTCTCTTCGAAGGGCATGCGATAGGTGAGCTCCGTCCCTGACTGGAAGATGGTCCCAGGGTCCCAGGAGAAAATTTTCCCAGTGTTCAACTCTGTCCGGAACCGATTCAATGTGGAAATGTTTGGCAACCGGACTTGAGTTGGACTCCAACTTGTTCTGCCACTCATTTGTTCAACTTTTTGGAACTGCCACTAATTCAAACCACCATGGTGGAGTGGCAATAATTATTGTTTCTGGCCATGACTTTTTTGGCAAAATTCCCCGTGTGTCTTCGCAATATCCCTCAATCGTTTTTCTTCTGTCCTCATCTGTGTCGGTTCGACGTCCATCTTGTGCTCGTGTTTTCTTAAACCAACTTGTAGTCATGTCTGGCTAAGATCTACAGTTGCGAGTTGGACAAATGACCTCTCTTGGGGCAGAAAACAGAAGGGGTCGCTTTGACACTAAACAAATGTGCCCTTCAACAATCAACATCAATCAAAATATTCATCACATCAGATCCATTTTTATCAGATTTTGTAAAACTCCTAAGAGATGCCCCCGTTAAGAAAACAGCTTGGCTACGCAGCGTTGCCACCGAGCACGGCCGCGCCTACGTCGCTGAGGACCTCGGCCTTGGAACACTTCGAGGAGATCAACGTCTTCAGCTCCCGCGACTGCTCCGCCTCAGACCGCCGCCGCGTCACCTGGTTTTCTTTAGATTCCAATGTTTGTTCTGGTTCTGTCTTGTTCTGTTCAGATCAACTGCTTGTGCTGAACTTGGAGCTAGCCATTTATGCACCTCGCAGTTGAAACATCGACGAAACATCGATGAAACATGGCGAAACCATATCCCATAGGATCCATGTATGTTATATAATGTTATATATATATGCTAACATGACTGGGGTATATTATGATGGGATCCATGGAGCACCATATATAGCAGCACCATAGATCTGTCATGGGTATGGAACATCACTTTTGTTTGATATTTAATAATATAACCTATAAATCAATATAAATCAATCATATTCCCATCATATTCCCATGGTCGAGATATGTTTTTTTGGACATCCCACTGGGCTGGTGGACGGTGACGTGCGGAAGCTTCGCAATGGTCAGGGTGTAGCCGACTCCGTACCTCGGATCTCATGCCATGGCAGTGAGATACCATATCAATATATGACATATACATATATATATATCCCATAGGATCCATGGTGCTGGTATATATGCAATATATATGCTAACATGACTGGGGTATATTGATGGGATCCAAGTTACCATATATATGGCAGCACCATGGATCCTATGGACATATATATGTAATATATATATATATATATATGTATTATTATACATATCTAGGTTAGGTATGGTTAGGTTCTTTATAGAATTTTTATAGATATCATACACATCGAAATAGTTTAGTCCATGTTAGTCCAGGAAAGTTACCTTAGAACCCACATCATGGGTTCTCCACGTGCTCGGACGCATCTCCTTAAGTTATGCAGCTATCATCAGCATCATTGATGTTCACATAACAGTCAAAATCTTACATGTCAAAAAAAAAAACTTCTTGGTTTCTTCTATACTAATGTCTATCATATCATATCATATCATATCATATACTATTGTCTATACTATTGATGTTCAGATATCATATCTTATCATATCTATAATATTGTTGGTGTCATCACGCATGTTTGTTGACAAATCACCAAGTATCACCATAACCTGGCTGGATTCCCTCCTATTCCAGCCCCGGGGCCCCAGGGCCATCCAGGGTCCCCCGACTGAGACTTCAGAAACAGCGCCGAGCCCACGCACTTCACACGACCCGCCTTGGGTTTTTCGGCAGTGACCCGGCAGGGGACAGGTAACATAACTATGGAAAATCACCATTATTAATGGGAAAATCCACTATTTCTATGGCAATTTTCAATAGCTATGTTAGTTTACCAGCTTCAGCATGCTTCAGCCATCCCAGCTGCGCAGACGTTTTTAGCGTTTCGAAGCGTGCTTAAAGGTAGACCGTGCAGACTATCTGATAGTTGATGTCAGATACTTGCTATCTGGTAATTATAATATATAATCGGACCACGTATCCAAATGGTTCCCAAGTAGTGAAGATGGATCGGGTAGGAAACACACAGTTTGATGTTAAAAATTGTCAGTCATATCCCGTTTTGGCGGCTCACCCGTGTTTCGTGGCTAATCATTTGACCTGTATACATCCTCCAGCCATGCAACAGGAGTTAGGAAGAGCACCATCTAACCATAAGGAATGAGGACAGTCTTTTGCAGATGGTTTCTTTGAAATACTTAATCCATCTTAATCCAAGTTTGCTGCATCCAGATTCGTGCCAAACATCAAAACAAAACATATATAGTTGTTTGCATTATTTCGTGGATGATACACCCAACACATACTCTTCACGTCCAACATTGCCCAACATTGATAGATCTCCTCACATATTCATAATTATATAATGCCCAAAACATATACACTCCACATATACACAACATATCCCCACTGTATCCCCAACATTTAGCCACATCCTATCCCGGTCTGCTTGGCTCTCCATGCCCTCCATAGCACCAGGTTACTGCCATGATGGCAATGCGATCGCCAAGCTCCTCAGCCTGGCAGATCGCTAATGGAATATCCCATATCCAAACGCTTAAATGGGGCGTTAAATGTGTTCATGAACGAGACAACACACATTATAACATTCTAGATTCTAGATATTAACAATTATTAACCTCCAAAAGTTCCATAATTTTGCGTTCAAAGTTCCAACCGGCCAGTTTTCCTTGTACTTTTGAAGGTCCAGATCCCAAATCGCAAGCATCCAGCCATGTCGGTCGCAAGCCCACTGGGAAGGCTAGAGGTCCCATGAAGCTACACCCCACAACTCGCGGATAATCCATCTGAGGTCGTCACATGCCAAATTTTATCCATGTGTCCCCATTTACAATGACAATGAGGACAATGTAGATAATGTAGATTTAGATCTCCCTCATCAAACAAACCCATCCACTTTTCCTAATTTATGATAAATTTAATCATATGAATCATATGTTTCTAGTTGCACACAGACCGCTGGAGCACCTCGTCCATGAAATGTGTCGTCCTCGGTCTTCAGTTGTTTCATGATTGACTGTGATACCAGCAATTCGGCCTCCAAAAGTTACCCATTCCGAGTCGGTGATCCAATTCCCAAAACAAAACCTACTGATCCTGCCAAACAAAATGGTTTCGTATAACTAAAATTATGATGATGTTTATAGTTGTATTGAATCGCCAGAGGGTTCATGAACCTCGATATCAACCACAAAAAAGAAACTGACTGGTTGCTACAGATCCAAGTCGACAATAAGATGGGGCCCTGCCCGCAGGGCCTGATGATTCAAAAACCAAGTTGCAAGATCAGAGTTCTGTCAGTCTTCTTCTCTCGCAAGCAGTCCTCGCAAGGTAAGGTCATAACGATACTAAACACGTGCAAAAGATCATCAACCATCAGCATGAGCAAGGCACAACAGTTCTGGCAGATTAGACTTACGACAATTTCATAGAAAATTCCCTTCTTGCTGCTGATCTCCCTACATTTTCCACCATATAGTTTCTTGGAATATGTTCTCATGAAGGTTAACTCCATGTAATTAAATCCCACCATCTCTGTAGATTTTTGGTTGGATCAATCATCTTCAAAACCCTCAAAGTTTCTCGCTGGCATCGGACATCTTTTGCATCCGCTTTGGAAGCGACACTTCTCTCCGCGTCCGTGCCGTCCGTGCGCGCGGCCTTGCGCGCCCGGGGCCTAAACTTCAGGATGGCCCCAGCTGTTGATCCACACGTGGTCACCATTAGCGAAGGCTTGGTTCTGGTGGTATCTGATGGTCTGGCTGAAAGTTGACCAGTTGACCTGAGCGTTCTGAAGGGTTCTGAAAACAAACAACAACCGATGTCCTTTTGGGCACAAAGGGCCCCAGTTTAATCTTACTCATCTTACTCAACTCGAGTATTCATAGTTCAGCATGCATAATGCATTGAAAAGAGGAACAATCACCACCAAACATAAATTGAGAGGAAGGATCTAAGTTTTTGTAACATACTGAAGTGGGATTTCTTGTGGCAATGGGAAACCAAGCCCTCAGAAGTCCAAAAGGCGAGAGTTGTTCCGTCGAGATCGTAGAGTGCTGCCCCAGATGAAGCTGGCCATGGCTATAGGACTCCTTGTTGCTGACACATCTTGGTCAGATTCCCGGCCTGGGGCGGCGATAAGCCGCAGGTTTGATTCAGTGGCAACACACACATCTGGCGTGGATACTGCTTGGTGTCAACACATGTCAACACATGTCAACACATGTCAACAGATTAAAATGTGTTGAAACAATTTTGTTCATCACCGCAAATAAACATAGAAGCCACCAAGCAGGACGAACATGATGTTTGATTGTGCCCCTCCAGGATTACCAGTAGATAGTGTAGATATATATGATGATATATGTGTAGATGTGGGTTTCAAATTGCAAACTAGTGATGAACAAAGGCATCGCTCAAATCCTCTTTCTTTACGTTTTGCATAAAGTCAGGGAGGACAAACCTTTGATTTCCATTCTTACAAGACTATAGTCCAACTTTGTCTTTTTTTAAACATCTCTTCAAAAGCCAAAATATGAAAACAGATCATGCAACATCTTCAAATTGGAATCTCATTCAATGGTGATTTTTTCATGTCATATAAAATTGATATTTTTAGTGGTGGCTTTCCCAAGCATGGCCACCTGCTTCAGCAACTGCTGTGGAGACCCCTGCTCAACAACTTGACCGGCGTCGAAGACGAAGACTTCTTGGAACCTCGGCTCGCGGCGTGGCGATCGGCTGATTTCTGGGACTCGATGAATCAATGGGTTGATAAAATCAGTCGGTTGATAAAATCAGTCGGTTGATAAAATCAATGATTTATGGCCCTTTACCAGATATAAGTACTACTGTAACAAAACCCCATTTATAGACTGTATAATCCCATTTATAACCAGTTATAACTAATAAATGACCATAACTATGGTTGAATGATGTTGAATGCTGATATGACTGATATGTATATATCTTGGGATATGAATGAAACTGATGGCAAACAAATGGGTGCACTTTTTTCACAGTGAACATGGGAATGTTGTTGATTGATGGTAGGATTGAGCCAATCAAAATGTTGAACATCATGCAAAAATATGGATTCCATCTGAGCCGAGACCTGAGTTCGTCATGTATTTGGTTCCCTTCTCTTGGTTGGCTCAGGTCTCTGCAAATGGTTCGCGACATCTATGTCTTTGTGAATGATCATCGACCCGGGACTTTGGATGAATTCAGCTTCGGTCAGAAGGATTTATATCCCTGTATATCCCATATCATCTGTTGGATCTTCCCACAGATCACCACCAGCGTCGCCGTGGACCACGCTTGGTATCACCGTGACAATGCGTCAAGCAACTCCCGGATGTATTGCAGTCGGTGACACACCACCACCAAGGTCCACTCCTGTCGCAGCTCTTGCTATACCCACATCCATCATTGCACTAGAATACACGAATTGCAAGGAGACTACTGCGATTCATGAATTTCATGATCATTTTCTCTCACACCATTGATGTCAACGTCATTCACAGCCTTTTCGGTTTTTCCAGTCGCTTTCAGTCGGGCACTCTCCCAGTGGTCGTCCTTTTCCTACCCGGTTACGGTTCCCCACCTGGTCCAGGTCGTGCAGCAGGGTCTGATGGATCTGTTGATCCGTCTGCAGGTCACAGGCCGCCGTGGGTTCGTCGCACAGCAGCACCCGCTTCGCCAGAGAGGGCCCGTGGGCGGATGGATGGGACCTCAAAGGGCCGTGAGATGATCACTGTGAAGAAAATCTATGGAGATAATGATGAACATTGTATGAAAATATATGGAAATTATATGGAGATCTGTGGAAATTGGATGAAATTTCTGAATTACCAGAGCATCCAAGATAATTCTAGTATGATAGCAATGTGAATTTCGCATATTTTCAGCACTCCCACAACTCTGAGCTGATCAACAACCGTCGCCCTGGACATCCCCAGCCCACATCCCAGCGGCAGAGCTGGATCCACCAACACACGCGCCAGACACAGAAGCTGCCGCTCGCCCTGGCTGAAGTTTTGCCCATTCTCCTCCACCTGTGGATGCGAAGTAAAACCCCAGGAATCCTGGTTCATATTATGATTCACTCATTGATTCACTAATTGACTCACGAATTATCGCATAGTATAACATAGTACAACATAGTACAACTGCTGGGGCAATATCACACATATTTGTACAATTGGGTGAATCAGTTCCACCACATACATTTCCTGGGATGCAAGTCCAAGAAGAAGCTGTGCCAGCCTGGGATGCATATCATCAAATCAAACATCGATTATCAAAAAATCGACATCTTCAAGAAGAATCCAAAAAAACACTCAACAAGAAAAGAGAATCACCAAAAAACACTCAGAAAAACAACAAAACGAATCCCAGCCACAGCCAAAATCCCAAGCCAATCTCTGGAACCCATCCCCTGGCGGCCGCGCCTGAGCATCAAGGCCCAAGGGCAAGGAACGGATCCGGGGCTCCAGACCCACTTGCCGCAGCTGCTGCCAGAGCACCTGGAAATCTGCAGGAGGGTAAGATCACCTGTGGTACAACTGATGTTTGAGGTGTGATGTATTATATATATATTGTATTATATATATATATAGTATTATAATATATATATATATTGTATTATATATATATATTGTATTATATATATATTGTATTATATATATATATATATATATATATATATATATATTGTATTATATATATATATATATATATATTGTATTATATATATATATATATGTATTATATATATAGTATTATATATATATATATATATATATATATTATTGATATATATCATGTAAGAGCCAAATCACCGGCTAACTAACTCACTATCAACCTAAATACTGAACATTGATCAACTATTCAACATGATCGAACTATCTAACTATAAAAACGAACTAACTAGCTAATGGACTACTGACTTTAAGTAACACCTACGAAGCGTTCCCAACACTTGCAGTTCCAGCCCCTCCAGCGGCCTCGTCTTCGTTCGCCATCGCTGCAGCCGACGGCGCCCGGGACAGGAGATTGGAGCGGATCGTCCCGGTGAAGAAAATGGGATCCTGCGGTGCTGAAGATCCATAGCTAGAAAAATGGCTATTGAAATAACCACTTATTGATCAGGTAAATACCAGTAAATAGAAGCAACCAAAAAAAATAAACTATAAATGATGTTGCTGCCATGGTATTAATATTGATCAATTTTGTTATTGTATAACCATGAAAATACCTCTTAAAATTGTATTTACTGTACTGGTATTGTTCTTTAAATTGATCCATAGGCCAGAACGCCATTGGACGGAAATCGGTGCCAGCCAATTTTTGTTGGCTTCAAAATGGTCAAAAATGGTCAATTCTGCCAATGGGTGAGGCAAATAAATGAGAAACAGCTATAGCTACATCATATATCATCATATTATATCCTGTGGTTGTGCCCATTGAAATAGCATGAAAAAAAACAATCCTCGAACAAAAATGCAACAACAAACTCACCCACCTGTAGAAGCACCCGCACCATGGACCGCAGCTTCGGTAGCGGAAGGGAGGTCACCAACTGTCCTCAGTCTCTGGGATTTCTGAACAAATTTCTGGTTGGGGTGAAGTGGTGGTGTTACCCTCTGGTAAACGTTTACATAACTATGGAACATCATCATTTTTCATGGGAAAACTCACTATAAATGGCCATTTTCAATAGCTATGTTAGTCATTGCCAGAGGGTAACTGAGTCAAGATGCCATGCAGGTAGAGCTTGCCACCGCAGAGAGGATACAAGCGAACCAGGGCCGAGAGGAAGCTGCTCTTGCCACAGCCCGTCCGGCCCACCAGCGCGCATGAACTTCCACTGGGGATACTTAGAGATAGGCCATTGAAGATCAGTGGTCCATCATCCTGTGCAATGCCAAGACTTTTACGGAAAGTTTTTGGATGGAAATGTACATCTACCACCACAAGCCTCTTGACTTTGGGAGCCAGAAAGGATCAACAAAAACACATTCTGGCCAGAAAAGTTGTCATCATTTCACCTCCAAATTTAGGACATCAACAACAATATCTGTTAAATACATCCAATATCCATTAAAAACATATTTTAAAAAAGAAACAGAAACATCCAGCTGCTTTGTCCGTTTCCATCCGTTTCCCCCACACCTCATAGCGCAGATACAGCCCCTCCGCCAGCACCGCCGCACCGTGCGGCGTTTCCTCCGCGCCGTCTCCGTGGGGCGGCGCCGTTTGGGGCGCCTCGCGGGGCAGCCGGGTGTATTCCATGACGCGCTCGATGGAAACGAACTCCACTTCCATGGTGGCCACACGGCGACTCAGAAACATCACCGTCCTGGTGAGAAAATATGAGAAAATGATGTCAGATGGGCACATGGATGTGACATAAGTGACTTTTTGCGACTGATGGATACTGTGATCGTTTTTAAAAAACTGCGACATTTCATTGACAAAAAATGGTAGGATAAACATGCACTGGTAGGATGTTATTAGATGGCTAACAAATAAGAGATTGTAGCTGCTGAATGCTGCTGATCTATCTCAAAATACAACTGGTCCAGGGATCGTCAACAGCATGGCTGTTAATCCCCGGAATCCTTGGCATGCTGATGCAGTAGGTCAATGCCAAGCCAGCCAAACCTCCAGACATGGCGCACTGCAATTTCTGAACGGATCGTCTGAAGGTCTAGAAACAACTGATATTGCATATGATGGGTATAACAAATGATGGGTATATTTTATAACCTTCATATGACTGAATATTGATGGGTACAACAAATGCCCCCCTTGTAAGAGAAGGACAACTCAACAAAGTAGAATTGGAATTTTCCATTGACAATGCTACTGAATAAACGGGGGTGTCCCAATGTTTAATGGGGTGTACCCTGACCCATCGGTTTCAATACTAGAATAGTCTAATTTTGGATGATTTGGATTCCCCTAGTGTTTACTGTATCCATCTAATCCCAAAAAGTTAAAACATCTAGTTGAGTATGGCGATTCAATATCCATTCCATTATGTATCCCATCAGAAAGGGGACTATCCCGGTAAAGTTCTCCATGGTATGGCTATCATTCATTAGGACATCCAAAAAAAAACACATCTAAGAGATTCAATTGCAATATATGGCTACAATCAATGATGTTTACCCATATAGCTATGGAAAATAGCAATGTATCGATGACTTAGCTGTAAAACATGGTGATGTTCCAGGTTTTTTTTGTATGTTTGCCGGAGGGTAATCCCCCTACGCCTGGATTCAGCAGCCCCAGGTAGGCGCGATAACCGATGATCCCAGCCACCACTGCCAGGGCAAAGGTACCCAACACTTCCTGCGGCTGTCAAGTGCTGTTGGAAAAAAAACAGATCTAACATAGCTATATAGACAAGTCAGAATTTACAACAGGATATATAGGTAAATCAATGTAAATCACATCAATTTCGATTTTCTACAATCAGAAATGCTCAGGAATGCAGAACTATATAGAACTATTCCAAGATCTCACAGGCTCAAAGCAGCCAATCAAGTCAACAGGAACTGACACAATTATCTATAATTATAGAATTATCTCACCAGTAGTGTCAACCTTCATCATGTCCCTCATGTCACCTAGAAACTCGGCCATGACCACTGGATACCACTGGCCATCTGGTGCCTGAGTGCAGGAGATCCAAGCTTGAGCCACCCAAAACCAATAGGTCGTCAGTTGGTTTTGGCTCAGCAACTGCAAATTCCTCTCCAGGAAACGCGCCTCCAAGTCGTCAGCGCCAAAGCAGATGGTTTTTGTGGGAGGGAAATAGGCATTTAGAAAGGGCTGAAAAGGATGGAAAGGAGTTGCATTACTTGTGATTCTCAAGAATCAGGTAAAAGGGTAAACTATTGTAAACGTGTTTGAAGGGTGGAAACTAGCTGGTGAGGCTGTTTAAAGTCCTGATGTCCAACATTACGTTGCTATACGTTACTGGCAACGATCTCTGTGTATCAGTGGAGCAGTTTGGGAGCCTGGCCGATATACAAGTCATCATACATACAAACCCATCTTGATCATGATGATGATGATGATGATGATGATGGATGTCATGCCTGAAGAATAGCAACCCATTTTTGCAAAAACGTTTGCAGATGCCCGGGGCACCTCATGACCAAAGGCCCTGATGGTTCTGGCACCCTTGATGGAATCAGCGAAATGACCTGAGGGAAGGGGAAATTGAATGAACTGGGCGGAATTGTAGTTTTTGTTGAGCCAAATTGATGCAATTCTGGGTTATAGTAGTCTAATATCCAAGTTAACTCTTCGAACAGATTATTTAAAATTAAGACTTCCAACTGGATCTCAATCTCTTGAGTCTGAGTATGAAGGAACATTGAACGGAACATACAGAACAGGACAATCATTCGACACATAAGGTGGTCAGTTGCGAGATGTTGCCAGTAACTCTCTATGCCTTCCAGAATAAGGCAACTTCGACATCCAGGTACCCCTGTGAAATAGGTCGAAATCCATTGGGCTTAGGGCCGGAATATGAGTATGCGATGCTATGCGTCAAGATTGGACACCCCAATAGCCACATTGCCAGGTATATCTCAGGTATATCTCAGGGTTCCAAGAAAGCTTCGGGCTTCGCCGGCTTCGCCCAGTGACTCATTCCGGGCGATCTGGAAGTGCCTGCGGCATGGTTTCCACCATGGCACGCTGCGGTGCTCACGTGGCAAAGGATGTTAAGCAACTGGTTGGATTGTAACTCGAAATTCACTGGTTGGTTTATGGAAATTCAAAAAACATACTATAACCTTAGACTATAGTAAATGGATGTAAATGGGGTGTATAAACCAATGAAAATTTTTGGGGCTCCACCTTGTACCCTTTTTCTACTTGCTTTGGGAAGCATGTCCTAAAACATGTCTTATGGAATCCCCTCAAAATCCGTACAGCTTCAATTTCACGCAAGTGAACATTTTCTACCATAGACCATAGATTCTTGGAAACAAAGACATCTAATGAATCAAGTTCCACAGATATCTGCAATCATTGTCATCGTCGTCATCATCATCATCATCATCATCATCATCAATTATTAGCTAAGTGTGGTCAGATTACAATAGATTATCATCATATTAAATATGGTTATCCACTATTATCATTATTTTTAACGTGGTTTATCCCTGTAGATCATCATCTACAAAAACCCTAATTTTCTCACTTGACCTGGCCTGGACATGTCGCAAGACTGAGGATCGGTCTAAGCCTTTGTAACTTCCAGCCATTTTCAGCAACATACACGTTTTTGTTCATGTTTAGGACTGACAACTCAGGATTTTCCCAGTCTCTACTGAACTCTATAAATAGTAAGGGGTCAAAAAACATGTTAAGCACCAAGGTTGGATTCACTGCCCAACATCTGGTGAAAATAGGCTACCTCATGGTATGGTGCATGACCATTTTTCCTATTAAATAAACATTCTTAACCACAAAAAGGGGGGGTGCCATTCTCAGACCGCGCCTTCAAGACGTTTCAAGTCGCGCGCAGGCCAGCGGTAGACCTTCATGGTCAGCCAGTAGACCAGCACAAAGGGAGGAACCACCATCTAAGGCACAGCGGTGTTGATGGTGTTTGATGGTGGGGTTCCGCATCCAAAAGTTGGAAAATGTACTTAACATATGGCTTATATATTTAGTATGTGATTTAAACAAATGGTTAAAGGTTTTTGGTGAAATATACGCATGTCTTTGATATAGCTAGTGCTGGTTTGATAGTTGGGAATATAAATCAACATCAAATGGGATGGATATATCAATTAATTAAGTGCCATCCGAAACAGCGTATTTATTTATTAACCATCATCTTGAACGGGATGTTGAGCATGTTGAACATCAACACATATCAATATTAAGCATGAGGTATTAATCACCATCTAAAGGTGCAAGAGAGAGCCGTTGAAACTTCCGCAAGGCAAAAATGGTGTATCTTCCACAATATAACCGCCGACATCTCGATTGCAAACTTTGGGGGAGCCAATAGTCATGCAAAAGTGCTAGAAGTAGTGGAGTTAACCAACTACCCACCTCAAATTCCCTGGAACCCTGCTTATAGCGTTCAGAAAACGACTTTTCTGTTGGATATGGCCATGTTTGGAATCCTGGGGCAAGTGCGCTTTTTGGTCAATGGACGTTTTGGTTTTCGTGCATCAAAGTGGGTGACTTCCAAAATAGACTGAAGGAAACCATTCCATTTGAGTATGTTTCAGTTATATAGTACGTTCTAAACTGGTGTATTCCGTATACCGTATAACCCAATTTTGCATAGTACTTCAAAGGACACATGATGAGAAACAACGTGGAATTCATGCTTTTCTACCACCTGTTCGACCAAAAAGTAATGTTCAGCTATTTTCAGTACTTTTCATTGGTCAAACATTCCTTATTTTTTCGGCATGCCGTGAAGTCTCGATTTTCCATCCACCAAAACCAGTCATCGTTGGGCAAAGGTACCAAGGCGGGCGTCGCAAAGAGGCTGATGATCAGCACAGAGATGCAAACGTTCATGAAGGACTCGAAGAGTTCGCGGAAGGCCGCCGGCATTCCTGGAACAGTCGAGCCATTGCGATGATGGGATGATGGGATGGAAATGTGATGGATGATTGCCAGAATCTTCGGAGAAGATTAAGTGGAACTATTGCATAGTATTGCAGAGATGATTGGAAATTGGACTGGAAACCATTCTGAGTTAGGAACCTTCAAGGGTTACCCTCTGGTAAACATACAAAAAACTATGGAAAGATCCACCATTTTTCATGGGAAAATCCACTATTTCTATGGCCATTTTCCACTATTTTCCACTCAGAGTTGCCATATCCACCGCAGCCGGGCGTCGATCATCGATGGTGGCCATATCTTTGAGGCATCGATTCAGGGCACGGCCCGTGGGCGTCAGATCGAAGAAGCGCAACTGGGTGTAGAGGAGACCTATCTATGGAGATCGGCAACATCCCTGGTACCCTGGTGGAAAATAAATGTCCCATAGAAATATGTACATATTATATGTATACCTTGTAAAGATGATGGATTTTGCATAGGTTATGTAACATATTAAGTGTTACATTAACATGAATGGTGCACGAAAAGTGTCAAAAAACACTAACCATGCTGGCAATTCAATGGATTGATTTAAAGGACATATTGGAGGAAATCATGGTGTTTACCCCAAGTCTAGGGTTCCCGGTTTCAAACTCCCGTGAAAAATCCTCGGTTGAACATACCACATCAAAGGATGGTCAGGTAATTGAGAACCAACAAGCAGATTGCGATCATGAAAGATCTACACATATCGACAACAAACAACAAAAAAGGACATTGTTGAAGTTCAGATTGCGATTGAGAAGATGGGAAATCCAATCCATCTGCTAATCATCTACCGATAAATATAAGTCAAACAGTCCTTGAACATTAGTCGCATCACATACCATCCAATTAGTTCTTCAAAACTTCCGAGGTACCCAATTACACCCAATTACCATAACATTTTCCAAACATACCATGGTTTGATATGGCCTACCATACCATTGGGACCGCCTTCCATGAAGCTGTCATGCAGTCTTCTGGAGCCCCTCAACGCCACCTGGGATGGAAAGCAGAACGAGTGGAAGTTTTCAACCCAGAAAGATGCCAACAAAATCCACAGGAACGTCAACGTGGACGTTCGCGACAAATTTCCGGAGATATTACGACCCAGGACCCAAGAGTGCATTGGCTCAAGCAAGCACCTCGCTTACCCAACTATTTCGCAAAAATCTTCGCTGATTTTCAAATTCCCCCGAAACAAGGGGTATCACTTTGATCATGTTTGATCCATGTGCATTTTATGACCTCATAAAATCGCCACCACATCAACCATCTGCAATGGAACTTGACCGCCCTGACCGCCCATGGTTTTTAGCTGCCAGTATCAGTCCAGCCACCAATTGGATTCCAAAGAAAAAGCTGAAGCAACTGACACCCGTCAGCAAGCACAACGCCACGTACATGACCTAAGCGAGCTGATTGCATGAATGCTAAGCATTTGCTGCACCAGGACTAATTGTCATTTATGGACATTTCAACATTTTCACCGTACAACATCAGAAGTAGTTAGGTATCATTCTGCTGCAGTTACTATTATCATCAATTATCATTCTCATCATTCTCATCATCAGCTTGGCAGTTTTTTCGCAGTCATAGAGTCATACATTATAATTATATAGATCATTATAGATAATTATAGCGCATTATACACCCGATAATAACAGGGACCAGACAGGGCTCCCCTCATCGGAGCATCATCCCTCCCCAAAAAGCGAGCGAAAGGCACCAGATAGCGTCGGCTTGCATCCCTGGCCTCCGGGATTCAACAAGATTGGCCACGGCCAGGCGGGCCAGGTTTTTTTTGTTTAAAGTGCTTGCTGTTGGATGTAAAAACCCATGGTAATCAATGGTTAATCCATGGTTACTATATGGATAATCTATGATAATCTATGGTTAAAACCAGAGTTACCCTCTGGGTATGACTAACAGTTTGCCATGGGAAATAGCAATGGCCCTAATCGAAATAGATGGTTTACCGAACTTAAAAATGGTGATTTTCCATGGCTATGTTTAAAAAAACAGATGGTACTAAACACCTTTAAACAACTACTGTATCCAAGTATACATAACATCTTATTACCCAATGTACAAATCATGTTCAAACAACTACTGTACTGTATCATCTAACATTAACTGTAAAATTTTACCCAGTTAATAGTACAGTAGTTATTAGATGATACAGTACAATGATTAATATGTTAGATGATTAATGTTAGATGATTCATGTTCTAACATTAGTATACATTAATAACCACCCAATGATGGATATGACCCTTTCCAATGAATAACAGCTTTCACCACTCCATCAACGGCGCGCCTCTGGGTGGCCACTCTCCTCCGCGCGGATGTTGGCGTTGGACCAAACGGCCAGTTGGAGGCTGGAAGCCAACTGAGCGCCATAGTAGACCTGGGCAGCAGGTCAAACCTGTGGATTTTCCAACGGGATTTCCACCTGAAATTCCCAGGTTGGAAAAAATGGCGGGAAAGAAAGAAAGAACTGTGGGTTTAACCATGTTCATTGGGTACTAAATTAACATATGATGATTTTCCATGGCCATAGAAATAGTGAGTTTTCCCATTAAAAATGTGTGAACATGGTACATAATTAGCAAAAATCATTGAATACTTGTGGCCCAACCCTCTGTGGCCTACTCAAACTTGGCTCTCCGTGGTATCAAAAGCTCCCCTTTTCCAAAACCAAGGTTGGTGCATCACCAACACTGGTTTAACCCAGGAGTCTAGGCTGGTCCAACCCCACAATTCTGCCCAACTTTGCCACTCAACCATAGTAACCATCCCGATTTTGGGTTGGTTCACCCCTAATTTTGGCTGGTTCAACCCTCAAGTCTTGCTAAGTTCGGAAATTTTGGATTGGTTCAACCTTTCGTTGGGTAAGTTTGAACCTTTTTGATTAGGTCACAAGCTTCAACCTACCAACAAAATGGGAAGCGCTGCCTCAAGTCAGTCCCAGTGGCCAAAATCAACGAAGCGATGCTGAAAACGCCTCCCGCGCCGCCACAGGCGCGTGCATAGGCGACCAAATCCTCCCATTGAATGCGCCCCACGCGACGTTGCTCCTGGGCATCCAGGAACCTGGCGGCACCGCGGTAGGTGAACCCCCTGGGATGAAGGATGCTGGAAATCTCCCTCTCAAGTGGGTGTAGCATGTATTCATGGTGTATTCATGGTGTATTCATGGTGTATTCATGGTGTATTGCCAGATTCTGTGCTACTTCCGTGTGGGTCGAACATTTGTTTTGACCATGTTGAATTTCTATGAGGATGCATCCATCTACCATTCGTCTTGAAGCCCATGCAGTGTTGTCTTATGGTTTCCAAACCGTGATGAATCAATGCCCTCAGAGGTTTTTGGAACGCTCAAAGATCAGACATGAACTCTTAAAGTGTCGAGAACGTCACCCAACCACAAACTTCAAAATGCACGTGTTTGCAGATGTATATGGCAAGGTTTATTAGATACTCCCCGAAAGGATCCAATTTATAGCAGATCAGTATACTTTTGCTGAATTTTGTACTTGACACTCAACATAATCATGCATTACATTGTCAGTTAGATTGTTGTTTCCATATTTATAGTTTAAACATCGACAACATTGATTAAATATATATATATATACCATTCACAATCCATTCACCATTTTGTTTTACCCAGCTTGCCGGGCTGGTTTTGGCACCTGTTGCCTCCAAGTCTGCCAGTGGTCGGTTGCGGCTTGAGATCGCCATTCTCCTCTCCCTCCGCCGCAGTTTCTGCCACTTCGCCTGGCCCGGCGTTCCTCGCGGCGCAGTAGGTGCTGACAAGTGGGGTATCATATCAACTACAAATGGGAATGCAATATAACCGAAAAACATATGCAAAAACAAGTGCTTGAAGTCATGATCTTTATGTTACTTTCATTACTTTCATCTCCAAAAATCCCAAAAATCCCATGACAATCATCATATTCCCTGATTTCTCCCTATTTGCCATAGAAATTGCTGTGTTGGATCCAGTGGACCCACCGAGCATCGGAGCGATAGAGCTCTGCAGCTGCTGATAGGTCCCCAGGAAGCCGCAGGTGCCATCGGCACGCAGCAGGAGGATCCTGGGACTTCTTGGGACATTGTAAGCCATGAAAACCCTGACATCATCCAAAAATGCCAAGAAAAATAAGGATTTATACATGACTTAAAGATGAAATGGAATTCAATGCAGTACCCTCTGGTTATTTAACATAGCCATGGAAAATGGCCCATTTATAGATGGTTTACCTATTAAAAATGGTGATTTTCCATGGCTATGTTAAATAACCAGAGGGTATCACTGATGATGGTGAATCATCCGCAGTTTTTGGATGTTTTTGGTGAAGTCTCCATCCTTGATGGTTTTTACCCAACCTTCCAAGCCCACCCCGTGGCACCGTCCTGGTCACCGCCGGATGCGACCAGTACTGCACCTGGTGCGTCACCAGCAGCCGCGTCTTGCCGCGCAGCTGGCCACAGATCACTTTCTCGAAGACGTGGCGACCCACGTGGGCATCCAAGGCGCTAAGCACGTCGTCCATCAGAACCACCTTGGTTGGGGGCTGTTGGTCAATGGATTGGTGGGAAAATCTACAAGAAACCAAGGTTTTTCCAATGAAATCTAAGGGTTTCCTGTAGAAAACTTTACCGCCAATCCATTGCAGGGCTTCAACATGGTTCAACCAAATATGCTGGCATTTTTCAATGGATTTTGCTGGCTGGGATTTGGAGGGGAAACCATGATTTTGATGATATTTTTTGGGGTTTAACTACATCGGTGGTAATCATCTCTAAAATGCTACCATATCCATATTAATTTGGAACCTTGGGATGATGCTTGACCAATCTCTATCGGATAAATCTGGCAATGATGTCAAAAACAAATCACATATATGCACAGAACAACGTTAAATCATGTAAACAAATATATCAACAATTATCAATATATCATTTCATTACTCACTTAATTGCATTTCAAGAATATATCATATATCAACATCCATATCACTGATTGTGATTCATAATCTGTCACTAACTATTATATCAAACTATGATATTAATTGGCACACTCTCAAAAAGTCTTCATCCACCCAATTTCCAGATACCCTCTGGTAAACTAACATAACTATGGAAAATCACCATTTTTAATGGGAAAATCCACTATAAATGGTCATTTTCAATAGCTACGTTAAATTACCAGAGGGTAGTTCCGGATATGTCCAGGTCTTCCATCTCTTCGCCATTCCTAGCGCCAGGTCACCCGCGAGCCGCTGTACACGGCCCGCGCCAGGGCCAGACGCTGTTTCTGGCCCCCCGAGAGCTGGACGCCCTCTTCACCCACCAGGGTTTGAAGCCCGGAGGGGAGGGAGTCCAAGTCCTAGGAAGCTGGGTAAAATATGGTAAAATCCCATGAATCAATAGGAATTTGGCATGATTTAGCCATGAAATATAGGGATTTTTTTATGGGGGGTTTATGGGATACATGGGATATTATGGGATTTAACCACTAAATACAAATACCATTATGTAAACATAGGTATTTCATTTGGTATTCATGGGCAGAAAATGGGATCATATGGGATTTAGCCATGGTTTAGTGGGATTTAACCATGATGTCAAGGGATATCATGATGAACCCCTATCCCATTCATATCCCAGTAATATCCCATTAATCTTCCATTAATATCCCATATATTTGATGGGATATGAATGGGATGTTAATGGGATTTAGCCATGAATTAATGGGATATGAATGGAGAAATGAATGGGATTTACCATGATGTACCCATGGAAAGGGTGTGGTCCTTATGATTATAATATGATCACTGATAACACAAATATAGGGAGTAGAAAGGTGATGATAATAGTGGTGATTAATCATCAACTGGGACTTACCAATATTTCATGGGGATAGATGGATTGGATTTGGATTTGATGTTGAGCAGGAGATGTGAGGAATTTTCAGCAATACACTTAACATCACTTCACTCTTGACTGGTGCAAATTCACCAGCAACGGTATTTTTTTTTAAATGGTCCCAAGGTCATGATCACCAACCCATTGGATCGCCAGAAATTCAACATACCATACTTAACACATCCACAATATGAATGTCCCAAAAAAAAAACAAAGATGGTCAGTTCTGCAGCAGATGCAACCCGATGCCGTGTGGGTCCTGCAGCAGGGCACAACTCTCCAGCGTGTCTTGCAGTTTCTGAGGATCTTCGGGCAGCCCAAAGAGCAAATTCTCCAAGAAAGTGCCATTCAGAAGCCTTGGTGAACTCGTACGAACTCATGCGCCAGGGATGGGAATCAGAAGCTGATGGGTGATGAATCGGCGTTGTGGTGAGGGCTTGTGCAGATTGTAATCTTCAGATGCAAGTGGAATCTATTGGTTACCCTCTGGTAATTTTACATAGCTATTGAAAATGGCCATTAATAGTGGAATTTCCCATTAAAAATTGTGATTTTCCATAGCTTTTTGTATGTTTACCAGAGGGTACCAACCGGTTGAAATTCATCCTTGGACCTTTCTGATGCTTCAGGAAAGGAGACCTTTACAGATGAGAATCAAGTTGATCGCGCCAGCATCCAGCATCTATGTGGATGTCTCTGAGATTGGACGAACTCCGAACTAATCTATACATACATATATATATATATATGTATATATATATATATATATTATATATATATATTGAATCAGTTTGGCTGGCTAGAACATGTCAATGCAGGTTGAGATGGCCTTCTTGATGTCCTGGATGGAAACAGTTTCTTTCTTCATTGCTGGAACTTCTAGAAATTGGGAACGCCCCTGACTTGGGGTTGACTATGCCAGTAAAGCAGCCCTCAAGTTATAGAACCATCAAGCCTTGATTCGGAGTTGATTTTGGCACCAATTTAACACGTAGATCCAACATGATACAACCTTCAATGATTATCCGGAAAATATGGATTTGGAATCGCGTTCCCATCATTTTCCCATACCTTGGGTATGTTCATATTAAAAAGCCATGAAGATCCCAAAAGTTGCACCATCCCAGCCCAAGGGGCCAAGGTCGTTGAGCGACATAGGCCATGGATCCACCTGATCTCAACATTTGGAGATTGGAGATCCCCATTTTTTGGGGCTAGGACGGCTACAAAGTGGGGCTCCCTAGATAGCTAAGTTGGTGCAAATAACTCCAATAACTATGGTTTATGGTACGCAAATAACTATAGTTAATGGGGTTTATAAACCATCTTATAACTGGGGGGCCCCACCTTGTAGGATGCTATGTGGGATACTTTGATAAGCCAAAACCAGTCAACAAAAACGAAACGGAATAGAAATCATAACAACATATAACAACAATGACAACCCTCATCACAGCCGACCATTTCATACCACTCCTATTAGCCTATCAGATAATCATCCCAGAATTTCTTAAACCATCCTTCCGCTGACCAGATTTTGCGACCACCTAAACTACGCTGCTTCAATCCGCCCCGCTGCCAGTGCTTCATCAATCCGCCCGCCCTTTGACCCGCAGTCAGTGATCGCCTCGTTTCCGACAGATGCCCGAGAGTTGTGGCCGCGTCCCGGTGAAGGCTTCCAGCAAGGTGCTCTTCCCTGCACCGATAGGACCCGAGATCAACCTGGAAGCCGGCTGCCATGGGCTGGGGACTCTGGACCCGAGGGAAGCCCATGGAAAATGCATCATGGCTGTAGATGAACTTAAGAACATGAGCTAAACTGCTAAACTATATGGGAAACTTAATTTCCTGTGGGATTTGTATGGGTTTGTTTTGTCATCCACTTTCTGGTGAAACAAAATTCAACCAAAAGATTGACCTCGATGACGACAATAGCCCCATCCAATTTGTCCACTCAAAATCTTAGTAAGGCAAATATGTTGCAACCCCTTTTTTTCTTCGACCATGATCGTCGAAAAAATGATCCACTCGGTACATCAAGATGTACCAAGGCGCAGCAATTCCTTTGGTTTCACCTCCAAGGACAACTTCTGCACTCCGCGACAGCTTGGTTTTTCGGAGTCCTCGATGGGCCAACCGACGTCGCAGTCCTGCTCTTGAAGCCCAGCTTGATCGGCGTAAACTAAGCAGGATGAAACCTCATGCCCCAGCTATCACTACTATGTTACCATACCATGAGGCAATCAAACATGGCTGGGAAATGCCCAATTATATGCCCAAAGTAAATGGGGATTGAGGAAACATCATCGAACATAGGTGTATGATTTTCCAGCAAGGCATGGAGTAACTCGTGTCATCGGCACAACCGAACATAGCAATGGGAAATCTCATGGAGGTTCCAAGGGGAAAATTCTCGGGGATTGTCCGTTTCCACGTTTGATTACCGGAGGGGATCTTAATCATAATCTGCGAGTGGGCAAGTTTCTCTCCGTTGGCAAAATGCATACACAACCCTACTCATATGGTGCAATACTGTAACTCCAAGCAAAGACATTCCACACTAAATGCCAGCATTCAAACATTGCTGATATAAGGAGTTTGTTAATTACCATTAATCTAATTGTCCCTTAGATAGGGCAACATCCCCGGCTGGATCTAAATATGTGGCACCACTTGTCAACCTCTGAGGGACAAGTATCCCTCCCTTTATATATCAGTTTGATCATAACTTCTCTTCCCCTGTTGGTTAGATTCTGAAGTGAAAAAAAACATGTATCAATTCTGTGCACAAATGTGCTCCCATGGTCATAACCGTCATGACCATATCATTGGTCATATTTCAGCAAATCTCTCAAGCCAGGACCCCCGGCCCCATCCGGCCCCACATCTCCTGCAAAAGAGAATCCGCATCGCCGTGCATTTCATCTGGGTGCTCCTGCAGGGCGATCCATTGATCCATGGCTGGATTGATCAGCTGACATATAACTGGTTGGTGGTATACCTACCCCTCTGAAAAATATTGTGATTTTCCATAGATATGTTAGTTTACCAGAGGGTATAGCCATTCATAACTGGTTGGGGGTTGAGCCCTTCCCCTCTGAAAAATGATGGACTTCATCGGTTGGGATGATGAAATTCCCGATGGAAAGTCATTTTATAGCCATGTTCCAAACCACCAACCAAATAATGATGTGTGTTCAATGGAAAAGGCCAATGGTTTTATCACTTCCCATCGGATTGAGGGGATCAATATGAATCAATCCATACCTCCGATGGATCATGGAACATAATACCTCTGGCGCCCAGATCATCCCCAGATATCAGATATCCCATAGATATCCATAGATTCCCATAGCAAGTTGTGAGTTAGATTCCCATCCTTGCAGATTCCATAGCCACAAAAAAATCAGAAGTTCGTTCATCCCCAATCCAATCCCAAACTCAAATAGCTGGACATGGCTTTGCTGGACAAATCACCCCGTCATAAATAGATGACGGATTTGACAACATCGGAACTTCCTGATGTAATGCAGGGATTTCCCAGCTAACAATGTTTCATTCCAGAAAGGGTCAATTCCCAATACTATATCAAATTGGTATAAGTACTACATCAAATTGGTTCTATAATAAGCAAATATATCTCCAAGTGATATTCCCATGATTTTTTTAATCACCATCGTTGCTATGTTTAAATCATTTTAAATCTCCTCACTTTATCCTGGTTTCCCACTTAATATCCCCCTCACATGGTTGGTCATTGGCATCACCATGGACTCCATGGGATCGAAATAACTCCACCTCGCGGCCATCTCTGCGCAGCCAGGTGGTGTCATCAGCCTGAAGTTTCAGCGCCAGATCATTTGACAAGTGTCTTTTTTGGGGTCCAAATTGAATGGTTTGAAGTGCTGAAGTTTCAATGAAGCAAAGCAAGAAAAACCTTCAGCACTAAAAATTGCAACCATGTTACAATGTTGAATGGTTTGAAACCAAACAAGGGGGATTTCAACATGGTTTCAATTTTGAGTGCTGGTTAGGCTTCAATGTTTACCCGTTCAGAATTTCCCACCTGACAGGCCAACAACTGTTGGATTCGGTACACGCTGACGTAGCAGTCCAGTAGGGTGGCAATCTGATTGGGCACCGACATGAGATTTTCCTTCAGCAAACTGCTCCAGGATAAGACCTGGACGCTTTTCGCGCGCTTTCAAAATGCTGGGATTTCTCATGAAAAACCCCCTTTTTCGATGGCTAGGAACATCCGGGCAACGCTGATGATCAATTGCCCTTGATTCCTAGAGGCGACCATGTGGGATGTTCCGACCATTTTCCCGGGATCATCCGGCTGGGAATTCAAATTTCCCAGCGCAGCAAGGCCATTGAAATGGCAGATCTCAGGAGTCTAATCTGGTGGGACAGCAGGTATGACCTTTCCACTGGACTAACACCACCAGTTCAACAAAGGCAGGTGAAAAACTCAGTGTTGTAAACATTCAATTGTCTCTAACCCCAGTAATTATGAAAAAAAGATAGGTTCTCATGCTGTTTGCTTCCACCAGAGTTGAAGACTTACCGAAGGACAAGATTCATCCCAGTTGCTGCAAATTTCATCACATCCATAGATATCATATGGATAAAAAGCGAAATTCAAGCCATTCAAAACCAAGGAAATACCTGAAGTTCTCATCTGATATAGCTGTTGTTTGCATTCATATGGTTTCTGGTCGGTTATATATCTCAACTATCTCCCATTTTTTCTCCATTGCTAGTGAAATCTCCATTATCAGATCATATCCATTGGATTCATCCCCCATTTTTCTTGTTTCGCTATGTATCCCATCATATTCTTTACATATGATCCATCCCCCACGTCTTCGTCAGATCTTCGTCCATGTCACCGTGAAGGCAATGGCGGCATCTACAGGACGATCCAACACCAATTCCAGCCAAACGAAGGAGGCGATCGTTCCAAACAGACTGACCTCGAGTTGCGACGATGGACGAAACCTCCAAAAAAAATCTGAAAAAAAACATGATGGCAGCAGATGTGGTCTAAAAAAAATGATGTGTTTAGATGTGTTATAACGGAAAAACCCACGTATTCACAGGAGATACCCTCTAAAAAAAATGATGACTGGGAGCTGAAACATGCAGTTGTGAAGATCATGGCCCTTGTTGTGTTCCATGCGAAAGTCAGCAGCTTTTCAAACATATATTTACCGTCTGATAAACCAGTTGATAGCTATGGAAGCCATGGCCCACTTATAATCCATTGAAAAATAATTTGCCTGTCTTCTAAGAACGGTGAGTAACTCGATAGCTGATAGCTATGTCAGTTTACTGATTCCAGCCACAGACACTGTGCTACCCAAGAAATTCATTGCCGGAAAGACCTGACGTTCAACGAACGGATGCCGCGATTGTGAACGGATGAGACTTCACCAACATTGCCATGGATTTATCATCAAAAAGCAGGAATCAACAAACATATTTCAACAACAAAACTTAGGGTTTAGCAAAGAGAATTTACGGGATGTAACCAATAGCCAATGAAAAATAAGGACAAGAATGTTTTACACAATGAAAAACCCACCAGTTTAACAACTCTGAAATGGGGGTCCATTGACAAACATGTGGTTTCAAAGTGTTGAGCACCAAATGATGAAAACAAGACATGATTGGGGGGTTGACCACAGAAAAGGATACAAAAGGGACATGTGGACATAAGCTGGGATATGGTGATCCATGATGATTCATGATGATCCAGAATGTTTCTTGAGCTCTGTAACGTGGAAGTGTAAGATCTGTTTTTTTTTTTGGTTCTTTGTTTCCTGCAGTCTAAGTTTTTCCCACTCACCTCGGCAAAACTTGATACCTAAGTTGTTGGGCCATGAAATGCGAAGATTCCTAACATCTAAACCGCTTAAACCAGCATTCACGTTGCATGTTCAGCATGTTTCCAGTGAGGTATCAATCACCAATCCAATTGCTTCAAAATGATGATTTTTCCAAGGTTTTCTCATCATATTTCCCAAGTTTTTCTCCAAACACGTCACGTTTTTCTCCATCCGCCGACCCGGCCTTGCGCTTGTACCACTGCGCTTGGAGCTCCCAGTTTCGAGCCTCGTGAAGCATCTCGGTGGCCATGGGTTCCAAGGAGAAACACTTCACCACCCGCATGGCCTCATGGCTGGACAAGGGGAACAGATTTCACAAATATATGGTAAATATATGGTTAATCCATGGTTACTATATGGACAATCTATGGTTAATGATAGTTACCCTCTGGTTATGACTAACAGTTTGCCATGGTTTTTCGATGGCCCTAATCAAAATAGATGGTTTACCGAACTTAAAAATGGTGGATCTTTCCATGGCAAACTGTTAGTCATAACCAGATGGTAGGTGTTTTTAAAAGGGTGGATTTGACGATTTTTATGGAACAAAATGTTACTATCCGAACTATCCTGGTGACCTAGTGGTGACATAATTCGAATGAAAATACCATATGTGGATTTAATTAATGATTTTTAATGGAACAAACTGCGACAAAATCCCGGTGACCTACTGGTGAAATGGACAGATGGAAATAACATGGGGGAACCAACTAAGCTTCTGTGATTCCACGAAATACTAGGTGGTTAAGACTCATGCTGCTATGCGTTGGAGCACCATGAGGCAACTTTACCCAACAAAGATCCAAATCTCACCAGCAAAAATCGACGATGCAGCAGAGCAATGCAGAGCATTGCCAATACATAGCCAATACCGATAGAAGGTATGACTATGTATGACTGATATCAATAACCAAGAACGCACATAAAGAATCATAAAGACAAGAACCAACGCAGCACAAAGATGTTGATCCAACACCAGGCATGGGAAATCAGACCAGGGACACGGAGTAGGGCAGTCTACTCCGTTCATTCATGGACATTTTAGCACACTTTATGGCAAACCAGTGGTTGGGGGGATACAATAATACGTATTTTGAGACCCATCATATTGGGATCATATTGGCAAATTACTGGCATATTGTTAGCACATTATCATCATTGGCATATTGTCCACTCTATACCGTGAAAATGACCATGTTTCATCGAGTCGCCGACAGGAATTGATTGCACAAGCGGCCACGAACGTCTCGAGCCTCCTGGCCATTCCAGGTCAAAGGAAAAAAAACAGATCTATTCATGTAAAGGTGGCCGTGATTTGTGCAACCAACCAAATATATCAAGTACATACATACATACATAACATAACATAACAGAACATAACATAACATTACATAACATTACATAACATAACATAACATTACATTACATTACATACATACATACATACATACATTACATACATTACATTAATACATACATACATACATACATACCATTACATACCATTACATACCATTACATACCATTACATACCATTACATTACATTACATTACATTACATTACATTACATTACATAACATTACATAACATTACATAACATTACATAACATTACATAACATTACATAACATTACATACCATTACATACCATTACATACATTACATACCATTACATACATTACATACATTACATACATTACATACATTACATACATTACATACATTACATACATTACATACATTACATACATTACATACATTACATACATTACATACATTACATACATACATTACATTACATACATTACATACATTTACATACATTACATACATCATTTTACATACATTACATTACATTACATACATTACATACATTAACATTACATACACTTACATACATTACATACATACATACATACATTACATACATTACATACATACATACATTACATACAATTACATACATTACATACATTACATACATACATACATACATACATTACATACATTACATACATTACATACATTACATACATTACATACATTACATACATTACATACATTACATACATTACATACATTACATACATTACATACATTACATACATTACATACATACATTACATACATTACATCATTACATACATTACATACATTACATACATTACATACATTACATACATACATACATACATACATACATTACATACATTACATACATTACATACATTACATACATTACATACATTACATACATTACATACATTACATACATTACATACATTACTACATTACATACATTACATACATTACATACATTACATACATTACATACATTACATACATTACATACATTACATACATTACATACATTACATACATTACATACATTACATACATTACATACATTACATACATTACATACATACATACATACATTACATACATACATACATACATTACATAATTACATACATTACATACATTACATACATACATACATTACATACATACATTACATACATACATTACATACATACATTACATACATACATTACATACATACATTACATACATTACATACATTACATACATACATTACATAATTACATACATTACATAATTACATACATTACATACATTACATACATTACATACATTACATACATACATTACATACATACATTACATACATACATTACATACATACATTACATACATACATTACATACATACATTACATAAATACATTACATACATACATTACATACATACATTACATACATACATTACATACATACATTACATACATACATTACATACATACATTACATACATACATTACATACATACATTACATACATACATTACATACATACATTACATTAATACATAATCATACATACTCATACATACTCATACATACTCATACATACTCATACATACTCATACATACATACATACATACATACATACATACATACATACATACATACATACATACATACATACATACATACATACATACATACCTACACAACCTACATACAGACATACAGCATACATACATACATACATACATTACATACATTACATACATTACATACATACATACATACATACAACATACATACATGACATAATACATACATACATACATGACATACATATTGACATACATACATACATACATACATACATACATACATACATACATACATACATTACATACATTACATACATTACATACATACATACATACATACATACATACATACATACATACATACATACATACATACATTACATACATACTACCATACCATACCATACCATACCATACCATACCATACCTACATACATACATACATACATACATACATACATTACATACATTACATACATTACATACATTACATACATTACATACATACATACATACATACATACATACATACATACATACATTGCATTGCATTGCATTGCATTGCATTGCATTACATTACATTGCATTACATTACATTACATTACATTACATTACATTACATTACATACATACATACATATATGTATATATATATATATGTATATTATGTGTGTAATATTTGTATGTATATGTATAATATAATTATATATATGGCAGTCCTAACTGGGACAATTTCGAAGCCCCGTCTGTTTCTGTTGGAACCTCATCCGTAAATGAGGAAGTTCCAGGAAGTCATCCATAGTCATCCCATGTATATTCTGATCAGCCCCGCGTCTGGATGGTGGTTTCGACCCTCTAAGATATCACATATGGATCGTATGGCTTGAAATATCATCCTACTTGATGAAAGGTTTATGGTCCTATGATTTTTGACTTCGACATAAATATATCAAGCCGTGTATCTCTAATATATTGGTTTTATATCACATTCGTCTCTCGAAAATAGCTCGTTTGGCTTGATACTTGAGAGACATGGCTTATCTGGCTTATCTCAAACTCATCATCCCGTCTGTTTATCATAGTTTTTTTCATCAGCAACGGATGATCCGTGGCCGCCATCCCGAGCCATACGATGACACCTGGATCCACTGGGCTGCCACTTTCAGGCGCCGCTGCAGGAAGAACTGCAGGGGGGCGAAGAGAAGAATCGTCAACCTCGAACGATGAACGATTGGACTGGACAGTTCAGAAAAATGATGGCCATCCATGAGGTCAATTGGCCTATCATGTCTTACCGTAGTACCACAAAATTGAATCATGGATTATTATTGAAATTCTGGCGAATTGGATGACTCCACCATGAAGCCGTCATCTTGAGGAAACAGAATCAACAGAAATTGGGGTTTTATATACCCAGAAACAAACCAACATCACTCTAGCATCACTCTGGTTCTTCTTCTGCAGCCATCAAAAGCTCATGGGGGGGAACTTTGCAACAGAGGCATACATTCACGATAAAGTGTGTGAAATGGTGCTGAGAAGAAACCTAACCCATGGAAATGGGTATCAATGTCAGTTTCTTTTCATTGGCAAATTTCTCTTGGCATCTCTTCGCCACAAGAAAAGATAAACTAGGATCTTTTTGGCCAGAATGCATTGAACTTTGTACTCAACTGACCAACCACGCAACCAGTTCAAACGGCCAAAAGATCAACGTGTCAAACAAAAAGTCTACATGAAAAGCTTCCCTCATGACCTTACTTCTAAAGAAAATGCCACCCTTTTCAGGCTCTTCCTGCCAATGTCTCTCCGAACATGTGGGAGACGAAAAAAAACGCACGAATTACAGTAATAATCAAAAACAAAACATCAAAAAAAAACATCCAACATAATCCCAACAACAACAATTGAGCCCACAAAAAGACTATCCCATTCACCCTCCATGACTGGGGGGTCATTTTTTAGGCCTATACCCGGTATACCCATGACCAAGGAACATCCCCACGATGCCCGCTGAGCCAATGAGGCTGGTGAGGTGCCACGCCACAATGCCCAAGGTGACCACGGCCAAGACAATTTGACAGTGGGAGAAGTGGAAGAAGGAGAGTTGCCTGGATCAAGATGGAGATGGATATTATTGATGGATACTGGATACATCTAAATATATATATATATACACATTATATATCAAAAAAAATGGGGATGGAGACATCTTTTCAATGTCCACTGTAAGTTGATTGATTGACATATATATATATATATGTTCTGTATAAATTGATAGGGATCAATGATCAAGGGATGGACAGTTTCGTTGACCAATTGCCTGGGGGGCTGGAGAAAACGAGTGACTTCACCAGAGAAATCCGCAACAAACTGGGGTTTTGCCACATGGATGAGCTACGAAACCTAGGCCCTCGGCTGTTCACGGTTCTACTTGGTTCTGCGGGGAGGAAAAGAACACACTGAACAAACATGGGCCCACAGGCTCTGGGGGATATGACTCCAGCATCAACCAATATAACTACCATCTGGTTATGACTAACAGTTTGCCATGGAAAGATCCACCATTTTTCAGAGGTAAACCATCTATAAATGGGCCATTTATACCATGGCTATGTTAGTCATAACCAGAGGGTAATACCCATCATCATACTACTCGTTTGTCTGAAAATGGGGTACGTACACATAATCCCGTGGCGCATCATTTTCCCACATATTCCTCAAATGACCATCAATGGGGAGATACACCACTCTTGGAGACAGCCATATACTTATACTGCTTATACTGGGATACCCTCTTAAATGGCAATGGAAAATCCTATCTACAGATCGCCCCAAAAACCTGCATTGATAGCAGCGTGTTGGGGATCGGTGTCCTGCTGCTGTGTGGTACTCGGCAAAGCCTGAACCCCAGGCACCGGCTTTACCCAAGGCATACGCCCTATAGGGTACTTGACCAAGTTGCTGTGCGGTCAGCGGGCGTGCCAGTGGGAGTTCGGCCTTCTCCCTATAGCCGCACGTCATGTTCCTCGTCTTCCCTTCCAGTGATTATCTGCGAGCGTGGCTTGGCTTCATGACGCCTACAAGCAAGCCCATCACGTACCCTCTGGAGCTCATAGACTGGCCTTCTGTCTGTGTAGTCCAGTCAGGTTCTCTGTTCTGACCGCTGTCTGCTAATCGCATTGTGCACCTGTCTTCTCTGTCATCCTCAACACCTAACCTATACCCCGCCATCTTTCTTTTCTTCTTTGGTTCTTGTTTTTTTTTTCCTCAACATGGGCCCAAGTAGCTGCGGTAAGGCTGCAAGACCATCAGCAAGAGCATCTTCGTTACCCAGCCATGTTGTCCGCGAGCTCTGGGAAGTGGTGTGTGGTGCAACGGAGGGCATAGGTCAGCGACTGTGATGCGGCACTGGAGATCCCATGCCATTGAGCTGCCACTCCGGGGTAGGGGGGGCGCAAAATCGGGTAAAACCGCCATTCCTCGTCTTCGTGAGAACATACAATGTTTACTTCAGGCATCAGAGAAGGGTTGTTTTTGATGGATTCCGCAAAGTTCTCTGGCAGACTTGAAGGCCTGAGGTCCTTGAGAGGACGTGCATTCTCAACCGAGTAGTCGAATGAACGTTCACGGAGCCAACTGATTTGGGGTGTGAGTTTAAACCCAGTAACCTTCTGTTCAATAGCTTTTATGTCCGGATGTTCATCCCTCATCATTCCTCCCCATCACTGCCGGGAAACAGTTTGGTGCAATCCGTGGAATAATGATTTTGGAGGTCACCGACAGTATACGGAGAATCATCCAAGCGCAAGAACAGACCTGAGCCGGGACGGCCCGGAAGTTTCTCTTGGGATCCCTCTGAGACTCTGGTGGTGTTTAATGATTTCAATGATTTCAATGGAAATCTATGGACATCTCTGATTGCAACAGCCCCATTGCAACAGTCCCATGTCGGTCCCATGTCGGTCCCATGTCGGTCCCATGTTGACCAGAGATTGCGATGGAACATGATGGTGAGTTCACCCCGACAGATCTCATTTCTGGATGATTTTGCGAAGAAAAATCTGGGTCTGAAACCGCGACTGGAGAGTTTGGTCAGTTTGACTCATGCCAACCAGCTGGTCATACAAATAGAGGACTGCAATATCATCATTTTTCCACGGAAAATTGCTCACAGGACTGTAATATTCTGTAATCTGTGTTATTTTTTGTTGGGGTCATGAAGTCATGGAAGATCCCCAGTCGTCACCATAGGTTGACCCAGTCACTAAGTCATGGTCATCTATGACTTAGATGATGTGGAAATGTGGAAGCCTCCAAATCTGCACTATCAATTACATTTGATGACTATCCTGCGCAATTTCCTGGATCAGATCCCAGAATTCGGCATGAAGCAGATCCAACCACAATGTCCTGTTTGACTAAACCATTTAAATATATTTAAATCATTTAACACCTACTATATAGGATGTGGGTCATAACTTTTCCACCCAACTTGTGCTCCTTAGATCTTTAGGTCAAGACATCATATGATCATATATGACATTCACCCCAAAAGGTCTCCTCATGGCACGCCTGAGAGGAAGCCATCCGGAACATCATGGAACATCCGGAATCTGAGGCACTCTTGCGATACACCAAGTGTTGCAGAAGAACTTGCGCCTGCAAATCCGCCCTCACGAAGACCGTCCAGCTGTACTCTGCAAAGATCCATTGGGCCATCCTCAGGGGGCATCCCCTGAACCCCTGAACCCGGCCACGCCCAATCACATCTGCCGCCCACGAGGTAGGTCAGTGTTTTACCAACACACCCCGTGGTTTCAGACCGTGGTTTCAGACCACTGTCGTGGCGAAACAACAAGAACGCCATGGATGTCGAAGAGTTCCCCGAGTTTGCACAACCATGTACGGCAACCACAAAGATCCAAAAACATAATTATAGAATTGTAGAACTATTTGTAGGATACGATATGACTATTCATGACACGTCTATCTCTTTGCGGGTCACCATGCATTAAGATCGACACTACTATAATGTTAACCTGACTCCAATCTAATTTACTAGTTAACTGTTAAGATCCATTCACCATCACCAATCATTAACCATAATCCACCATCATTGACTATCACTAACCATCATTAACCATTACTAACCATGATTCACCATGAACGCTTTCCGAATGTTACCCCGGTCCCCGGTCATCCCAGCCCAGCTCGGCCCCAGGATGTCATCCCATCTTAGGATGGCCCAGGCACACGGTGAAAGCCAGGCCTAAGGCATTCCTCAGAAATTGGAACAGAACTGATGAGGAAAATGATGAAAATGATGTTGGTGATGATCATATTATCTTTGAATGATGGGTAATATTAACCTTTATTTCTGAGGAAAATTCTGTTGATGAACATATTATCTTGTCATCACGAAATTGGAACAGAATCATATTGAGGAATCTTATGTTCCAGTTGATGATCACTGTGAATCCAATATGGATTCATGTTGAGGGATATTACTTCATCATTGGGATGTAAATTGATGATCATATATTTTTTTTCATTCATGGCTTAGTAAGTTAAGCAACATAATTTGGGGTATAGTTCTTGTTTGTCAGTTGATAATCATTGACGCAACCAAGATTAACCAATAAACATATATGTGGGTTTCATATCGTTTTCTGAAGGTGGAACCAACAAACATCTATGGCAAACAAACGACCAACGCAAGCTGTTGAAGAGAGGCGATACAGAATTCAATAAGGGTGATCTATTCATGATCACTAAGACAAACTGTCTTGGTTGTCTCTCTATGTTTCTTGCCATTGACTTCTGGATCAATTTGGATCAATTCCAGTGACATGATGGGGATTCTCAAGTCATTAAACCCTAGAAGCGGATATAGATATGTCAGACCTTCTGAAATTGTGGTGATGGGTCAAATTTAAACTTCCTGTAGATTTGCTTAAAGGGTCACCCCCACCAAAAGAAAAAAACACAATATTTACAGTATACATATATATATATATTATAGAGATTCCCCAAATTGTTGATTTTCCCTTGGGAAACTAAAAGCAAACATAAATAACCTTAAACAAACCCAAGTCAATGTACTGGTCTGTAGTGAACATGATCACTAAACTATCACCTTCCACCTGCAAAACCCAAATGTTTTTTTTTCTGGAAATGGGGTGTTCCCTGCAAAAATGATCCAACATTATCATTTTCATAGGACAAATCATCATAATTCGCATCATATTCCCATATTCCCTTAATATTCACCACTCCTATCCAAAAATAAGTAAATTAACATAGACCCTGGTAGATAGGGGTTGGAAGATTAGTTTCCTCTAAAAATTGGTGATTTTCAGGGTCTATGTTAATTTACCAGAGGGTAAACCACTGGATTTTCCATGACTTTCCCATAGATTTTTTTCCTCCAAATTCTCCGATCCAAACGTTCACATCATTCCGCATCATTCCGCCGAGCTGCATGAGGATGGCCGTGAGATTTTCCTTCCGCTCGTCTTCGGGCAGACTAAGCTTCTGTAGAAGATTGTGGAGGATGATGGGCTGCAACCAGGTACCTCAAATGACTCTTAAATGGGATGGGCAAAACTGCCTGGTATTGTATCCCATGAAACATAGTATATCATATAGTATTCTATTATATATAGTATTATATGGATATATATATATTATATATATGTATATGTATATGGTTTCAATACTGTGATCTGATGACTTGGATGATTTGGGGCCCATTGACATCAGTTCTGTGGCCACACAGTGCGATCCAAGTGTCACACAGACATCAACGCCTGCAGAGGCGTTGAAAACCAGAAAAACACAAAAACCGCAATTCACATCAAACTTCTTTTTAGGAGATCTACTCGTTGCTATCTATAGTCTATAGCTATATTTAAAGCTATCTACAGCTATCTATTAGCTATCTTCTATAATCAGCTATCTTGTTGGGCATCACTGCTTCTTGATCTACCGGTCATTACCGGTCGTCGCCTTGCAGATGAAGGCTTGAATAAAATTGGCTCTTGTGACCTGAGACACGGAGGACAGCAGCAAAGTAAAGCTGCTTGGGGGTTGAGCCATATTAGCCCAAAAAATTGTGAATCTGGAAAACAGGGATAAAAAACCAATGACATATTAAGGTTCATGCAAACATCAACATATTCAAATCATCCAACAATATGATTCACGTGTCAGGCAAAAAGTACAAAACCAAGATATCTCTTTTGTCCGGCCAACTCATCACTGTGATTGGCTGTAGGGTACCCCTTTGTATCATCTATAGATCCCGGTTCCAACTTGGAGCTTCCGTCCTCACCAAGGCGCCCGAAAGATCTTGCGCCGGAGCCAAGGCCGATCTTGCGCCGAGTGGACGCCAGACATCACCAGATTTTGAATGTCCTGCGGGACAGCGGTTGATCCAATGGTTGGAACAGACGTGGATTGGAAGATTAAGGAAGATCCATTTTATGGCATATCCAAAAATGGAAACTCCTCTGAAATTCTTAACATGATGGGAATTGAGATTATTTGTTAATTCATCTCATATCCTTGTTTGCAGGTGATATCATTGTGGATCGTTGTATTTATATGCCCGCCTTTTGTTATCATCCAAGTAAGACTTTGTTCCATGTTTGCCAAGTGATAACAATAGTTATCATATATTCATATACCCTCTGGTAAATTAACATAGACCCTGAAAATAGCCTAGTTTTAATGGCAACAAATCTTCCAACCCATATCTGGCAGGGTCTATGTTAATTTACCAGAGGGTAATATATATATATATATTATATGGTATCATAGCTACTTATTGCTACTATCAATGATAGGTCCGAATGTTTGATAGCTTGACCCGAGTCCTGCACCACCTTCGTGGGACCTCAGTTAGCCATCGAAATTTTCTGCCATCGAAATTGCCATCCAAACAGGTAACGAACATGGGATTTGCAGAATTTACAGAATGAAGATTTGGTCAAACCCATTTTCTTTTGTATCAGAAGATTTGGTCAAACCCATATTTTCTGCTATGTATCAGAATATATCAGAATGAAGCACATGTGGCATCAAGAAATGATGAACCTGAGTAAACTGGTGGCAATGAGATAGAAGTCATGTTGCTACTATGGTAAAATACTGCAAACAGATGCAAACACTTTGAAATCTTTTGGGGTGAAACCAACAAGTTGAGTTCGTCAATTGATGCTAACGTGACGTTCGCTGAATGATGGATTGAGGAGCTGTTGCATGCCGCACTGATACTCGATGATCCCTGGAATCATGTGGTAAACCTGGTAAACCGATGCCATAAACATCCATAAACCATCCCCAAGTCATCACCATTCTTTTTAAGGGTGCTATGTTTACCAGGTTACCATCCCCACATGGGGACTTTGTTGCTGGGAAATCACCTTGACCATCCTTGACCATCATGGGGTACAGCCCTTTTTTTTCTGGGGCAATCGGTATCCCCGAAAAAAATGGTGCTGAAATGAAAAGATTGGTTCTACCATGTTCTACCGCTGGAGATTGAAATCTCCACCCATGTGGCAGAATTTTGTCAGCATTTCAAGTAGCAACCGCATTTGGTGCACATATTTAGGAACCAGCCAGATTATGGAAGTAGAGTTTCCACTGATATACATATTGCATCATATCAAAATCACCGATAAAGATTGTCACAAACCCAAATATTTCCTGTACCCTGCCAATCAAACATGGCTGGCTGGAAAATCTTTCATTGAGCTCAATGATTTTCCGATTGAAATGTCCATTTTGAACTGATTTCCCAGCCAATCGATTGATGACACCAGCCAAATATCCCACTGTATTGTTGGTGATATATTCCTATTCCACTTTTTCTCCCCATGAAATCCCGGGGGACCAGCCGCAGCAGCAGCAAAAGCCTCTGCAGTAGCAGGAGGTAGCCAAAATTCATAGCAGCAGCAAGAGGAAAAAGGAGCCAAAAGCATCATTTTCTATGGGTTTCAGAAGTTACGTTAGGCATTTTCGGGGTGCAATTTTGGGACTTCTCCGTCCTTCAGAGGCACCAACACCAACACCAACACCACCACCACCACCACCACCACCACCACCAGCAACAACAACAACAACAGCAAGTGCCCTTTAGAGTTGAAACCACACCCTCCTATACAAGAACTTGAACTGTGCACCAATACTGTTCATAGGGAATGCTACGAAACACACCTCAACCTGTGAAGTTATCTAAGCAACACACTCTGAGTTCATCTCGGACAAGAAAATGAGGCCGACTACATTCAAGTTGTGGCACATAGGTGTACACACCGGGGTCGGCGGCAGGGGCGGCAGCCCTTAAATATTCCTATTCCACTTTTTCTCCCCATGAAATCCCTATCAAATCCCATGAAATCCTCATGAAATCCTCATAAATTCCCATTTTCCATCCATTTTACCTCCATTTTTCCAGCCATTTCCTCTTGAAAAAACCCTGGCGAGCCACAGTCCCTCTGTGGCACCGGTGGCAGGTCGCTGAGATCGGTGCGCCCGCGGCGAAAGCCGCGCCAAAAGGTTGGGAAGGCCCAGCAGTAGAGGACCCTGGCGGCCAGGGCTGGGGGATTTTTTACTGATTTCTTGGGATTTCATGGGATTTCACTGATTGACCATGGGATATTTGGATGATATCATACTATAGTTGGGATAATTTTGATGAACAAAAAATATTGGGATCATTGAAAAAACATTGGGATTTCACAACGATTTCACTTACCACATTTTTCAATGGAGATCTCACCGAAGCACATGGACTGGTCATCTTGGATATCATCTTTGACGCCGAGATTTTGTGGCCAGACTTGGCCGGCAAATGGCTGGGATCCGAAGGAATCCGAAGGCTCGTGTCATGACTTCCAAGTCCTTCAAGGTGAGATGGGTGATACCATGTGATACCCCAAGTTTTTGCACAGTTAAAAATGTTAAAAAGCTGATTTTATCATGAGATGAACCTGTGGGTACCCTTTTTTTCTTTACACCGCTGTGGGATTTCCGACCCTGAGACCCTTTTTGCCTGCTCAAGCAACAGGAGGCATCCTCAGGTGATACCTCCTAACGTTGTCAAGATCATTGGGATCTGCAAATATCTGTCAAACTTGGGTGATTCACCATGCTATGTATGAAAACTATCAAAATATCTTGGTCAATTGGGTTGCTAGCTGTCAAACAGCTTTCTAGAAATTGGGATTCTTCACGGATAACCAGCAACATGACAATAACGGATCTAGTCCAAACTTCCATCCATGACAATGTTTATCCGCAATGGATGGCTTCTTGGCAAACAGCCAATTCGGCAATTCCTCGCTATATAATTACATTTGTTTGTGTGTTCCAACTCCCAATAATGTCAGCAAATACCCTCTGGTAAACTAACATAACTATGGAAAATCACCATTTTCAATGGGTAAATCCACTATCAATGGGCCATTTTCCATAGCTATGTGAGTCATTACCAGAGGGTACATGGTTGGCAACCGCCATTGACCAATATGGGTATGGGTCAAGCAATTGGTACCTGAAAAGTTCCAGCAATATTTTGCTGGTGTTTTTTTGCTGAATAGCTAGTGGTAATTCATGGATTTCATCCTTAGCCATAGAAAATATCATAAAACAGAAAAAACATAACTGAGCCAGACTAAGCCTAAGTATCCTAAGTTCTATTGAACTTTGCACCGCAACCTGTCCTCTGAACGCAAGAGTTCCTGCTCGATTTCTCTCACCGAAGGCCCAGCGCATTCCATGCCACAGCCGTCAGGGCACCCCGGGCTGAGTCCCCAACCGCTGCTGGGAGGTTTCGGGGTTACCCCGCAAAAAAATATCCAAAAATGTTCCGAATGTGGAAGAAAAAAAGGTATATACATGGTTTTTATATATAATTAGAATTAATTAGAGTACCAGCAGTTACTAGCACCATTGAACACATGGCAGCGAATTGACCCATATTTGACCAATCAATGTGGGTGGAAGTGAACGCTAACCGATGGAGCTCTGGAGCCGTGGGGGTGAATCGTTTCAGCCATGGCATCATGGCCTCATGGCCACTGCTTGGTGGTTGAGCCCTACCCCTCTGAAAAATATGAGGCCATGGGAAGGATGACATTCCCAATATATGGAAAATAAAATAAAAGCCATGTTCCAAACGTTCCAAAGCACCAACCAGTAATAATATATAATGACTATAGAAGTGATATGACTAGAATTTCTATGGGAATATATATAGGATTTGACTATAGTGGGTTGATGACAATAGATATGGGATTTGACGTCAACCCTGGGATAATATGACTGGGAATATTAATTGGATATTATGGAAAATAAAGCATGTTTGAATAGTATATTCCCATAATATCCCATATATTCCCATATATTCCTATATATTCCCGTATATTCCCATATATTAATTATCCATAATAGCACCATATATATACATATATACATATATATATATATATATCCCCATATATCTGGCACCAGAAAAGGTTCCCAGGTTTCACAGGTGAAATCACCGGTCCCAAAGCTGCCGGCGAGAGAAGGGATCCACCCCACTGGAGGGTTCCTCAGATTTTTTTCGGGGCAACATGGATGAAGCGCGGATTTCTTCAGGAACATCTCGAAACAAAAAAAAAGTTTAGACAACTAGAGATGGTTTCTATCATAGCCAACTATAAATATGGAAATCTGATATATAGTAGAAATATGGGATTTTCAAGAAAAACAAAAATGAGATTTACTCGATTTACTCGTTGAGCCACCCACGAACATGTCAGTTTTTTGTTCATCATCTCAGCGAGGCAAAAAAAACTGGCGGCTCGACGAGCAGGGAGGACGGAGGATGTCCAATCTCTCGATTTCCGTTGCTTTACGATCTTTACCCGGCCTGGCAAACAGTCCCAAAAAACGATGGAAAGATCCACCATTTGAAAAATGGGTAAATCCACATAAATCCACGTTTTCAATGGGCCATTTTCCAGTTCGCTATGTGAGTTATTACCAGAGGGTACATGAAATAGAAAAGGGAACACATTCGAAGATCAGTTGGAGAGTCTCCATCATCTCCACCGAAGAGTTCGACTGGCACCTAGAGAGATCATGCTAACATTTCTAACAGAGAGAGACCTTGCACTCATTTTTACCAACTGGGGCACTTTCTGTGCATATCATGCCTGCATACACGAAATCTGATTCCGACCCCGGTTGATTGAACATAGGCGTGTTCCACAAACATGTGGAACTCCAAACATCGCCGGTGCCATTTCCCAACACCAATCGGCTCCTATCCAGAATCGTGTCAAGCCACGTCCAAAAACACCTTAAGCTTGGCCGAGGCCGGTGGTCTTCGACTGGGGGACTAATTTGTGTAGGTCACCATTGACGAGAATCAGCCGTTGAATTTGAATGTCATTGTCGCTTCATTAAATCATTTATAAATCTCTGCACGGTTGACTAGCCATTGATGTTGGTTAGAACCACCATTTTTGAAATCCCCAAATCCACCATTTTTCCCAGTCAAATCCACCATTTTGCTTCGTTAGTTGACCCCCATTCTTTTCTAAGACCCAACTCCACCAAGGCAGCACATTCAGCCCATCACCCATCTCCATCTGCAGTGAGGCACCACTTGAGATCCACCAATCAACGCAATGGCGGCGCTCAAACGACGTTTCTGACCACCACTCAGAGTGCCAGCCAGTGCATGCCTCGCTGCAGCTTTTATCGCAGCCATGAAAAGTGGGATCTAAAAGAACTGTGAAATCATGAGGGGTGGGGAACTGGTTGGTGGCTTCAACCTAGCCCACTTAGGAATATGAGTCATTTGGGATGATGAAATTCCCAACTGAATGGAAAGTCATTTTATCGCCATGTTCCAAACCACCAACCAGAGAACTAAGAACAAGAACGAACTTTTCTTCAAGATTGGTCTTGGGAAATCACCGGAACCAGTTTTTTTTGGGGGGGAGTTCCCTGCAAATCTTCCCAACATCCAATTGATAAATGGAACATGGTCGAATGACAACGGGATTCCAGAGAGTTCACTGAATCAAGCATCGGAGGGATTCAAGTGGTGATTTACCCTCTGGTAATAGCTCACATAGCGAACTGGAAAATGGCCCATTGATAGTGGATTTACCCATTGAAAATGGTGATTTTCCATAGTTATGTTAGTTTACCAGAGGGTTCAAAGCTGAATTCAACTAATTAAAAGTGAGATTCAATATGATTAAAACATCAAACATCAAAACAGGTGTGGATTTCAGCAATAAACATGCTGATTTGTACCCAACCAGAAAGTGTTTTTTTCTAACAGCAGTCAGGATTGAACCTACCATGACTGGGGATGGTTGATACGTAATACAACCTATAAAAATGCTGAATTTGAAATGGGGTTCATGGCATTGGGTTTACCACATTAAACAGTTCTTCACGGCATGGAACTTAGCTTCGGGACCTTGTGCCCGTGAACTGGGGTCATCCTGCGACCAGCCGCATATTTTTTTGCAAGTTGATCAATGCTTACAGCTGAAGGCAGTTTGCTGCAAGGGTCCAAACCCTTTGAAGCAAAATCCACAAATCCACGCTCCAGAAACCACAATCAACCAACTCCGCCCAAACCTACCTTCCAAATCCCACCGATATATCTTAATATGTGAGTCATATACGAGGACTTTGTAAGGAGTTCTTACCAATACATCATAAGTGAGGGCTCACTAGAACTTTTTAGACCCTTATTCTTGGGGGGCTATGTTTGGGCAGGGGTGTTTCACTCTGCTTGAACATAAGAAGGTTGTTGCAACGGCATGCAATGGCTTTCACAAAACAACACCTGGGAGTTAAATGGACATGGACAGAATATAAATGATATAATATACTTATACTTTGAAAAATTAGACCTTGCAAATTTGACAAGCCAAAAGTTCAAAAATCGTGATAGTCAGTGAAAGCATGTTTTCTGGCTGGGAATTGTGGATGGCTGAATCTGTCCAAGTGAACAAACACTGGCAAACCGCGGCAAACCAGTGAAGATTCTTCTGGCTGAACGGTGGTGCAACATGCGGTGCAAGACGCACCTGGTCATCTGATGTCAGATAACCCCGTCAATCAGAATGAACAGAAAACACCAGAAAACATCAGAATTACGTGCGAAACTGCTCAATTGAGACAGTTATTCTCGAAGTTGCCATGCTGAAAGTTTGCCGAGTGAAACATTGCGCAAGCAGCAAGCACGAAGACAGTATGGAAAACCAACAAAAACATGGCAAATAGTGGCAAATCGTGGCAAATCCCATGTCATTGTCGTTGAAATTCATGGGGATAACCAGGTCCCTATGAACAGAAACTGTTTCACGATTGACCAACTGCCGGTGTGAACTTGGCAAGTTTCCCTGGACATCCGGATACATCCGGATTCTCGTAGAGTCGAATGTCAACATCGACCCTTCTCGTGACTGACAGTTAAAATTGTCAGTGCTTCGAAGCTGCGACCGAGCGCTGGGAGGAAAATTTGAAGCAAAATCCACAAATCCACAAATCCACGCTCCAGAAACCACAATCAACCAACTCCGCCCAAACCTACCTTCCAAATCCCACCGATATATCTTAATATGTGAGTCATATACGAGGACTTTGTAAGGAGTTCTTACCAATACATCATAAGTGAGGGCTCACTAGAACTTTTTAGACCCTTATTCTTGGGGGGCTATGTTTGGGCAGGGGTGTTTCACTCTGCTTGGACATAAGAAGGTTGTTGCAACGACATGCAATGGCTTTCACAAAACAACACCTGGGAGTTAAATGGACGTGGACAGAATATAAATGATATAATATACTTATACTTTGAAAAATTAGACCTTGCAAATTTGACAAGCCAAAAGTTCAAAAATCGTGATAGTCAGTGAAAGCATGTTTTCTGGCTGGGAATTGTGGATGGCTGAGTCAGTCTGACTGGAAAAACTCTGGCGCACCAGTGAAGATTCTTCTGGCTGCACGGTGGTGCAACATTCGGTGCAAGCCGCACCTGGTCATCTGATGTCAAACCACCCGGTCAAGCAGAAAACATCAGAAAACAAAACATATGTGTGAAACTGATCAATTGAGACAGTTATTACCCAAGTCTTCTAGAGGTAGGTCACCAATTCTGGATAGATATAGTAATATACGTTACAGTCAGATTTTATCTGCAACCAACAGCCAGTTTTCAAGATGAATTACGATTGTTCCACGCAAAAAAACCTGAGAACATGGGAGGAAATTGACGACTTCACCAAGACGTGAGCAGCGGCTGGCCAGCAGAAGGGAAATGCCATTTTCACAATCGCCAGGTGAAACAAATGATAGAAGAAGATGAATAAGAAGCAAGAACATCTCATGAAATCTCAAACACTAGCATTCAATATGCATTCAATACATTCCACCATGATCAAACAATGCTTGGCCGGAATAATTCTCATGGAATCACCAAGAAAAAATCTGCGGATGGACCAACTGCTCGTCATGGCTATGGCGTCATCAGAGTCATCAGCATCTTTCCGCGCATCTGCAATGTACCTCAACATGAGAGATCATGAAAGATCATGAGTATGAACATGTATGAACTAATGGAGAAATCATGGAAATATCATGGAACAACACACAAACAAGATATTTTTGACACACGAACACGATGTGTTCATTTAATCTCACTTTCTGATATTTGGATATATTTGGTACAAGCCATGTTTGGGGGGGTCAATGATTTCGAACCAATCTCAATAATTACCGCCTAAGAAGAACAGTTTGAAAGAAAGATATGGTGGTCCTAAGTGGTCCCGGTGCTTTTCATGAAAAAAGGAAACACGTTTTGATCAAATTGCCGGCAAAAAAAACTGTTGCTCTGTCAAATTGTATCTGTGAATATATCCCGCAAAGTCGCAAAGGGTACATTTTCATCAAGTTTGAGGATCGAATTTTGATGAAACCACTTACGCCCGGGGTCAAGCCAACTGAAGGTTTGAGCCGGCGCTGACCTTTTCACCTTTTCCCTGCCTCCTGAACCGCTGCCGTTGTCCTCGAAGCTGGTTCATGGCGGCGTCGAACTCTTGCCGAAACGTTTCGTGGAGGAGACGATTGGGAGCGGTCGCTGGATCATCCGGACCATAGAGTGTCCAGGAGTGGAAGGAAATCCAACTTTCGCCCTCATGCCCGACACAATCTGAAGATGGGAAATGAATGGACATGATGAAAACATGATGGAAAAATCAGAGTTTTTTTTAGAGTAAAGGGGGTTCTCAATTTACTGAAATTCACAACTGGAGATGTTCCGTTTCAATCCAACCTGGGTGCTTGGAACCTGTGCAAAAGGAACCTTATGGTTCACGGACACTTCAAATTCTCAAATACAAGTTATCTCTTCGCGATTTCACGGATAAGTAGGGTCTTTGATGCTTGGCGAAATAAAAGCCAGCAATCAGTCAATAAGAATGCAAAACATCGTAAACCTATATACGAAACCAAGATACACCAAGGTTTACAGATTAAAACCCAGATCTATGGATAAACATGATGGTTACCGTTAACACTGCAAACAAGTCCTGACTGGAGAGCGGCGAGACCAACATGATACTGTTTGGAAAAGGAGAAAGAACCCCAACTTTCATGACGTTGGTTTGTGATTGGGGATTGTTGTTACCTACCTATACAGTTGTCCATGCTGCTGTAAATTGCTTGATTTCCTCCCAGTTGTGGTTTGTCTCATTGAATCGACATGATTCATGCGAAAGACAAGCTGATCATTGTAGCATATTGTAACCGTTTTTGCTAGATTCAAGCTTAGGAATTCACCAAATTAACATTACAGCCGAATGATTTCCAAACGTTGCTACAGTAACCTCTTGCAGAGCAAACCTATCAACTCCGGCGCCGAGCCACACTACCACTTGGGACACGAACCATCAATTCATCGAGCTCCACATCCTCCCCGTTCTCCGCATCCCTACTCTCAGGGAATGGATCGTGATCGTGGACACTTGGCTTCTGGCTGGAGACATTCACCAGTTTCACCTCAACCGCCGACATGGCGACCATTTTTTTTTTTGCCTACTGGGCCTACTTGTCAGGTGAGGGATTGTTTGATTTTAGGATATTTTAGGTCAGCTGTCCTAGCTGTCCTCCGCCTCCTTCTCCTCCTCCGCCAGACCTCAACTGCAAGCTTGTGATCGCAGTCGTCCCCACCGGACCCGAACAGCAAGCTCAGGATCAGAGTGGGCCCTGCCGGACCTTGACCAGAAAGAATCTCCGAAGATATACCAGATAGAATGACAGAAAGAATGTCAGAAGATATGGCAGATACATATGCCAGAAAGAATAATATCAGATAGAATGTCGGATTATGTCAGAGTATATGCCAGAAAGAATGTCAAATAGAATGTCAGAATATATATATATATATATAGTGTGCCAGGGTGGGGATCACTCGAAGAAAGTAATAATTTTAGGGATATCATGTGGTACCAACGGAATCTCACAAGTCCAATATTCACTATTTTGAACCATTAACCATATTGAAAACAGGTCCGAGAAAAGAAGTTCCTCTTCATAATGACCGGTCACTTTGGTTGTGGCTTTGGATGGGTACTCTGGAATCCTGCGCAGGAAAAACAACATGGGTCGCATCTCCCGAAGAACCAGTCCCAATCACCGATCTAACATAGACCCTGCCCACAAAAAGGCGCTGGAAAGACTACATTTCATCCACGCATATCTAAAAATGTGGCTTTTGAAATGCCAAATTGGGGGTTTCCATAAATGGGGATACCCCAATAGCTGGATGGTTTATAATGGAACACCTTTTTAAACTGGATGATACGGGGGTACCCCAATTGCAGGAAACCTCCAGTTAAAAACACATGCCCAAATTTGAGTTGAGGTGCTCCTCCCTCATGCAAGCCTGGCACCAGCAGTGTCGGGTCGGCATCTTTTAAGATGTCTGCAGGCTGTGTGCTGCTGGAGCACTGAAGTATAATGCCCCGCAAGTCCGCCATCGCTGCCAGGAAAAATTCGAAAAACGGCAGCTGGTGAATAAACACAACTGGCATAAGGGTTATATAAGGGTCCCAAAACTCCCGCCGCAAACGAAAGTGGTGATTTCCGCCCAGCATGTTTTTTTTCGGCAATTGGGACTATAGTTACAATCCCACGATCACCAAGAACAACATTCATGAAAGCTTGTGGGCGGATAGTAGCCCCATTATGCAACTGGACCCCAACTGTCTGATAGTACTGAAACTCAACAAACTCCAAAATGTCCCAAAGTGACATCTATTTCTATGTGCCATGTGGATTCCATCCAAATTTTCCATAGTAACAAACACCCAAACAGTTACTCCATTTTCCATCCATTTTCCATTTCTGCAAACTGAGATACTCCTTCTCCTGCAAACTCACGTCTGCAATCAGGGCATTCACCTGCCAGCCATGTGCAATCATGTGCAGGTGCGGCGATCTCATGACTGCATCCAGTTTGTCCCAAATTAGGGGATATATTCACAAAGCAACATATATATATATATTATAATATATATTATAGTATATTTTAATTATATTATATAATATATTATATTATATTATATTATATTATATATATAATATTATATATAGAGATTGGGTGTAAAAGCCATGGATCCTGATTTTTGTTTGGCCACATGGAAACACTATGAACAAAATCAGGAGAATCAGCTGCCCAAACATGGAAACAGTCTTCCCAGCGAAGGCCCAGCGAGTTGCCTCTGCTTCCAATGCTTCTCGATTCATCCCTTTCCTCGCGACCGATCGGATCTGTGATTTCCATGGTGGAGACCCCCAAGATGTGACCAGTTGTTTTTTCAGAAACACACCAGATCTTTGGTGGTTTTCACCCAATCACAGCATTAAACTGGGAGTTTGTTTTCACAGGAAAGGAAGTGAATGATCTGAAAAAATCTATGATCACCTAGCTTTGAATGGTTGGAATTTGACCCAGTTGCACAGATCGTTCCATCTGTTTAAGGAGGACTGGGGGCGTCGGTCGCTTCTACGCGTCACTGTGCCTGTCACTATTCCAACCAATCAACAGGTGTTTTTCCCCAGTCAACAGCCCCAACAACTCGTTGACTGGGACGATTTCTGGGCTGTTCACTGCCCATTTTTATCGGTTAGCGAATTACATCAAATCATCATCAAATCATATCCTGTTTTGCTGCTTAGATATCCAAACAAGATTTAAACAAATACCAAATCAGATCCTCATCTTCTCCGTTCCCAAGGCACAAGCGCCCAATATTCACATCACAAAGAAACAAGCGGCGCTTGCGCAAAGAACTCCAAGTGTTCTCGCACCGTGAGGCCAGACCAAATCACGTCATGTTGGGGACAAACACCCAGGAATTTCCTGGACGGAACCGCCCTGTTCCAGGTTACATAGGCGACATAGATTTGGGGGGTCAATTCGTGGGTATTTTGCCTCCAATCTAGCTGTGGTTTTGAATAGCATTGAAAGAGTATACGGTTTATAGTTAGTGCAACTCCATCCCTGAAAAACCTGATCGATCTCAGTGCTTCAACCAGAACCAGAACTCAGATATGAATCATTACCTCCACAAAACAAAGATACGTTGAGATACACCATGGATCCATTCAGTCTAATTCAGACTTCAGTTTCGGAGATGTCGACAATGCACTTCAGACCTGCATCGATCGATCTTGATTTGCTATTTGTGAAACAACAGCGACGTTGGCCTTGTCAAGATTTCAGTGTTTATCCACTGTTACAAGCAGAATGCTTTTAAAAAACAAAATATCACATCCGTACTAGGCAAAAATATGTGGCAACGGCTCTTCTTCTGTTCAATTCATCATCTTCCGAAATTCCTCAAAATAATGATTAGTAAAGTTCCCAATTACAGTATCAATATTGTGTTTATACTACTTGCAGTCACGTTGTTTATTGGCTAAAGCCCAAATCATGATCCCATTTTTTTTCCATATCATTTTCCCTGATCAGTTGCACTCATGTTTGTTCCATTGTGTATGGGTCAGTGAAACTCTCCCAACGCTCAGCGTCCGGATCTGCTGCATGTCCCTGCGGATGGACTTGCCATACACAATGGCATCACCTGTAGCAGGCGGAGCAGCCAAAATTTGACGTGGCAATTTTGATTCGGATTTAACTGATGGAACTATATGGAATATATGGAATATTGAAGTACAAAAAGAACGATTTACCATGTTTTAACATGTTTCAACTAAGAACAGGATTTTGCAGCACTGAAATTTGGACAATTGGGATTTCACCACTGAATTGATTTTAGCTGACATGTGGGCTTTTGGCCACAAAGATACTAATTAATCAAGATGAGTAAACCCAGTTGTGGGGTCTCTTCCGTCATGGCTACCACCCATGGGAATCGGTTTAACCCAGCCATGGGACATCCATCTTGCTGGTTGCTTGGTGAAATAGCCCACCCATGGCCCGATTGTTGATGGCTACACCCCAATCTGGATTGGGTGATAATCCCCAAGAAATTTGGTCGATTTAGGATGATTTATGATTTAGGCTAATATTTAGGTAGTTTATACGTATAAAATCCCTGTATCAACCAATCAACCAGATCAAACTGATCAAATTTGTTCATGAATCAGTTTTTCGGATAGATTCCGCCTGAAGAAACTGGCAGCATGCCGCTGAGCATGTTGATGGTGGTCGTCTTGCCTGGCAGCAAAAACCAGCAACGACCTTTGCTAAGAATGATATCATGGGTACATGGATGATGATTTTACGTGGTGATTATCCAACATGTTCCACAATTATCCATGATGATGATTTATGATTATTTGTTCGTATGGTTCAGAATTAATTATTCATGATTGTCCATGATTTATCAACAAAACGTATTTATTCACAACTACCCAACATTTCTTCGGGGTGGCATCAGCCTGGCATCCTGATGGGATGGACTGAACCGGGACCCATCGGTCCACCTGCTCCGTTGTGGCCCAAAAGGCAGAAGATCTGACCGCTGTAGAGATTCAGCGTGACCTCTTGTACCTGGGTTACCCATGGTTACCCTGGGTGGGTTGCTGGGTTACCCTGGGTTACCCTGGCAGTTGCTGGGTTATGTCGATGGAAGGGATCTTTTGATGGTTTTTTTCGGTGATTTACAAGAAGAATATACAAGAATAACTAATATAGAATCACCATTCAATGGATTGATTTTCTTGGGAACTTTCTCGGTTAAAACATGTTAAAACTGCCACCACATAGATTGCTTTATTCATCATCATCTCGACCGTTAGCATTCCCAATCAAAACCATATGCATAAAACACCAACAGTGGTAGATCTAGACAGATCTAGTCTATATAACCGGGAAAAAAAAAAACATATCAAAGCAAACTCTCAGTAATTTTATCATATATATATAACATAATAAATATACAGTAACACTATATATTTCACATCCCCATCTCTACTCCACCGTGGCCATACCCAAGGCGCTGCTTTCAAGATCTTGCCATCCGCCGTGTTGAAATCCTTGCAGAGCTCCCGCACCAGGACGCTGCGCGTGGAAGCCATGGACTCGGGCACCGCCTCGTACCTGGCCACGGAGGCCACGACTCGGCACCGGAGAATGCCGAGTCGAAAATGAGGAAAAGATGAGGAAAAGATGGGGAAAATCACATTATCATGTATATATATATATATCACTATGACTATATATCACCTTATGGAAGAACTATACTGGCAAAATGTGGTTTGAACAGAAAGTGCTATCGCACCGAAATGGCAATTGTAAGGGGAAAAATGAAGCTACATAGTATCCAATGAGGAATGATGGACTCGCAGCGAAAGACCTAGCTGAAAAACAGCAGGAAGAGACTGCACGTGCCGCTACAAGAAGTGCCAACAAATAGCAAGTCAGAACCATCACCCTCATGAAGATTCAGTTCCTTATTGTTCCCAATTCAACAGCAAGTAAGAACGATACAATGATGCTCAGAAAGGACACAATCTGCACAGCCATCCAGAAAGGTGCCTGGGGTTTCCGGGCTGCTGATCGTCGAAAGTGTCCTCGAGGACATGCAAATCATCCTTGCGAACGATCTGTGTCCAATTTGTCCAAACAGGAATACCAAGCCAGAAAAATGATGGATCAATATGGATTAATGATAATTGATGGAATAATATGCATATATATATATTATATATGTTATAATAATATAATAATGTATATATATAACATGTCATGTGTACAATATGGATATATATATAGTTTACCAACCTGAAATGTTGGATGATCGTAATGGCAATGATGATGATGATGAATGGAAAAGGATGATCAATGAATGGAGCATAGTACCTGTGTTTTGCTTTTTTCATTTTTCAAACTAATCAACAAGAGAGTAACTAGAAAAAATGAAAGAACTATGATGATAAACTGATAAGCCATGATATTGCTTTTTGGTACTCCAGTATTGGGACTGAACCAATGCAAGCTTGGACCGCCATTTCGACCAAGACAGCCTTTATCAAATGACCACCAGAGGAGTGTTTTCCATAGCACCACTCCCATAGGGTTCTATGATACTGGATACCCTCTGGTAACTTAACATAGCTATTGAAAATGACCATTTATAGTGGATTTTCCTATTCAAAATGGTGATTTTCCATAGTTATGTTAGTTTACCAGAGGGTAAGAGATGATAAGATAAGAAATCATGATATCCCCATGATATCCCTAATAGTTCATGGTTGAAAATGCGAATCCAAAATGGGCCATCAAAAAAAGGTCCCCAAAAAAAAGGCCATGTGCCATGGCTGCGGCTGCCAGGTGCCTGGGACATGCTGCTGTGGTTTGGGTTCCAGTAGTGCTTGGAGCACGGGAAGTACCACGGCTGGCGGGTTCCAAAGCCGACCACCAACACCTGCGGTGGAAAGGAAATTTTTGCTCGGCCCTGGGGTGATTGCACCTACATATATGGGGGACCGTTCAATACAAGTGATCAAGAGTTAGTTTGACACAAGAGCAAAGACACATGCAAGTGGAAGTGATTGAAGTGACACATCTTGAACAATTAATTCTTCTGATTGGGATTTTACCATTAGACTCGTGTCTTTTTGATGATTCCGGAACAATTCCGACTTTTCTGATACAGTACCTGGTAAGCCCTCAGGCCGCCGTAAATTTTCAGGCCACAAGATCAAAGTATGCAACTCATATGCAGATCTTTAGACACTTTAGACAGAGAATATCCATAAATATCCTGCAACATGGGGGGTTCCTAATACTAAAATGGTGGTATCTCTAGTTATCCTCCATTTATAGGTGGGATTTTCTATGAAATAAACCCTCCAGCTATTGAGGTATCCCCATGACTATGGAAACCTCCAATTTGGCATTTCTTTCTGTGTCCATCTAGCAGTTGGCCTTGTCCAAGTACCAAGCCAGGAGAGCAAAGATCACCTGGTGATCTGAAGCAAATTTTCCGCCCGGTGTTCTTTGCAAATTCGACATCCGCAAAGAAACACAACTAGGATCTGTTATATTTGGTAGATTGTTAATATAACATCCTTAATATCATATAATATTGTATATAATTATCAAGGATCTGTTTCATGCTTTACTACACTATGAAAAATGAGAAAAATGGGATAAGAAAACGGACCAAGACTTGCACAATGGACATCTGAAGCCAACCAGAAATGAATATCAACTGTCACTATGCTTTGATGCATGCATGGCTCAAAAATTGTCTGTTTCACTTGGGGACCACCATAGACATACACTGACCATTCAGATCTGGTCTTTTGGAATTGCAACATTTGCTATTTTAAGCACATCAAACTGAAGGAGGTGAAATGCACTTTATGAACAAATAGAAACACACTGGCTCTAAAAATGTGGAATCCCAACATCCACTCATCATGGCCATCCAATTTTCCAGGGCCATCTTTTGGTCCCCTTTGTATGAGCAGTCACAGTATCCAGCAGCAGCATGAGCAACACTTGTCCCATGGACGAATTGTCGATGGACTCGTTGATGTTGGACCATCTGACTCCTGTGATGGAATGACCATGATGACCATCCCCTGCACCACCAATTGATGGATGGTTGAAACGTGTTGAAACCCTATAAATAATGGGATAAAACATGATAAAACATATAAAAGACCTATCAACTGGTGGATTTTGCTGGCCCATCCACAGTATGACCGTGGAGATCAGCCGTCAGCCTTTGATTCACCGGAGCCAGCCACAGTTGGGCATCTTGGGCAGTCAAAATCACATCCCCTCTGGTAATTTCACACAGCGAACTGGAGATGGGAAAATCACCATGCTTCGGTAAATCATCGAATTAGATGCGCCATCAACAAAAAACTATATGATACACTATATATATAAAGTCTATAAGGAGTATTAAGTGATATTAAGTGATATTAAGTGTATATATTAGCTATAGTATAATACTATATAGTAACTATAATAATAAGCACTTAATTCTTATACCTTGAGGGATTTACTCACTTAAATTTCAAGGGTAACCACTCAGCCGTTCAGGTCCTACACCCGCACTTTCAAATTGCGCAATGAGCCCAGCACCTGCGAGCCGAAATCTGGGCACCGCATGTTCGGGAACACATATCTTGGTTTAATTGGGATATCAATTGGGATCCTAAACATCAAAAATCAACTTACTAAATATATATGATCTAAGTTTTTGCCTATCACTTATAGGTTAAACATCATATATCCAAGTTTCGGGATCATAAGAATCATATCAAACTCGGATTCCTCCTGGGTTAGGATTTTCCATCGGATTTTCCATGGTAAAATGCCACCGGAAGCGCCTATGGACAAGGCCACAGGCGGCGACAGCGACGACAAGGCTTTGGTGCTCGCGGAGGCGCCGCTGTCCGACACGAACCTCGTTGCAGGTTGGGTAAAATGCCATGAGATTCGAAGACAAACCAGAAAAATACACGGAAACCAATCACCAATCTCTATATATAACATAATTTTATATATTTATATACATTAGCTAAGTACAAATATATTATGTAGAATATTATAGAATGGTGGAAGTGGTAATCTTCAACAGGAGTACACCCCTGGTACAATCGGCAAATCAGAGACTGCAGTTCCCAGTTCCAGCTCACTTGACGAATCCAATCACAGATATTATATTATCACGTTAAAAAACACCGAAGAACATCGAAAAACTTCGGCCCACGGCACAGGAAGGGGAAGTAGAGAAGAAAGAAAAGTAACGCTCCCACCACACTGGCCGTCTTGGCTTTCGAGAAGAAGACAGCGATGAAGGAACACAAGGTCACCACCTGTCGCAGTTTCAGATTTCAAGATATTTCAACCAGCCCAATTCTCAATGGATTGGTTTAAGGGAAAATCTACAGGAAACCATGGTTTTTACCATCAAATATAGGGGTTTCCTGTAAATTTTCCCATCATCCAATTCTATGAAATTCAGTGAACCAAACAATCCCTCAATCCCTGGTGCTTCATAAGCCCTTCCAGTAATCCCTTCAAGCATCCCATGGGATATCCCCCCACAACCCATGGCGACGCAAACTCCGAAGAGCCAGAAGAAGATGAAGACCAGCAGCTTGTTGCTGTGCCTGGGGTTGCCAGAATCCTGAAACACAATTGGTGGGTAAAAAAAGTGAAAGAAACACCATGAGTTGGCCTATGGGGCCTATAATGACTATGATGTATATATATATAAAGTACTATAATATATATATATATAGTAATATATAATATATATAATATATATAATATATATAATATATATAATATATATAATATATAATATATATAATATATAATATAATATATATATAATTATATACAGTAATATACTTATAACTGGAACTGAAATGTCAAGTAGCAACTGAAAACTTCTTGGAAGAGCTGTTCCATCACTGATATGTCAGGATTTTCTCCTCCCAGTCCACCGCGGCCCATCCACGGCCCATCCATGGCCCCGGGCTGGAAGACGGAATCCCAGCAGACCACTGTCATCAGAGCTGCGGGGATGATCCAGAGCAGGCCGTAGGTCAGGTACCAACCCAGTAGGATGGCTTCCTACTGCCGCGATGCAGGGTGGTGCCCCCCTGACATAATCAGTTGGTGTATTACCACCATTATTTGATTGTCTGTCACAAACCCCAGTCATTGGAGCTACCAAACAACTTAGCTAACGAACTGGGGCACCACCCTGTGGTTTTTGCCACAATGGATGGGGTATAGTATGGTATACTATGGTACGGAGTATACTATGGTATACGGTATATGGTATAATTAAGGTGAATGGGCAATGGGAACATGGATGAATTTATGGGTTTATGATGGTTTCTGCCTATGGATTTGTTGCTGGGGTATTCCCCATTTATGGCCATGTTCGATGGGGAAAATGAGGTTTAAAACCACCGGTTTTTTCGGCTTCGAAGCAATGAGGTGAAATGGGCGGGGATAAAACATTCGAAATGGGATGATTTTGGGATGAGATCATCATTTTTTAATAGGTAAACACAGGTAAACCATCTATAAATGGGCCATCTATACCATGGCTATGTTAAATAAGCAGAGGGTAAGCCAAAAAGATCATCAGTTTGTTTTGTTGTTATCAGTGACTTGCTGTTCTATTCTGATTTTACCCTCCGGTTATGACTAACAGTTTGCCATGGTATAGATGGTCCATTTATAGATGGTTTACCTATTAAAATTGGTGGATCTTTCCATGGCAAACTGTTAGTCAGATGGTATATGATTTTTAGATGGTCATTCCTGGGGATTCCAAGTCATCATTAATGCTAACATAAAGGGGGTATATCGATGGGATCCATGGCACAGCATATATAGCAGCACCATGGATCCGTCATGGGTAAGGGAATGTCCAGAATTAGGACGGAATATCTCAAGGAGATTCCAGGACAGCTGGATCCGATACTGGGATAGCCTTGCCAAACAGGTTGCCGCCAGGCCTGAAAATGGTCAAATCCGCACATCTCTTGGGGAAAACATTTATCAAAACTGTGGACTCCAAAAACATCGCCTTATCGCCGTCTTTGATGGTCATTGAAGAACTGCACAGCCCATTAAACGCTCGGGTGAGGTAACGGGTAACCCCATGGAACGGGGATGTGTTGTGCAAGCGATCCATATGAAATGGATCATCGGAGAATCTCTGGATATCTAAGTTCCACTTCCCACATGTTCGCCAAACCACCAGAAGATCAGTGATTTTTTCTGGCACCATAGGTTCCACAGGGTTCCACATCCACCGAGCATCCGCTGGCATCCCCATCATCTTCATGACCTCGTTGATGCGCGCCTCCTTATCCTCCACTAAGCTCTTCATGATCCGCGTTAAAGGCCAGATGAAAACCAAGACCTCGGGTCAATCCAGGTGTGAAATTCTGGGTGATCACCACCTGGATTTCACCAGAATTTCACCAGATTTCCGCGTTCAACGTGGTTCATGTTCCAAGTGTGTCTGGCTGAAGCCAATGAAATACCTTCTGGCTTCTACTCTCATGTTTGTTGCTCATTCATCAGTTTATCAACTGCATTAATGATCATCAAGGTCATTTCCCCAATGAAACCAATAGCATCCAATAGCCTGTGGCTCCAAAACCTCCCATTTCTGTGTATCAAAGTTTGACCAATATTTGCTTAACATCTGCAAATGTTACTACAATGATATAGATCACAACATTAATTATGCAAACATTTGTGAAAGATCAATCCATCATATTGTCGTGTCATGATATGGCTTTCCTCCACAGATTTCAGATGATCATGATATACATATATATATATATATCCCACCAATTCCCAATCATATTTCTTGGGTTATCCCTTTATCTCCCATTTCTGGCTTCCGTCCCCAGTCCCCCGTCCCCGATCCAGGGACGAAGAAGAGACCGAAGACGCTCTCCACGAAGCTGGCGAAGGGGTCGTCCGTGTAGGCAGGAGTTGGGAAGGGGATCTCCCTCACGCTGACGGGTAAAATGCCACCTGGGGGCGGAAGAAGTGGAGGAGGATATTTGGCAAAGAATGGTGGATTTGTAGGAATTTAATACATGGTGGGGATGTGCTCTATATGGTATATAGTGGGTACTGAATCCAGAAATAGATTCTATACAACTTCGGGGTTGTGGTATGAAGGGTACGTGGCAAATGTCTTCTGCAGCGGAATGTTGGCTACATAGTGGTTTGCTGCTCATATCGTGAAGAATTCTCCCTTGGTTGTTGGAATCTGTTTGAATTACGATGTCATTATCAGTTCAATCATCTAAGTCAACTGTTGCACTGACGTCATGCTGCAATTCTTCAGTCAAAGAATAGAAACAAAACCCAGATGCTCATTCAAGATGGTAACCCTGGTATCATCATCCCCACACATTCCCTATATTCCTGGTTGGTGGTTTCAACCCCTCTGAAAAATATGAGTCAGTCAGTTGTTCACCTTATTCCCAACTGAATGGAAAGTCATAAAAGCCATGTTCCAAACCAGCAACCAGTAATTCATATAATGATAAACTCTTTTCTCTTCAGGGTTGGATCTTCATCATCATCCCAAAAAACATTCCCTGAATATTCCATAGTGTATTCCATAATTAGTATTCTAAAAGCCATGTTCCATATACCATATACCATATACCATAATACTTATGGAATATATACCATATATATATAATTATACCGACGGACTGGAAGTTAGAATGTCGTGTTTTCCACCAATTTTTTTCCTTTGAAAGTTAGAATGACGTACCCAAATGGACGTAGAAAATCTACTAAAATTTTACCTTTCAGTCCGTATTATGCTGGTAAATGTGGATAAAAATGTTCAAAAGTTGTTTGATCAAACTTGCCTACCTGTTGTGCCGGGGTCACCAAACCTTTATCGTTTTGTAGGGTTAGAATGCCTGCGCAGCATATGCCTCCAAAACCTCTGAATTTTATATAGATTTGAAATATATGTATATTATATATATAATCCCTTCCTCCTATTACTAAACGTCCCCCAAATACTAAAAACATCTAGCATCCATCTCCAATTTCAGAAAATTCAGATTGGCCAATTTGATTTTTAATTGGTCCCCTTTAGAAAACAATTTCAAAATAAAGCTACCATTTGTGGATTTTGCCCCCTAATACAAAAACTAGTTCACCCCGGGGTGTTTATTATTAGGGTCCGTCCGATTTTTTTTAGTTTTTATTATTAAGGGTTTTAATTTAATATTAGGGGGAACCTTCGAAATCCAATTTTTGGCATTGCGTTATATAAGGAAATTTAATTGATTTTGAAACCGGAAAAAATAGTTTTTATTATTCAGGGTTTTACTTGAATATTAGGGGGAAGCTTCGAAATCCAATTTTTGGCAATATTTTAATTGCGTTATATAAAGAAATTTGATTGATTTTGGAATCGGAAAAAATAGTTTTATTATTAAGGTTTTAATTTTATTAATAGGGTTCCCTAATAATAAATACCACCCTAATACTAAAAACTACCTGACGTGTTTATTATTAAGGGGCGGGGGTTTAGTATTAGGAGGAAGGGATTATCTATTTATTTGTTTATTTATTTATTTATATCCTACATCAACCAAATCCCTGAAAAAAGCGGGTCGAGGTATCAAAACCTGGTTTTGAGCTAGTTTCTGAGAAAAAAACAGGTTTTACCAGATTTTTGATGAAGCAGCTTCAGCTTCGCCACAACCCGTCGAAAAACCGCCGAAAACCTGTAAAAACTCATCAACACCAATTAAAAAAAAACAGTAGTCCAAAACCGACCAAAAGCTTGGTTTGCCGGGGCCACCAAACTTTTTTTTGTAGGGTTAGAATGCCTGCGCAGCATATGCCTCCAAAACTTCTGAATTCTATATAGATTTTTAAATAGATAAATGAAATCTAGATGTGAGTAAACGACGAGATCTTGGATCGGTGGATGACGCTATTGCATTTTTTGCTGCATATTCTGTCATGTTTTATTGTTTTTTTTGCTGATCATGAGCATGTTTTTGGCAAATCACCGTATATTCTGCATATTTATATTTATATACAATACGATGTTGTTTTTTTCTGCATATCATGACATTGTTTATTGTTCATGGAAAGATTTGTTTGCAATTTACATGCATATTCTGCATATTTGCAGTACATGGAAGACACGGGACGGTCGAAAATGCGTCAAACATTTTGGAGTTTTAGGGGTTTCAGGACTAAATAAGTAGGGTTAGAATGCCCATCGGGGATTTTCCCACGGTATTCCCCACGATAATGACATGTAGGTTAAACAGGATGGTAACCTCCAAAAACGGCAATATACACAGACGATATTGCATTTTTTTATATTCTGTCATTTTTTTTTGATCACGGTTTTTCTTTTGCTGATCATGAGCATGTTTTTTGGCAAATACCTGTATATTCTGCATATTTAACTTAACAATGCGATGTTGCATTTTTTCTGCATATCATGACATTGTTTATTGTTCATGGAAAGATTTGTTTGCAATTTACATGCATATTCTGCATGTTTGCAGTACATGGAAGACACGGGACGGTCGAAAATGCGTCAATCATTTTGGAGTTTTCGGGGTTTCAGGACTAAATAAATAGGGTTAGAATGCCCGTCGGGGATTTTCCCACGGTATTTCCCACGATAATGAAATGTTGATTTTACAGGATGGTAACCTCAGAAAACGGCATTATACATACATATATATATATGCGCAGTAAAAAATATATGTACATTTACGTACATATTAGATGTGAGTAAACGAAGTGTTCTTGGAACGGCGGATGACGATATCGCATTTTTCTGCATATTCTGTCATTGTTTTTGAGCATGTATTTTTTTGCTGATCATGAGCATGTTTTTTGCGAATACCTGTATATTCTGCATATTTAAACTTAACAATACGATGTTGCATTTTTTCCTCCATATCATGATATTGTTTATTGTTCATGGAAAGATTTGTTCGCAATTTACATGCATATGCTGCATGTTTGCAGTACATGGAAGACACGGGACGGTCGAAAATGCGTCAATAATTTTGGAGTTTTAGGGGTTTCAGGACTCAATAAGTAGGGTTAGAATGCCCATCGGGGATTTTCCCACGGTATTCCCCACGATAATGACATGTAGGTTAAACAGGATGGTAACCTCCAAAAACGGCAATATACACAGACGATATTGCATTTTTCTTATATTCTGTCAGTTTTTATTGATCATGTTTGTTTTGCTGATCGTGAGCATTTTTTTTGGCGAATACCTGCATATTCTGCATATTTATTTACAATACGATATTGCATTTTGTCTGCATATTATGACATGGTTTATTGTTCATGGAAAGATTTGTTTGCAATTTACATGCATATTCTGCATATTTGCAGTACATGGAAGACACGGGACGGTCGAAAATGCGTCAATAATTTTGTAGTTTTAGGATGTTTTAGGGGTTTCAGGACTAAATTAATAGGGTTAGAATGCCCGTCGGGGATTTTCCCACGGTATTCCCCACGATAGTGACATGTTGATTAAACAGGATGGTAACCTCCAAAAACGGCAATATACACAGAATACACAGACGATATTGCATTTTTTTATATTCTGTCATTTTTTTTTGATCACGGTTTTTCTTTTGCTGATCATGAGCATGTTTTTTTTTGCAAATACCTGTATATTCTGCATATTTAACTTAACAATGCGATGTTGCATTTTTCTGCATATCATGGACATTGTTTATTGTTCATGGAAAGATTTGTTTGCAATTTACATGCATATTCTGCATATTTGCAGTACATGGAAGACACGGGACGGTCGAAAATGCGTCAAGAATTTTGGGGTTTCAGGGGGATTCAGGACTAAATAAATAGGGTTAGAATGCCCGTCGGGGATTTTCCCACGGTATTCCCCACGATAATGACATGTAGGTTAAACAGGATGGTAACCTCCAAAAAACGGCATTATACAACAGATGAAATTGCATTTTTCTTATATTCTGTCAGTTTTTATTGATCATGTTTGTTTTGCTGATCATGAGCATGTTTTTTTTTGCAAATACCTGTATATTCTGCATATTTAACTTAACAATACGATGTTGCATTTTTTCTGCATATCATGACATTGTTTATTGTTCATGGAAAGATTTGTTTGCAATTTACATGCATATTCTGCATATTTGCAGTACATGGAAGACACGGGACGGTCGAAAATGCGTCAAGAATTTTGTAGTTTTAGGATGTTTTAGGGGTTTCAGGACTAAATTAATAGGGTTAGAATGCCCGTCGGGGATTTTCCCACGGTATTCCCCACGATAATGACATGTAGGTTAAACAGGATGGTAACCTCCAAAAATTGCATTATACACAAACGATATTGCATTTGTTCTAATACTCTGTTAGTTTTTATTGATCATATTTGTTTTGCTGATCATGAGCATGTTTTTTGGGTGAATACCTGCATATTCCGCATATGTATATTTACAATACGATGTTGCATTTTTTCTGCATATCATGACATTGTTTATTGTTCATGGAAAGATCTGTTTGCAATTTACATGCATATGCTGCAAATTTGCAGTACCATATACAGTACATGGAAGACACGGGACGGTCGAAAATGCGTCAAGAATTTTGTAGTTTTAGGATGTTTTAGCTGTTTCAGGACTAAATTAATAGGGTTAGAATGCCCGTCGGGGATTTTCCCATGATATCCCCCACGATAATGAAACGTTGATAAACAGGATGGTAACCTCCGAAAACGGCATTATACACACACATATATATATATGCGCTGTATATATTACATATGTGTACATGTATTGTACACACGTATTAGATGTGAGTAAACGAGGTGTTCTTGGGTCGGCGGATGACGATATTGCATTTTTTCTGCATATTCTGTCAATTTTAGTGGTCATTTACTTTTTTGCTGATCATGAGCATGTTGTATGGACGAATACCTGCATATTCTACTTACTACTTTACAACACGATATTGCATTTTTT